CACATGGACTGTTGATACCGGTACATTGGCTGTTGCACACGCCGCCTGATCATATTCCGCGTATTCTTCGTCAAAACCCTGATAAGAAACTGGTGCGGAGACCCTCTCTGTCACAACGTCTTGGATGCTGGTTGTCGCTGGCGGGGGCAAGGTTGGGTCTTCACTTGAACGGTAAGTAAGTGGTGGCTGAGGAAGCGGGTTGTACGGATCAGTGACTTCAGGAACCTGTATAGCCGAGACCGGAGTTGACGAGGAGGGTCGATGACGAGCCACAAAAGCCTCCCGCTGCTTGGTGGTAACTCCCATGTTGGGACAATCCAGACTTCCTGTGTGAGTGGGCGGGGAGGTAGGTTGAAGACAACGGAAGCACAAACTCTTCTGCAGGCAGATAGAGCGAGCTATGTCAATGAGGGACTGCGGGCGATTGCCGCGTCTAACAAAGGCTGCGTCCACGTCCATGGCGTTTGGGTCACGCGCTGCTGTAGTCTGATGATGGGTGGGTAGAGAAAGGCCCGGTGGGGGAGCCGAAGACAGCGGTTGATGCCAAGGTTGAGAACTTTCGGACGGAAGGAGCGAGAGGAGGTCTAATTGAGCCGCCGCCTGCGTTGCCAACTCCATCCGCTCATCGAGAGTCTTCGCACCACGCCACTCTTTGCTCATGGCCTTGTAGATGATCCGTGGGTTCAGACCCAAAACATATCGCTCGATCCTTGCCTCCTCGACATCCTCCACTAGATAGACGAGTGAGGAGAACCGAGAATTATAGTCTCCAATTGTGGACTGCCCCTGCTTGCAAGCCGCCAGCGCCCGTTTGGCATTCTCCTTGATAAACCGATCACCAAAGACCCCAATCAGTGCCTCCAAGAACGCTTCTGTTGAGAGCAAAGATGGGATCGTAAATTTGATGCCGTCCAAATCGCCGTAAGGATTGAAGGGGCCCTGACGACGGGCGTTGTCGTTGATGAGCGAAGTGTACCAATTTTCCGCCGGTGAAGGGGCTGTATTCTTCCGCTGACCCGATGAACCGTAACCGAAGTGTCGCGAGATCCAGATGATTCGCCTGTTGTCCGAATCAAAACAAGCCGACCGGGCACGAAGATAATCTCTGATCGCGCGCAGGAATGACAGCAGTTGCTGAGAATCGCCGGAGAACCAAAGATCTGGTATCTTCAGAGGTTCCATCCTGGATTGGGCATCGAACGCGGGGACCTGAATCGGTTCTTGCTGAGGGTATTGCTGAGTACCGGGCTGTGATGGGTTCATATGGGGGGGGAGTTGTCGATCATTGTCAGCTTGAATCGGTGAACTCCTCGCCGCCAATGCCTGCATCATTGCTACCATCTCAGCAATGTTATTCTTCAGACCTAACACCTCCTGCGACAATATGTTGACCCGGTCGTCTTGCGGTAGTCCAGGAGGGTGATGGACCTGCGGCGGCTGTTGACGTTCGCCGTCGACCGCCTGTCCAGTCGCGTCGGATGCCATTGATCGGGGTCGAAAGCCGCGACGAACCGGGAGATGGGGCTGAAGAGAGGGATTCTGAGAGGAGTGAGGGGGAAATTGAGTCGAAAGGGGAAAAGAGTTATGAGGCCGTCGGGTGATATTCCAAACTGATGGACCGGACGACGAGGAAGTTGTAACGGAGGTTGGTTGTTCGGTCGCGTCGGGTGTTTCCTGAGCGGGACAAAACCTTTGATGACTTTCTTCGGATGTATCAGACAGTTTGGCGGCAGACTGAAGTGAATAAGTGTTTTTTAGACGGAATCGGATTTCGACGGAAAGGCCATAAACTGTGAGCCTGTTATTGGTTGGTATGAGGGATTTATAATGTAATGAATAAACCGGCACTGAGCGCAGATTTGTTGAAACAGAAATGAGTTTTATTCAAAAGAAAGAGTTTACAAAATAAATCCCGTGAGAGGACAAAGCGAGTACCAAGGGAGACTGAATATATAGAACAAATCGCGTGTAATAATTTTAAAACGCGACGCGTCAAATGTAGACTATGTATAAAGATTTTATGTGATAGCTATTTGAACTGAAATGAAAGTTATATACATAAAATAAAATCAGAAAATCTAAAACAGAAATTTTGGATTCGGATTCGGATTTCTTTTTTTTTTTGCCGGATCCTTGGGCTGAAGTTGACACCCAGGTCGACCGTGTATGGGTCAGGGGAAGTGCTCCGTTCGCCCGACTTGTGCTGGCTAGCCAAGCACGTCTGGCGCGGGGACACTCAGAATGACAAGGAAAAGCTATCTCGGAGGGGAGGGGATCGGTGCTGCCCCCCCCCCCCCTCTCCTACTGTAGCTCACAAGCGAGGAGAGAACACTGGGGGGGACGACCCGATCCTCCTAGTGATATCGCAGAGCGACAGCCTCGTCTACGGACGGTGCCGCGCAGACCGGTCGCCGCGCAAGTCCGAAGCAGAAGTTACCCATCTGCCCCAGGCCGAGGGATACAGCCCTGGCCTCACGTGCAAGGCGTGCTGTGTTAGTAAAAAACCTTTTACTACAGCGTCCATGGACACCGGTGAGCTCGGGGCTGTGCCCAGTCGCACGCCCATGAACACGGCACACGCGGGGGTCGGGAAGAGACAAGCTACACACGCAGGGCACTTTACAAAAATCAGTGCAGCCCAGGGATGCCAGTGTACTTGAGATGTTCCTGGGACGGGATGCCGTCCACAGGAAATCACACTTTGAAAAAATTAGCGCACCCCAGGGATGCCATTGTACCTGATACATCCCTGGGCTTGTATGGCGTCCACAGGACATCACTGTCCACACCTGGTATCCCTGTCACGCCCAGCTTGAAAAATTTAGCGCAGCCCAGGGATGTCATTGTCCCTGAGCTGTCCCTGCAACCCGCATGCCGTCCCCAGGTCATCACAGCCCCCCCTTGCGTCTGTATCACGTGCCACACTGACTCAACCGTCACCTAGCCATTCCCACTGCATCTGAGTCTCCCTGTGACATTACCATGCTGTCAATATCACTGAAGACTTGACCAAGGAATGTTGGAATTCATATAATCCCCTCTTCCAACAAAATTCATGGCTCAATAAGCTTAACAGCACCAGTCAAGAGATCCATTCTTCTCTAGATTAGTTGGCTGAAGATCTTTGGAAGCTTCCAGACTGTAAGTTTTGTCCACTCCTTTTTTTTCTCTCTTGGGGATCTTGTGTTTAAATGTGAACCACTCAATTTGAGATTTTTTGTTAAATCTCTTTTAGCTTGAAATTAAATGAACAACTATTTTGATCATGAGGTCTGTAATAAGAGAATAAATCAAAGTTTGTCCTTAGGATTAAAATTTTTGAACCATCCTGCAACCAACTGAATAAAATGAGCACTTTGATTTATCCAATCAGTCTGTCTTCTCAACATCCACTTGTATAGTAGTACTGGCATGGCTTCAGATATGAGTTTTTTAATATTAAAGTGTAAGGACTGGAAGTCCTTTACTGTGAAAGTCAATGGGATGGACAACCAAAGGCCAGAAGTCTCTCAAAAAGAATGGATTTCACTATGAATCTTAGAAGAAGAAAACCTCAAGGATGAAGAATGAAGACCAACTTGAGGAAAAAGAAGAGAGGACGTGAGTTTGAGCTATAGTATTATAATCTCCAGAGTTTGGTCTACTATGTATAAGCATCTGTGAGATGCTTCTATCTACAATACAGCTCATGTAATGGCAAGGTCCTTACAGTCTCCCCTCCTATAAAAAAGAGAAGATGTAAAATGAATAAGGAGGATGAGGGAGGTTGAAGTAAGTAGGGAACAGTTGATGGGGGAAGAAAAAAGGAGAATTGAGAATTGGTCCACTATTTCTATCTACACTTTTTGATGTCAATTCTTACCATATTTAGCCATTTGTTCCATAATTCAGTACTACTTCTTCAAATCCACCCCATGAGTCCACCATGCATGTTAGTCAACCAGAAAAGTCAGTCAAACAGTAAATCAGTAGTTGTCCAAGGGTCAATACCCAGGGACCAGTAATGTCCAGGGGTCAATACCCAAGAGCCAGAAGTTAATTTCTTGAAGACTGAGCAGATTTTGTTGAGTTATTTTGCATTGTGGCAGTTGAAAGCAGTTGATAAGCAAGAGTTGAAGGTAGGCAAGGACAAGGAAGAAGATGGGAGGTGGCACTGAAATGAGTCAGTGTGTGGGAAGAGTGTGATGAGTGTTATACATTTGCTTCAAGACAAGGTCTAGGCTGTTCCAACAGCAAGGAAGTTTTTCTAATGACAAATTACAATGAATCTGTCCTGACGGTGATGAAGCTGCATGACAGCAAGGAAGCTATTCCAACGGCAAGGGGAATGTTCCAATGGCAAGGAGACTGTTCCGAAGGCAAGGAGACTGTTCCGACGGCAAGGAGACTGTTCCGACGGCAAGGATGCTGTTCCAACAGCCAGGAGGCTGTTCCAACAGCAAGGAGGCTGTTCAGACAGCGAGGAGGCTGTTACAATGGTGAGGAGACTGTTCCGATGGCAAGGAGACTGTTCCAGCACAAACGAGTGTTGTAAATGTACAGCCATTCCGAGAAATGTTGCTGCTTGGGAGGCCGAATTTTTTTTTTTTTTTTTTTTTTTTTTTTTTTTTTAGGGGCCAATACAGCCGAAGATATCGGCTGTATGTCTTCCAATTCTTCCATTCCTTCCACATGATTCCCCTCTACCCTCTCTTGCCCACGTCACCGGCGAAATGCCTCCCCCAGCTACAAACCTGCAGCGAACCTCAACCCCCGATCGGTACCGTCATCCCGCTGCTCAGCATCCAACCGGTACATATCATCGTGAGTTTTTGATTTTCATGCCTTGCTTGCCTGGTCTCTGACATGATCATCAATACAACCCACGTGAGAGGAAGACTTACGGATTCAGCCGCTTTGACGGACTTGCGAGGGTCAGCCATCAGGAGCTTGATGATGATCTTCGTCGATAAGTTATCCTTGTGGTTCGCAACTTTGACAAAAACCTGCCACTCCTCGTCTCAAGTGACAAAGTAGTTCCCCTTGTGGCCATAAGTACGATGCGAGTTCAAGACACACTGCCACTTGAGCACGCCCGATTCATCGAGGGCCTCGAAGTGCTTGCGAAGTAATTTCCCAGGGCCCTCATTCCGGATCGGGTCACGTGGCCCCTCGATGATCGAGAGGATTTTCGCCTGCAAGCTTCGCCAGTCCCACCGAGCAATGTCTGTTTTGAAGACCGTCTCGGCCCTCGGGACCACTCGGTCCCACTCCTTGGTCGACGTGGTTGGTTTACTGGACCCAGAGGATTGATTCTGGGCCGATCGGATGAATACAATGTAATCTATGAGGATTGTGCGCCCTTCGTCCTCGGCCTCCCCTGGCATCGGGGCAAGAGACAGCGCGCGAGTCGGGTTCACCGTCGAAGTTTGGCCAGTGAGGGAAGGATGCGCCGGGGCCACTTGACTTGCAGGCATGGTCATCACGTGGCCGGCCGCATTAGACGAGAGGGCGGACTGCTGATGACCCATGGGGCCAATGTGCATCCCCTGCGCCGGAGGCCCACCGGTGAGCTGGCCAATTGAACTTGCGTGGAAACCCATCGGAGCCTGAGCCCCAATTGCTTGATTCGGGATCGCCACGTGGTGAACGGCCGGATGTTGACCGATTGAACCTTGGTGATTGGCAGCATGCAAACCCGGGGGCACTACATTGGTCATCTGCTGAACCGAAGCGGGGATCCCTTGGATTATCGTTGAGTAAGGTTGGATAAATCCGCCATTGTCCCGAGGGGACTCAAAAAACACCCGGCATGATGCCCCGTCGCTTTGAGAGAGTTGGCTATGTCCCAGGTAGGACTCCTCATACTCACCCATGAGGCTGTTCTCCGAAGCAGGTTGCATAACCTGTTGATTTCGAATGACAAGAGACTTTATCAGGACATGCTGGCATAGGCAAACGGGCAAGCGAACGTCACAAAACTCACGTTGATTGATAAATGTGGGACGGGCGTATTTGACAGAGACGAATTTAGTATTTGAGTAAATCGGCTGGATAGGATGGAAAAAAGGTCTAATCCGGTTGGATGCTGAGCAGCGGGATGACGGTACCGATCGGGGGTTGAGGTTCGCTGCAGGTTTGTAGCTGGGGGAGGCATTTCGCGGGTGACGTGGGCAAGAGAGGGTAGAGGGGAATCATGTGGAAGGAATGGAAGAATTGGAAGACATACAGCCGATATCTTCGGCTGTATCGGCCCCTAAAAAAAAAAAAAAAAAAAAAAAAAAAAAAAATTCGGCCTCCCAAGCAGCAACATTTCTCGGAATGGCTGTAATGTTGCAGGAGACTTCTTGCTTCATCGGGCATTACAATCTGGAATTAGCTTGTGTATCTCCCACGAACAAGTTTGCCTGACCTCCTTGCTGATGTCTCATCTTCTGTTTTCCCACTCTTCTCGCTGGGTTTTCTGTTCCTTGTCCCCCCAGCTCAGTGAATCCAAAGCCTTGTTTTACTCAAACATTCATAATCACAGTCAATCGGCAAGGCTTCCATGTGGGTTCGTCTTCTTATGCCTTCACTTGTTTGCATCACTCTTACTGACCTGAAAACGCGACTGGGGTATGTCCGCAATCAATCTCACAGCAATGTTTCCATAGGCTACAGCTCATCTCATCGTGGGTACTGAGGCATCTGATTGCAAGAGGGAAGTTATCGAGAAGGCAAGATGGAGATGGGAAAAAATGTGATTCATACCCTCCTCATGTTTGCCCCAATACTCGCGCTCATCTGGAATTCTGGCCAAGTTTTGGGTTGCAATGATGGTCTCCACAAACGATCTCAGCCTTCTGCTACTCCACCTCCCGGGGCTCCAAACCGTCAACTGGAATGGGGAGATCTTCACATTCTTCATACTACTGATTCCCATGTACGTTAGGCTCTTTGCTCAATAGTATTCCTGCTTTGCAAACAGATGATCCTATCCAGCTGGGAAACGGCTTTATTTCAATGTGACAAACAAAAATCACTAGAGATGGTCGCGGATAATCCGCTGCGGATATCCGTTATCCGCTGGCGGATACCCGCTGGTCCCAGCGGATACCCGCCAGGGGGTGCGGATTCGGCTGCGGATGGCCGTTTCCCCCCCCAAACCTGGCGGATATCCGGGTATCCCAAGGGATACCCGGAGCCAATGGCCGGCTGGAAGGGTTTCCTTCCAGCCGGCGAGGTTCTTCCAACCGGCAAGGCACATCCTCGCCGGCTGGAAGGAAGCCCTTCCAGCCGGCAAGGATGTGCCTCGCCGGCCAGTTAAAGGCCGGGTATCCGAGGATACCCGCTCGGATACCCGCTCAGGCGGGGGGATACCCGCCCGCGGTTGCGGTTGCGGGTGCGGATGTGGCTTCCCCCTGAAAAGGCAGCCGGATATCCGCATCCGCGCGGATATCCGGATGCAACGGGGCCATCTCTAAAAATCACTAACCCTGCAAAAACCTTCATATTCTAGAGCTGGTTACTTGTAAGCCACCGCTATCCTTCAAAAAGAAACCGTCTTTCCAATGGCTACAAAAATCAAATTCTCAAACGAGCTGGATATATCATTTTGGGCCACAGGGTCATCTGAAATCAAAACAAACCGAACCGAACTACAGTGGTGATGTTGTACGCCTTGATTTCGTAATCAATTGTCAACAACAACAAAACCTCATCTAACACTTCATTTTACAAATTTCTCATTGGGCATGGCTTGGTTTTCTCGATCCACTTGCGATTGAAAGGGTGATTTTCATTCTTTTGTTCGATGAATGAAAGAGAAAGCGAGTCAGAAGGGTGTTGATTTATTAGTTGTGGATTTGGTGTGCTACAAAAATTTCAACTGAAGAAAGCTAGACCACACATTACTTCACACCAATGCTGATTGTTGTCTACCTATTAGGGTGACTTGCATGATGGCAATGGGTTGAGTAAATTTTCTTATGTATGTAGTACTTGCTCATTCAGGCAGTTTTGCACTGGTGCATTTCCCAGTCAGAATTTTGTAGGTTTTTTTAGTTTTGTTTGTTGTACACAACCAATCATATGTTTCTGTTTGTTATTCACAATAAATACCATTTCACTCTTGATTCACTGTCTGCACATTCGTGTGGGATTATTGTGCAGTGAGTATCCTCTGGTGGATATGCATGTGTGTGTGCTGTACAACTAGCTCAACGTTTTTTTTTGCCAAAAAAATACCAAAATGCCGTCTTGGTGACAGCTCAGAGACGCCACATTGCAAAATCCTGCAGATGTAAAATCTTTGAAGAGACGGCCCTGAAACACCTCCAGGCCATCAGTGGGATGCATTAGGGGAACGTCACGTGGATGCTCCACAAGGACGTCCCATGGCTGGCCTCTTATTTGTGGAGGAGCACGCGCCTGGGATGCTCTGATCTGTGGGGGCTGCTGTCCTGGTGCCATCCCCCTGGACCCTGCCACTTGGACGTCCATCTGCACTGGTGGTGTACGCTTTGCGCTGACGGGAGGGTGCAGTGACTCCTGAGCGTGTCTAACGGACAGACGGCAAGCGTGCGTGGAGGCGTGGCGTAGCAGTCTACGGCCTGGGTTCTGGTCCAGGATGATGTCTGTTGATGTCCGTCCAGATAAGCCACTTGCAGCTTCTTTCTTGGAATCTGAAAGTGACTGCTCGTCACGATAACCCGTTCATTAAATAATCCAGGACGGTCTGACTGGGATGGGCAACATGCAGGGAGATTTGATGGATTTGGTCGAGCGTGAGAGAGTGACTGGGCGAGTCCCCAAGGAGTTCTCCTCTGGGTGAACAAGGTTATCTATCTCTTCCATCCTCCATTGAGAAATCAACAAGAAATTTAATAGCCTCGCCTGCTCATAGAGATGTTTTCCAAGCCATCTGACAATCACCGGTGAGTCTCTCTCCTCTCCCTCCATTGGGACTAGAAAGCGTATGTATCACCAACTAATCCCCTACATGGTATCTCCATAGCCCCTCCTCCAGTACACCCTGGTTGGTAATTGCCCTGTTCATAAGTCTGACCTTATTCCTCACCCAATTCCTACCCAACATCTCATCGACCGGCTCAGCCTTTCGGTACACTTTTGCGGGTTGGCCAAGGCCGCATCAATCGGTGTTCAACCAACTCTCGAGAGGTAGCAGCAGGAATGGCGAGAATGGACTGCTGACAACGGCAGCCATCGACCTTCAAGCTGGCTTGCCGACCTTCAGCTCGATCAGAGTTGTCTCACTCAAGTCTAGGACCGACAGACGGACTCACATGCAAACCTTGACATCATTCCTGAGACTCGAGAACCTCCACTTTACTGACGCCGTCCTTTACACCGATCCACGCGTCTTGGAAATCGTCCAGCGGGTGGGCAATAATACTAAGGCTGATAAGAAGATCGCCGAGGTTGGTCATGTGGCTTGTCGGATGTCTCATCGATTGGCCATCGAGGCTGCCGATGCAGACGACGACCAAATCACACTAATCCTGGAAGGTATTACATTATACTCTTTTGACTCTCAAAGAAGAAAAAAAAAATCAAGCTGAGCCAAGCTTTTCTCGCGATGTTTGATTTTCTAGACGATGTAGATATGGAGGCCGCCTTCAAGTACCTCGCCGGCACTGTCCTCAGGGACGCTCCCAAGGACTGGGATATCATCTTTTTTGGACATACCGACTTCAGCGACGAAGCGCGACACGGACGCGACACTTCGACGAGCAATTTCTACATCTACAAGTCTATTGAACCACAAGGTGAGAGCTAAAGATATCCTAGACCGCAACTGAAAAACTCACATTTTCTTCATTTCTTGCAGGAGGACATGGATATGCCTTATCGAAGAAAGGGCGCAAGTTAATCCTAGATCTATTAGACAACAAGCGACCGGAAGTGTATGAGACTGATGAAGGCCAACCAATCGATGAGATCTTCATGTATCTAGCTCGACTCCATCGGGCCCAGCTCTACTCAATCATCCCTGACATGATCATCCAGGTCCCGCTCTTCAAATCCGATATCTTCGGCACCCCCGCTGGCTTCAAGGACGGTATGCATAACAAGAAACTCCTCGACTCTAGCTTGGACCGCATCGCTCTTTCCTCCCCCACCAGTCCTCCAAATCCTCCTCTCTCTACTCGTTTCGATCATACTGCTCGTAGAATCGCCCGTCGCTCAATCCCTACCCAGTGACAAATTTCTCTGTCTCTCTCTTTGTAATTATACACATTTTTTTCCCTGTCAAATTGCTTTGTTTATATGTCCTATCAATCCATCGACATCACTCACATCTTATGCAAAGTTTTCAAGCCTTTTTTTTCTCGCATCTAACATACACCTTATCCTTTTCATTGGATACATATAAACATTCAATCTTTGTATTTCCTTCATTTGCCTTCATTGTATTTTTGATCAGATAGACTATCACACAAGACTATTTTTTGGTTTCAGGCTGTGTGAGAGAGGGTAATTAGGAAGGGGAATTTGAGAAGGTTGTTGTAAAAATAGATGAATTTAATTGCATTTTATTCAATTTTTACATCTTTCTGAAAACTCAACCCCAAAAAAAAAACATGTTCATATTGACATTTTGGTCTTCTCAAGCACTTGGTGGAAGAGACCAATGAATGCAAACCCACCAAAGATCTAGATTTTCTTGAGCCCCAAAACGCATTATTGAGGAGCAGATAGATGTAAGCATTGAACGTGAAGATATGAAGCTCTAAGATTGAAGCCCCACTTTATGAAAACATACAAACCAGTGGACTTGTTAAAAGAGTGTGCGTAATAGGTGAGCAGCGCTATACATGCCCCACTGTAATGTGAGTAAAGCTGGAGAACAAAGCTAACAACCTGTGGCGTGCATTGTGTATCCTTTTTGAGGACTTGCTCAGCCCTGTGTGAAGTAACTTGACTTGCAAAAGCCCTAGGCTATGTTTTCAAAACTCTGTAATTTTCCCTACCCCATAGACTAAGTTACATCTTGGGGAAGGGTGCACTGATCACAAATGGGCCAGTTGCGCTAATGTTAGCGTTAATGTAGTGTAACGTAGCAGAATTCCACTAACATTTAGAATAGCAAAGTGAAATTCTGCCTCAACTGTGCTAACACTAAGTGTGCAGGCCACAAAAAGAGGGCTCATAACACTACACTAAAGGGACTTTGAGCGGTTATTTGGTCTTTTTACAGCACACTAACACTACAGGGTCAAGACGCTGTTGTAAGGGCTGCTACACTGAGGTTAGTGGGCCATTTAACATAGTGTAGTGTAGTGGCTCATCACTGCTCTGATGGCTTTTTTGTAAGATTTATTAATAAGTTAGATATATGTAAGATGGCTGTAATTTCTATCAATAATCATTGTTCACCTAAGAGCAGAATGTGGGCCACTACTAGTACATATAATATGTTACAAGAAAATAATTTATGATAAATCAGAATTGCTCCTCCAACAGCATGCCTTTTTCCCAAGAGGCTAATTCCAAAAACTGAGTGATGTGTTGTGGTAAAATTTTCCCTCTAATGTTTGACCATCTCATATCATCTGACTCTGATAAGATTGCAGCTCACCTCCTTCTACTCTTTGTGGATTGAAATTTTTCTGCTGCTTTCTTTGATTGGATTTGATTGGTTTGAATAAATCTGTTAAATTTATCTAAGATAAGTTTCTTTCCTGTCTTATGCTGTTTAAATTTTAACTCACCTTCAGTTTTGTTTGGTATTTGCTTTAGTAGGCTTTTATTTTTGACTGAATTGATTCATATTTTCTTGATTGCTTTGGTTGATATTGTAATTATTGGTAGATAGACAAGAGCCGGTCTCCAGAATTAGAACCACAAAAGCTGGGAATGCAGATGCATTCCTTGCTCCACAGCTGGGTGAGATTCCCCCACTCTTCTCACTTTGTGAGACAGACTTGGGATTAGGGTAGGGAATGTGCCACCCATTTAATTTTCAAATCATGAATATGATCCAGGCACAGTTTGGAAAGCCAAAAAGTTCATAGTTTAGGCATGCAATGAACTACAATTGCCTATTTTGCTTGATCTCTCTTTGGAAATCATCTTTTTGCACTGACCCAGCTCAAAACCCAGTCCAGACCCAGCCCCTTCTCCACCCTACCTGGGTTTCTTAAGCTAGTATTTCTACATTTTTTTGGTTTATGCTTGATTTCAATTTGATGCACAGAGCTCATCTTAGAGATGGTCACGGGGTATTCATTGCGGATACCCGCTATCCGCTGGTGGATACCTGCCAGGGTGTGTGGATGTCCCCTTTCCCCCAAAACCCTGGCAGATATCCAGGTATCCCCAAGAATACCCAAGGCCAAGAGGATGAGATGGCCAGCTGGAAGGGTTTCCTTCCAGCCATGTACCTCGTCGACCTGAAGGATTTCCTTCCAGCAGTAGAGGTACATGTACCCCATTGACTGGAAGGAACCCCTTCCAGCAGTAGAGGTACATGTACCTTGTTGACTGGAAGGAACCCCTTCCAGCCGGTGAGGTACATGTACCTCGTCGGATGGAAGGAAAACATTCCAGCTGGCAAGGTTGTGCCTCGCCACCCTTTAAAGGGTGGGTATCTGTGGATACCCACTGCGGCCGCCGGATACCCGCCAGTGGGTGCGGATGCCCAATTCTGCTGAAAAATGGAGGGGATATCCGGATGGCACGGGGCCATCTCTAGCTCATCTGTGTGTGTGGGGGGGTATGGATGATAAGGTACTCAAGGAGTTCAAAAGATGCATGCCATCAGGGGCATTGGATTAAAAATGTGCAAGCTCTCTGTTTTTTTATTAATTTCATTTCTTGTCAAACAATTGGCCTTTAGCCAAGTTTTGGGCTCTAGGGGCAATCCTCTCTGGGAGAAAGAGACCCTGTGGGGCTGCCCTCCAAGCTCTAACTCAGAGGAGTGTGTTGAGTTTGGGAAAGGATATGTTAGGCCCCATTCATACACATTTTGTGGGTATTCTTGGGCTGGAATCACCCAGAAAGTGAGAAAATTCCCCAGAAAATGTGGGGACCACCTAGGCCATTTTTTTTGGGGGGGGGTCCCCCCCTGTAAAAAACACAGCCCTGTCACACGTGTGACACCATTCCCTTTACCTTTCCTTATTCCTCACCTCTGGCTCTATCCCTTGCTTCAACTCAACTGATCCTCAAACATCAACCTCACATCAACTCAACATCAATCAACAACTCTGAACATGCAATCTCAATTCCTCGCTCCTCAATTATTTCCTTCTCTTTCCTTCAATCTTATAACTTGTGTTCTCTTACTCTAACTTCATCAATCCTTGTTCATTGTCCTCAACTAACTTCTTCTTGTCAGTCTCTGTCCTCCTCAATCTTCCTTCATACTTCTCTTAATATTTACTGTCATATCTCATATGTCTCTGCTCATCTAAACTTCAGTTCTTGCTTTATTTCTCACATTCTCTTTATTTCTTTTTTTATTTATTTTTCTAACTGTTTTCTTTTCTAGTGTGTTGGTTTCATTTAGGCAATAGATTATAACTCATTATTGCTTTACACCCCCCCCCCCCCTGGTGTGGTAAGCCAATCTTGAATAAGAGGCCCACAAAATCAAAGCCTCAAGCACAATATCAAGCCCTCTGGACAGCAATACCCTCAAGGACCAAGACAAGCCCCCTCTGGAATATTCAGCCAACCTGCAACACCATGGATGTCACAAGACCAACCCCCCAGGACAGAAGCCACTCTGGTTTCCCATCACATTCATTTATTACATAATCACTTCATGCAGTCTTACATCATCAATCCCCATTCAGCTTTCCACACTTGGCCTCTGCATGTGTTTCATTCTAATCCACTTTCACTCTAGTCTCATGTCCACTTTGGGCCACATTCTATTGTTTCACACTATTCCTCTTGGGTTATTTTCATGTCTCACACTAGTACACATTTGGCTAGTTCATTTATCTCTTTGGTATTTTCTTCCTCCCTCATTGGTTGTGGCACATTTCATCCCTGCATGTCTCTGATGTCATTTTCCCCATTTATCTTAGTGCCTACCAATTGGGCCACATTGTTTTAGTTTGATAATTTTCTCTTGTTCCATTTTGTTCCATGGTGTTTCCAACCACAAGCTGGCCACTCCCCAGATTTTGTATATAAGGAGCATTGTTTTCCCCTCTTCATTTGTTCCCCATCAGATCCTGCCCCAGCAATCCAGATAACTGATCACCCTTCATTAGCCTAGTAGTTGCCCATCAACATTTGGGATACTAGTATTATTCAGACAGAAGACCAGAAGACAGAAGACATACCCATCTCAAGAATTCTCCAAAGCCACACCTTTCCTTAAGAGTCCACACTCTTATCTTTTTCTTGTTATCTTACTCAACCCAGTTACCAGAGAGGCAGCCCATTAAAGCATCTTTCCCTCTCCAGCTCTATTCATCCCAAGAGTAGTTCCACACCGTCCCAAGCTGAAAGACACCCATAATTGCTAGGTGAAGGGAGAAATTTATTGTCCCTTTGCTGATGTAAGCAAAACTGTCCTGGATTTTTTTCTTACCAATCAATACAAGCCCAATGGCCAGGAGGAATCTTTCCTGATTGTCAAGACTACTTTCCATCTGGTCAACAAGGTACACACATCTTGTCAAACAAAAGGAAAGCCTTCTGGTAGACAAGGTGCATGTATCTTGTTGACTGAAAGTTTGTCCTTCTGGCCAATAAGGTACATGTATCTTGTCAACCGGAAGAAACCCCTCCTGTTGATAAGGTACATGTTAGAGCATCTCTCACAGTCTGAGGGTGGATTGGCATGAATTCAGCAGCCTGAAAGCAGATGTCCCAAGATGTCACCCAATTTTCACAAGTTAACAGTCCAAATTGCAGAATTTGAGTGGGGGTGGGTGAAACACTACCAAAGCCACTGAACTTAGCAGCCAATCCCCCCCCCCCTTTGACCTTTGGCAACTTGCAAGAAGCCTTGCGGCCTGCTGAAGTTGGTGCCAGGCCCCACATCAGTAGGTCCATTGAAGATTCTCTTAATTGTTGACTGGAAGGTTGTCCTTCTTGCCAACAAGGCAAGTTTTGTCAATTAGATCCTTTGGTTCCAAACCAAAGAATAAGATGGTGGTGCCATTATCTTTGCTGGAATCAAAGACAAGGCCAAGCTAGGTGAGCTGGGTGAAAAACTTAAAAAAAGTTTTGCTGATTTTCTTTTTCAAAAAATAGCCCAATGTGGTATACCTTAAGGGTTGCCAGCTGGCCTTTTTCAAAAATGGGCCTTAAAAAAAACATGGTTTTTCTGCGTTTTGACATGGTTTTTGCTGCACACATCACACACGGTTTCGGCGTTTGGACATTTTTTTGTATTAATTTTTTCCCACTTATTTTTGAAGATTTTTTGAAATTTTAAATTTCTTTCCTACACTTTCAACTGCGTGAAATTTTATGGTAAGAACCATTTTGCAGGAAATTCAACAGTTTTCTTTAAATAATGCACTAGTTTTCTTTTTTTTTTATTACAAAATACACATTTTTCACCCTCTTTTCTCATATATGCACTCACAAATAGGAATCACTCATTAAGGCTCAAGAAATGGAGTATTCTATGGACAATTTCACCCTTGGTCACCACTGGAGGCATCACTGGAACTCAATTAGATTGCAAGCTACACCCTCTGGACACTCACAACACTCAATCACACAACTCACCACCATGGTAACACTTCAACACTCAACAACATCTACGTAGTTCTCACTACACAGATGCACATTGCAGGACAACTACACTCTCACTTCATCATGGTGAAGGCATACAAACTGAAACAAACCACTATCTTCAGACAGTTGACACATGCAGCTTCCCATGTGTCACTTGTTAATCTTCCTTGAAGCTGTCAGACTATCTAAGAGCATCTCCACCCGGGGAGCTAAACCGGGTTGCTATCCCGTGTTTAGCAACCCAATCCAAATATTCCTCACCCACCCGGGGTGCTAAATGAGTTTCTATTTTACCTCGGGAGGTAAAAATTGTCATCCGGTTGTCAAATTCAGCAACCCACTAGCAACTCACCAGCACCTGTGAAAGTCACCAATCCGATGACACCTCTCTGTTTTCCTTGTGAATCCCAGATGACAAATCATCACATGTGTCACTCCCACCCCCGTTCACAGGCCTCTGGTAGGTATTATAGCAACCACGGGTGTTTGCCAGGGCCGATTGGGTTGTCAAACATCAACTTTGCGTTGCCATCCCGCCCAGAATAGCAACCCGGTTTAGCTCCCTGGGTGGAGATGCTCTAACACCACTCATGTAACCTTCATTAAGTTGAGTGGGTTGGAGGGGTTAAATTTTTTGGAACGGATCTTCATCAAAAGTGTAAATTTGCAACAGAAAAAACTCAATTTGAATGATTGAGGCAGATGGATCTTTACTGTCAAGAGCCCATGTATTGGAGATACATGTTTGATTTTGCTAAGCCACATAGAAAATAATTATGAATGAAGGTCCTTGGGTTTTTTGATCAATCAAGCAGATTTAAATCAAAGCAGGAGAAAGACAATAAACTTTAAGAATTTCTGAGCGGATTGATAATTTTAATGTCAATTAGAAGATAGGATGAAGGAGGGAAAATGAGGAGACCGACGAATCTGAGAACTCGATAGATAGCTACTGCTTGGAAAGATATGGGGTACTGAGACGTCCTCGGCAAAGCTGAACGGGTTGCAGATATCAAAGGCCTATTCTAGCCGTAGGTGCGTCCTTCATCCTGGCCCGCCGCTGACAGACCCGGACTCCAAAACACATACTTGTGGTAAGAGTTGCTATGGACAGGAGGTGGGGGACCATGATCTCGGTTTAATACATTATAAGCTCGCGGAGGAGGGGGACGAGCCGGGATGTTAGGGCGAGGTCGAGATCCAGGTTTATTTTGCTTGAGGCTAGCTAGAGAAAGGGCACCAAGCACTCGAGCTAGGGCATCAATGGACAAGCGGTGATGATCAACATGAGCATCTTTTCACTTCACTTTCTATTTGGACGCAATCAGTTGAAGCTCAGGGGTTGGAAAGACCCAAAATTCAGATGGCGAAAAGCAATCGAGCGCAGGAATATTTGGAGCTTGAATTGAATCGAAGTGAGCTTACCATCGCTAGCATGCAAGAAACAAGCCAAGGCACAAACGATCAAGAAGACCGAAACCGGCTTCATTCTTCACACCTCGTTTTCTTTCTGTCGATTGAGTTCGAGCGTTTTTTGCAGGGGTGGCCTATTAGGTCTATGATGTTCTTCTGTTCAGTTGAAGAGGAACTAGGATTGACTGCTCAAAAAAGTCCCAGAACGATAGATATGTACACCGATAAATAAAAGAATCGGTACATACTACTGCATACCAGTACAGTCGTCGGAGGTCATCGGGCACGAGTCGAATACACCGAAGATGTCAAACGGCGTGAGTGCCATTTTTTCCCGACAGCAGCCGCTAGCTCCTCTGTCCGGCCGGAAGGGCCAGATGCCAGCCTGAATGGATTGCCACACAGATTGTACTCGATGCGCTCTCTTCAATGTAAATATGGGCGAAGTTTGGCGAAAATACGAGGCTGTACGAAGCATGAGAAGGTATGAAGACACATGCGCCTTTAGCCACCGGTCCTTTCGGCTCATTGGAATTGTGGCAGAGCTTTGAGTCGGTCACTGTTGGTCAGCTCTGTATCTGTTATACAACACATCCGGTAAATGAATTGCTATGGCGGAATCTGACGTGATGCTAACAGGTGCTAGACCTGTGCTACTGCTAGACTGTGCTGATAGCCACAAATTTCTACTATGGTGGCGTGTATCATTTATTCCACATTACTATGTACAAGGCAACGAGCGCCTTCCGTATGTATCTCATTCTCGTCCCAATCGATGTTTCCTCGGAATCCGGGTGATGTACGCATTTACCATTGATAGTCATCGCGTCTCCAACCGCGGCACTCCCAGTTTTATCTCACAAACTGAAATATCCTCCACCCCGATCTAACCCTGGCGGCCATCTTGATCAACGAGGTAACAATTGCAAAATGTCAACATCTGACACACCGACCGCGGTCGGAAGGAGCCAGCTTAAGACAGAAACATTCCACTCCAGCTGTACGTACTTTTCTTGTGGTTTTTTTTTTTTTTGGGGGGGGGGGGGAACGTCTTTCTTGTGTTCACCTGTCCTTGCCTTTAGTTGATGATAAAGGTCCCAAGCACTCACAACACTCACAAGATGAATCATCAACTGCATACACGAATGCGCGACCCACTTCCCTGACTAACCAAGTCTCTTTCACTTCCACCCCATCGAGTAACTCGCGTGCACCTTGGGCCCGCTATCTCAACCGTTCGAAAGAAGCGGAGACATCGCAAGGAAACCAATCTCAAGTTCACATCGACTCAAACATTCAATCAAGATTGGAATTCCTAGGATATAGACAGGAACTGCACCGTAATTGGGATTTCTGGTCACTTTTTGCGATGTCCTTTTGCAACGTTCCAGTCCTGCAATCAGCATTTGGATCGGTTTCGGTGTCTTCCTTGCTTTCTGGGCCGATCATGTTCACTGTTGGCATGTTGATCACTACGGTCTTGATAGCTTGCCTGAATGCGGCTTTTGGAGAGATGGCATCGGCCTTCCCAATCGCTGGTGCCATGTTTTCTTGTAAATAATTTCTGGAAATTGCTTTTGCCATTGGGAGGACTGAACAAGTCATCTGAGTTGACGTAGCCTCATCTGTTCATCGTCCCCCACAGGGACCTTCAAGCTGGCGAGGGCGAACCCCGTTCTACGTGATTGGGCAAGAATCATTAGTTGGGTCGTTGGATTCTTGCTCACTACGTCGCATGTGATACTCCAGTTTCAGATTGGGGTAGAGTTCAGTAAGTGCAGTAGAGCTTCCATCTTATCCGCAAAATAGGCTGATTGAGTCAAATTCCTCCCTGCCATACACAGCAAGAGTCTTCACGACAGGCATTACAGCCTCAGGAGCGGATTGGCATGTCACTCGAAACGTGAATGCTTTACTTGTGCTAGGATTCATCTGCCTGACTGGCCTGGTATCATGCACCAAATTCTCGCGTTCACCCCAATTCTGGAAGGTCACTGGGCTCTTGGTTGCCATACTTCAAATTTCGGCCTGCGTTGCGATGATAGTTACTTCCCAGAAGCAGAGGAGTTTTGCCGGTCTTTTCACTAGTACGAAGAGCAAGTATGACTCCAAGAGCAAGGGATGGAACCTCCTTTACGGCTGGAGCGGGGTGACGTTTGTTGCTGGTTCGGAAAGTGTTGCACACATGACAGAAGAAACCAAAAATGCAGCGAAGACTGCCCCCAGAGCCATGTTCTTCAGCAGTATGTTCACCGGGTTCATGCTACTCATATGTTGCATTTGTGTCGGAATGGTAAGTGGGATTAAAACTTTGATTAAGCTTGTAATATTATAAGGTTCTCATATCATCACTTGACAGGCTGTCCCTCCGATCCGTCACAAAGCGACCGGTTTTGGGATTATCGATACCCTTTTCGCGCACTGCCCCAAGCCAGTGGCTCAGTTCGTTGTGATCTCGATCGTCTTGAGCTCATTCATTGCAAATGTATCTCAGTTTCTTGCCACTAGTCGATTTTTCTGGGCTCTGGCGCGTGACAAGGCGATACCTATGGGTAAAATGTGGAGAAAGATAACTCCTGACCGGCGGCCTCTACGAGCGGCATTCCTGTTGATTGGGATAAGCATGCTTTTCAGCTTAATCGCTTTTGATCCAACTAGTAATTCCATTATTATTTTTGACGTCTCAGCCGCTTATTTGGTTCTGGTCAGTTGCCAAATATCATTCAACATTGTGTCGATTACTGCGACTAAAAATGTATCCCATGACAGGTTTGCTACTTGACGCCGTTGGTTCTATATGCCCTCTCAAAAAAGGATGTCTATGATCGGGACGGTAGTAACGTATGGACGTTAGGATATCTCAGCAAACCGGTAACTTGGATATCAGTTGCGTTTTTAACTCTAGTATTGGCAACCTTAAGCGGACCGTCTGGATGGCCCGTCGATAAGAGTAAGCATTTTGTTCATCTTCTTTAAAAAAAAAAACTCTTGCGGGCAAAACGAGTTGAGACTTTTGTTGTATCTTAGAAACTTTTCCATACGCCCCAATTTTTCTAATCATCACTATCGGGATTTCCTTATTTTTCTGGTTTGTTTACGGGAGATCACACTATGCTGGCCCAATCAAATCTCTTACCACATGGACGGTGGGCTATGAAGTTGAGATACCTAAACCACGAGCAAATGTACCAGCCCGTCAGGAAGTAGTCAACCACTCCGATCTCCCTAGAACACCAGATCTTGCCGCAAACGAAAGAAGTTTAGCAAACATGACCAATCACCAGCGTACTGGGTTGGAACTTCCTCATGCTTATTGCACCTATGACTCAAGTGGGAGCCTGTGGTCGGCTTCGGAGAGTCAAGTTCCTATTCAATCTTTCTTCCATGAATGATTCGATTTTACCACCAGGAATATTGTCTCTTATGTTTGAACTTACTGTTTTTATTTCTCTGAATAAAGTAAATGATTTCGATTGTATCGGCTCCAACTTACAACTCCCATCAACATTTTTATATTTATGCCTGTGATATCTTATCAATCTATTTGTGTTTTCATAGCCAACAACGCTAGTTTCTTAACAGTTTGAAAATAACCGATTTATTCAGTTGTGTACACATTCTGACTGACGCACACACCAGATGCAGTAATAGATACCGTAAAATTTTGCCTAGCTTTTTGCAGCCCGATCCAAGAGCTTGACACAGTAGCTGCTCCAGTTTTTATGGAATCTTAAATTTGTCACTTCATCTACGCCTGGACTACCCTGTGTGTTTTCGGTGTACCGGAGCCGCGACAACCCATACACAGGCTTGACAAGTATGGTTCAGAGTGCAGTTGTCCATTCATACTCGCAGTGAGAATCGTGAGGCGACATCATGAGAAGATACGGATGAGCAGAATCTCCACAATTGGTGTGAGCATTTCATTGGCCTATTCGGGAGGACCAAGGCGCAAGCTCCCGTCGGTCAGGCAGACGTCGCCAAATGGCTGGGCAGACCGTCTGCCCAGCCATTTGGCGGCGACTCGAGTTTTGCCAGGTTTTGCCGCTCAATCGGCAATTCCCTAATACACAAGACTTTTTTTCAAGGCACACCGGTGAATGGTCGCGGCTGATAGCTTTCGGGGGATATTTTAAATGTCCAACACAGCGAACAGATGGATGTATTACGCCAGTTCCATGAACCATGTAAGCTGGCATTCTCACATGGCCTTCTTGATGTACGCCCGTCCAGGACAACCCTTCTGAACGCCCATGGAAGGCCGTAAAGCGCCATTTTGAGGAGACAATTCTCCCGTGGAGAGAGTCAAGCTCCGGTTGATCTGATCAGCCTGCTGCCGTCGCCGGAAACTCCCCGATGACCCAGAAGGTTTAGGGCCCTGCCAAAACCAAGCCATGTGGCCTCCAGCTAGTGTCAGTTATAGTGCCACACACAGCTCCTGCTTTCGATCTGTCCCTCTTACTTCTTGAGTACATGTTCTTCTGGATGCCCGGCCAAGAAAGGCCTCCCCAACGCTCTCCCGGATGATGTGAAGCAGACCATCTTCATTATAAGTCAGGCAGTTTTTTTTTTGGTTGAGAGTCCGAGGGCCAGACTGTTGTGAAACTCGAGCTTGTACAGCCTCTCCGTCGAACGCACGAAGTGCGGGAGAGGCTTGAGCCCAAAACGAACACGACTGGGTGTCACAGTTGAGTTTTTTGGCTGTTTTTTGCGCCAAAAATCATAGAAAATCCAGCTTTTGGATTTCTTGAAAGCTGAGATGGAGTGAAGATGCCCAACATGGAGGTCTTGACTTCTATCAAGAAACTTTTGGGAAAAAATGAAAACTACACAGTTGAAAAATTTTAAAGGAAAATTTGCCCAATGGCAAATTGGCTGAGCTTACATAAGCCAGTTTCAATCTCACTGCCTACCATATGAAAACATTTTCTCAATTTGACCAACTTAAAAAAGATCCACCTCATCCAATTTTCAAGATGAAGTTCTGAAAATTGGATGAGGTGAGAGGCATCACCAAGCACCAAAAGCTTGTCTACTCAAATCGCCAATAGCTGGTGATGTAAATGCTGTACATCCAGCTCAATGTGTGTTACACCAAAAGTGCCCAACCGTGACACGCGGGCCTGTTCGTGTTTGTCTTAAGTAAGGCATGGTCCCGGGGTTCGGGACGGGGTCTGAGGCCAGTCCCGAGGAACAAACACCCCGGGGTCTTGATTTTTTTTTTCAGGTGCGGTGTTGATCCTCCTCGACCGGTCAACCAGCCAAGGGAAAACTCTTCTTGGCTGATTGACGCAGTCTGTACCCTCCCCAGCTGGTTACAGACTCACTTACCGGTCAAAGAGGATCCTCCAGAATCCATCTTGGTCGGTATGTGAGTCTGCACCAACAAGCCGAGAACTTAGAAGTGCCTCTCCTTGGCTGTTTGGCACAGGCTGTACCAACCAGCCAGGGAGGAAAGCACTGTTGCCGGTTGGCTGTACCAACCAGCCAAGATGAATAAAGCACATCTTTGGCTGGTCAGTAGCCGAGCAACACCCCAGACCTAGCCAACTCCTGCCGACTCCCAAAGAATACACAGGGAAAAAACGGGCGGGAGGGCCCGGTCGGCCATAGAATGAAACTCTCAACTCCGGCGACCCTCTACAGACAGTCCTTGGGACTTGTCAGCTACAGAAGCAAGCTGTTTTTTAAGCCACTTGAATGGTTTCCCTGTGATTTATCAAAACCCCGGGGTTCCGGGGTTTTGCATAGTGCCATCCCGAGTCCTGAACCCCGGGGTTTGGATTCGGGCAAAACCCTGAACCCCGTGGTTCGGGGTCATGCCTTAGTCTTAAGTCCCTCCTTCGGAGGCTCGCGCTTCGCGCGAGTGGCGTTCCACACCAGCCAAGGCCACCGGGCCCTCCAAAGCGAGGGACTTTGATAAGTTCGTGTGAAACTGTGCCATCTGACTGTTAGACAGGAATGCGGTCAAGTCTTGACTTCACGGCTCTTGCCGTTGAGCTAATGTATTTGAGGTGTATGTAAGATAGCCAAGAGTTTTAGGGCACAATTAACAAGTTTAACATTAAACCTCAAACCATCTCTTCTTTCCACAGGTACCGCTACTAGCGATGTCGCATGAGACATTCATTCTCATCCTGACCCTGGGCTTGGGGGACACCTCAACATCTTGCCCCCTCTTTTATATTGTTTTTTCTCTTTTGTCTTGATTCTTGCTCCTCCATACTTTTCTATCTTCCCCCTTCTCTCCCCTCTCCTTTGATTTGTCCTTCCTAAACCGCTCACCAAGGCCCTTGCCTTTTCCATCATCTCGACACTGCCCCTTTTGATCTTCTCTTTCCTAAAGGCATTTCCCGGCCTCGTAACGAGACACGAGTCCTGGGCCAAGCAATAGGCTCTTCCTCTAAGCCTATGTCAAACCTAGACCAAGAAAAGTTTGAGAATGGAAATGTCGTTGCACCATCAGTTGGACTTTATGAGACAGAAAAGGGCACACCTGTAGGCAAAAGCGCAAATGCAAAAGGCAAAGGGAAGGCCCTCGAATCAAAATCAGTCTCTAAGAAGAGGTGTGGAGCATCAACTCCGGACGCTGTACTCTGACATTAACGTCCAAAAGCTCTCTTCACCTAATCTGGCCCATTGAGGCCTATTATCCAAATTTGAACCTAGTGTTTGCACCAAATTTGTCTCTACTTGATCTCGCTATTCGAGGCCTATTGCCCAAAGTCAAACTTGTTTAATTCCGGAATAGTAAACGTTTGTTTCTGCTGAATGTACCTTAGTAAAACTTCCTTAACGACATGGGGTTTTGATCTATGTATTTCTATCTATATTATATCTCTCCAACTTAAATCCGGGCAACACCATTTGAATCTCTGTTCATGTCTTCAATCAAGATGAACACGGCTTCCTTGTTGCAGTTAGTCGGACTTCTCCATTTCCTATCCTGTCCCTAAATATACTCACTTTGCTTTGACTGAGCCCCTCAACTTTTGTTCCATGTTGAAAGCGCCAACAGTCTCAAGATTGGAATCAAAATATTGCTTAAACCTCTTCACTGCATACTGACTTGTCCCCCGGATTATCCTCTCAACCGGAATATCAAACCCAATTGCTTCACAAACATTGAATAACCATACAGATTTACGCACCCGTTGATCAAGGCCATTCGAGTGGTACAGCCAATCCAGAAAAGGATGGCATCTTCTCCTCAACTGCACCAGCTCGCTTGTGCAGATCCATCCTATTCGTGATCTGGGTAAGGTTAAGTGCCCTGCTGGATTGAAGGAGAATAAGAGCTTCTAGCCCAAACCAAAACCTTACTGGCTCATGAACCGGTAGTATCTGCACACAAGCGAGCTGGTGCATTTGAGGAGGGGATGCCATCCTTTTCTGGATTGGCTGTATCACTAAATCCTACAAATGGAGAGAGCATGTTAGTCCCATCTTTGTTCTTACCTCATATTCGATCACTCCTGCTGAACTCATCCTTGTGACCATCCCCACGTCTAGCAACTCAAACAACTAGGTCATTTATTGCAAGAGAATGAATATCTTTTGGAGGAAGCTCTCACCATTGATGTACGTCTATGCTCAAACCCTTTTGAATCTACATGTCAAGAGCTGAGGGGATTCAGGCGCTTATCGATTGTTTTTCACTATTCTTCATTCCAACATGGCTAGCTCGGCATACAAAACCTTGAAAGTCATGGGGGCAAGTTGGTGGGGACGAGAAACGAGGTACTCTCTGCGTTGAAAATTCTCAAGAAATGGATCAAGCCTCAAAGTGTGAAGACCAAGCTCACTTGGCTGATTGCCAAACCTTGGGTCTATCATGAACCAAAAGGGATTGTGGCAATTTTTGGAGCTTGGAAGTATGTACCCATTTCCTTGGGTTGTTAGCTATCCTGTAGTGCTACTGTTTGGTCCACTTGTCGGTGCAATTGCTGGCGGAAACTCCATCATTCTCAAACCCTCTGAAAACTGGCATGTCAACCGTAGTCGGAAAATACTTGGATCCTCGGAACATCTGCGTTGTCAATGGTGGCCAAGAGCAAAGTACTGCAAAGTAAAAAATGTTGTGAATAAGCAATTATTCACGAGAATGGACTTAAATTAATAGAGCTGTAGTATATGACTGAAGGGATTTGGTATAATTTGTATAAATTATTAAACTTACTCAAATCACATGGAATTATTTTAATGTAAATTAGGCGGCAAAGCCGCCTTTAAACACTAGTAGTTACATATAAACAACAGTTTTAGGCAACCCTAACACAAGTGCCAACCCCGATCAGTGTGCTTGGAGCACTCAGTCACGCATCTATCGCCTTTGCGCCGAGCTTACGATTCTGGCGGGGCTGCCCATGTGGAGCTCTATTAGGCCCTAGGTTTAAATTGAGGGTATGATCTAAATGTGTGACTGAAATCTTCAATCAAGACCAAGTGTCTCTCTTGTATCGAAGGCAAAGACAGAACCCTTCTCTCCTCACTACAGAAGCTGGCCCTCCCCCTCCTCCCTGTCAAGTTTATCAGAGTCACAAAATTGATGTCGAGGAAGTGCATTTCCTTTTTTCTAATCTCGACATCTCCTCCACATACGTCTTTTGGTAAGTTAACACCTAGAAAAGATGCTGATTATACACGTTATTATTATTATTATTATTATTTTGGGAGGGGTTTGTTGTTCAAGTTTGTCTCTTTTACAATCTTCCTTCCTGCTTAATGCTAACATTATCAACCCTTGCCAAGAAACTAATGTCCAGTTAGATTACTTTCTACCCTAGGTCATCTAGGTGAGCTCAGGGTTTTTATTTTGTCTTGGCTTCATGCATCATATAACCTAGTAACGCCTATCAGTTACAATCTCTTTCTCTCCCTTCTGACTCTATGATAATGTACGCCTTGCAGGCTTGCATACGTCTGTCAATTTCTTACATATTTACGCGACTTGCTCCTCCTATCAAATTTATTAATAAATACGTCAGATCTAATATTTTTGAACCCTCTGCCACTGGTTCTAAACAACCCTTCCAGTTCCTCATATTGTATAGCTTTATTCGCAAACCATCTTGTGAAACCCTTGAAGGATTTGATCCATGTATGTATTTATGCAAAAGACAAACTTTCTTTTCATCGTAAAAAAAGCCCGCGCCACAATAAGGGGAAAAAAAAAAAACAAGAAAAGAGGGAATCTCGTTCCGATTGCAGGCATCAGCAGAGCCGACGGGCTTGCCCGGTTTTATTGTCTATGCAACGTATTAAATAACTAAATAAGATACCCAAACTTGCAAGGTTATGTTGATAATTAAATTAAATAGTAGATTTAGGCGATTTTCGAGCTCGGCCGTCATGATGAACAGTGGAGGCTGGTTCGGTCAGATGATGAAGTGATTTGAAGCAAAAGCAGGAGAGGGGGTTGATGACGTAAGCGGGGGATGGGCGATTGGAGGCGATGGGAAAGAGGGGGTGTGTGTTTTGTTTTGGGCAAGTTACCGAAGACAGTGGGATATGATTCAGTAAGTTAGATAGTTGTCGAATCAGCTGACCCCGCTGATCAACTGGCCCCCGGTTGGCCTACGTAACTCCCACTGCACTCCCCCCCCCACTCCACTCCCCACCAACACCAGCACCACCAGCAACTTCAACGGTCAACAGGAACCAAAACACTTAAAACAACCCACCCCACAAACACACCCACACTATCCCCTGCTCTCTCTCTCTCTCTCTCTCTCTCGATCGGAGCCTTCTAAGAAAACAAACCATGTCTCGTCAGTCATCCCATCAATATCCCCAAGACCTGACTGACTGAGAGCAACGACTGACATCATCTGACCTACAAACAGTCGACGAACCCAACAAAGTCATCAAGGTGCTGGCCTGTGATGGTCGAACGGGCGAGCAACGCGAGATCGGCTACACCGGCACTCATGTCGTCGGAAATGGCTCCTTTGGCGTCGTCTTTAGCGCTCAACTCGTCGTCGGCTCCGTTCATCCCTCCGGCAAAGAAGAGGTCGCAATCAAGAAAGTCTTACAAGATAAACGATTCAAAGTACATTCCTCTCTCTCTCTCTCTCTCTCTCTGTGTATCCATTCCCCTCCATTCACCCCTTACTGATCTTCTCCTTCTACTATCTCAGAATCGAGAACTTCAAATCATGAAACTGTTGATTCATCCAAACGTGGTCGACCTACGTGCTTATTTTTATTCGTCCGGAGATAAAGTGAGCAAATCCTCCCCAGCCTCTCTATCCTTCAATACAACTGCTTTCGATGTTGCTTATGTCACCCCCTACATTCCTTGCCAGGCGAAGCGCGATGAAGTCTTCTTGAACTTGGTGATTGAGTATGTGCCCGAAACCGTCTATCGCGCCTCCCGTCATTACTCCAAATTGAAACAGGTCAGTCTCATTTGTGGCACTCTTGTCATTCTCTCCATTGGTTCTCCTCTAACCCAATTGATTCCAATCTCGCTCATGTCGCGTCCAATCGATCGATTTGACCAACAGGTCATGCCGATCTTGAACATCAAGTTATACGTCTACCAACTCTTGCGATCACTAGCTTACATCCATTCTCTTGGAATATGTCATCGAGACATCAAGCCTCAAAACTTGCTATTAAACCCATCGACGGGCGTCCTCAAGCTATGTGATTTTGGCTCGGCGAAGATCTTGGTGGCTGGAGAACCGAACGTCAGTTATATATGTTCGAGGTACTACCGAGCACCAGAGCTGATTTTTGGGGCAACCAACTATACTACTAACATTGGTCAGTGCCCACAGTCGATAAAAAAACCCTCAAGTCTCGTGACCGCAGTAATTCTCTCTTATAGTCTTCTCCCTCCCTCTGTATTTTATCCCCCCCCCATGCCTTCTGTTCGCGTGATCGATGTCCGGGTCGTTGATCTACGCAAATTCTCGATGTAGATATCTGGTCGACTGGTTGTGTGATGGCTGAGTTGATGCTCGGTCAGCCTTTGTTCCCTGGTGAAAGCGGGATCGATCAATTGGTTGAGATCATCAAGGTACTCGGAACTCCTACTCGAGAACAGATCAAGACGATGAATCCTAACTACATGGAACACAAGTTCCCGCAGATCAAGGCACATCCATTCCCCAAGGTAAGTCAACACGTGATCTGTTTTGGACTTATTTGACGAGCAAAAAAACTGAATGGCAAATTGATGGGCTTTCGATAAAGGTATTCCGACCACGTACGCCGCCGGATGCGATCACATTAGTCTCGAACTTACTAGAATATACGCCTTCTTCAAGATTGACGGCGATCGAAGCGATGTGTCATCCGTTCTTTGACGAATTGAAACTGCCGGAGACCAAGTTGAGCTCGGGTAAACCCTTGCCCGAGTTGTTCGACTTCACCGAACTCGAGTTGTCCGTCAAACCCGAGTTGATCAAGTCTCTCGTTCCCGAATTCGTCAGAGAAAAGTTGAAGATCGAGAGGAATATTGATGTTGATAACTTCAAACCGGTCGAACTTCCTAAATTTACGCTCGATTAGTCTTCTCTTCTCTTTTTTTTTGTCTTACTTTCTCATCCCCTCTCCTATATTCCTTCTTCTATCTTTTTACCCTTTTTCCCGCTTTTTTTTTTGTTTTGTAAATCTCGGCCCTCAACTTTTTTTTGACATACATACATTACATATGTAGTTTTTTTTTTTTTGATGCCTCAAATCTCAAGTGTCCACGTGCATATTTATATGTGTGTATGCATACAGACATATATATGTATACAAATATATGTGTGTGTGTTTAGGTGATGTTTTGTGTGTTGTTTTTTGTGAGGGTGGTAGCGTGTTCTCTTTTCTTCTTACTTCTTTTTTTTTCTTTTTTTTTTTGGCTCTCTATTATGTTGGTCTTGAAGACATGATGATTAAAGCAAAGGAAGTTTACAAAAAAAAAACAATAACCAAATTACAAAATAACAAAGAAGATAGAATCAGAAACACGGTTATTCACTTATTTCATACATACATTCTGTATATGTAACTTCTGTTTGCAACTTGTCTATGAGTTTGATCCAACCAAAAAATGGGAGGGTAATAATCGTGAGAGCTATTACACCACAACACATTTTGTATGGATTGATACAGTTGAAATTGAAGTTGATTTGAGTGACTTACATACACATGTGTGAATACTTCAAAACAGTCACACAAAAAAGTCATAAAAATTACCTATGATGTTTTTTTTTTTTTTGGACTTGTACAATTTGAATGAGGAAAACCAAATGTTGATTCTGATATATCCTCCATCTCAAGTGGAGAAATATGTCACTTGAAGCTATGTAAGGCTACAATTATAAACAGCTTTTTGAGATTTTTTTTGAGAATCTTTTGAGTTTGTTTTGCACTCAATCCCAAAAAATAATTCTTATGTTTTTTCTGAAAAAGATCTCAAATTGGCTTGGAGGGTTGCTTTGAGTTTGATTTTTTTTTTTTTAAAATTTTGAACATATCTCATCTTTTGCAATGGCCAAGAGGTCTGTGTATGGGTCTGTGTACTAGGAGAAATGCCAGAGAACCCTTGTGCTGAAACACCAATCATCACCCTTGCATAGTGGCTGATAGCGGCACTCTCCTGTCCTACCTCAAATTCAGCTTTTCGGCTCAGGAGTCATCAGATGTTGCTCCTTTCCCCAGTCCGCCGGTCAGAGTCCTGAGCAGAGAAGTCTGCAAATCTCACAACCACCAGGGACTTGTGGGCTGAATCAGAGCTTGGGTTTATGATTACACACTGTTATTGAATCAGCTTTGAAAACTGATCGAGCTATGTATCAATTTCCTAAAAAAAATAGAAGAAATAAATTTCAAGACGATTTCAAAACGTTTTGAAAAAAATCTCAAAAACATGTTTATAATTGTAGCCTAATAAGTAGCCAGACTGTACACTTGGGCTAAACCAAACCAAACAAAACAAAGCAAAATATGTAACCCACATGAACATTGCTTCTGACACTGTACTTTGTTATATGTGCCTCTCTATATATCCTCAACGTTCAAGATTTTTTGACGTTCTGGAGCTCTCTGGTCAGTGGGTTGTAAAAATACATGTGAATTGTGCCTTGGGATTGGGATCTGCAAGGGCTTTATTTTTTGGGGGGGAGGGGGAATGAGACAAGAAGCGTAGTATTCCATACTAAAATCCTTGGTGATCTTCCCCACCTGTTCAAAGACCATCAGTGTTGAGTTTTTGAGCTCTTGACCGGTTGAAGTTGAGGAATTTGAGAAGGGGGCACAAAGAAGGCAGGGGCCCTTTTTTGGGAAAGGTTCAAGGTGAAAGAATGAAAAGAACCGATAATTTTTATTCACTGTAGGTAGGCTCGCTTAAGTAGACTAGGTACAAGTGATCAAAATGTGGTTTGAGAAAAATGAATAAGAAAAAGTATTTTGAATAAGAATTGAGAGAAGATAAAACAAGTTCTTGGAAGTAACAAACTATACAAAACTTCTCATTCTCTTTTAGTAATGTCAGATGAGTTAATCAAGAAAAAATGTTTCAAATCACAGATAACAAGAGGCGTTAATTCTTATTAATCAATTCTTAATAACACATAACAAGTCAGGAAAAAGAGAAGATAATACCTTAGAGACAAGAATATTGAGTTGAGCTCATGTGGTTCAAATTTGACTCTGTAGGAACTCAGAAAACAACAAAGACCTGCTACTTGGTAAAATTAATCTAGTCTGGTTGAGGGTGCTAAGAAAGAGTAATAGGGAAGAGAGAGAAAGATGAGGAGAATTTCAACAATCAGTTGGATCTGATAACATTGAGCAGGTTCAACCCCTGTTGCCATTGTGAGTGGTTTATGTATAGAAACTTCCAGGACCATTGGAAAGATTGATAGGATCCTAAGCTCAATTGAAATGGTAGCATATGGATCATCTTCTATTCATTTAAGGAACATCTTGGGCTGCCTTGATAAAAAACCAGAACTTGAAGGACCATCTGCTCAGGTGGATGAGTGGAGGTCCTCATAATCATTGAAGCCTTTGGGCAAGGATTCTGCAAGCCTTGAGACTCTTTTGTAGTAGATTCTTGTGACAAGAGGGCCATGTCACAGGTTCAAAAGGGGATGGAACTGGCCGTCCAAGCTGAGAATCAATGGATCTTTCTAACCAACCTCACAATCACAACACAGCTCAGCCTGTTTATACTTAGTTTTCTTTTGTGGGACCATCTATCCTAAATCAGACACTGTCAATTGCCCGGACCCTTGTGTCCAAACTGTTTTTTTTTCAGCAACGTGGCGCAGTGTTTAGAAGTGTCTGGCTTTGAGTGTCATAAAACGTCTAGACCACCACTCCAACTGACTTTGTGACTGAAAGATCGAGAGACTTGTGTTGAGTCTGGCCTCTAACTCCTGTTTTTCAATTCAACAACATCGAAACGAAAGATATCCTCATTGAGACTCAGAGGAGTCTGAAGGCGTGTATGAACACTGGGTTATTGGAGATTGTCCTGAGTCCCCTCAACCAAATCTTTATCACAGTTAAAGTTAAATACTGAGGATCTGAATTGAAGCGTACTTAACTCTGAGCCCGGGCTATTTCCACAAGAGCCCAAAGTTCAACTTGCTAACACTTAAGTTTCAAGTTGTAAAGCCGCCTCGCTTTCAAGGGGGGGGGGGGGGGGAAAGATTATGCTCATGGGCACAAAACAATATATATTTCTCTGACTCAAATTTATCTATGTATCTATCCAAATTTTGAAAACGTTCTTTTTGATTTTTCATAGCGATGCGTTTCTTAATAGGATTCATTTGCTTGTTGTTGGTCACCATCCCGGCCGTTAAGGCTGCGTCATACCAGCGCATATTCGGATCTCTCAGAACAGAAAAGGTCGAGCGAAGTGATACCAAACTTCATGGTACGCATTCATGTACTAGTGGCATTGTTTTACCGAAGTAGATTATAGTGCCTGCTTGCTGACCGTCTTCCCTCAAAGCACTTGCGAATAAACCGGCAAATGATGCAGTCTTGGCAGGCGAAGGTAATGTCAGCGGAGTGACGGGCAAAGGGATAATGTGTCCTGTACGACGTATGTTCATTGTTTATCTCATGGAAACAAGTTGTGTCCCTGATAAGGCAGGATTTGGAACTCTTGGACCCTCTTTGCAGGTTCTCACATGCTGAAAAATTGGGATAAAAACCAAAGTCAGTTCTTTTTTTGTTTGCTCCTTTCACCGACTCATTAAGCTGAGGTGGCTGAGACAACGCAATGGTCATTAATAGAAGAGGTCATATTGCTTGATGAATATTCAAGAAGGCTTTTGAAGTCCCAAAGCAAGCTTCTGTTAGAAGACTTTGAGTTTCTGAAAAGTCAGACAAAAGAAATTGATCTTGGAGAATTGTCTGAGGCAAGGGAAATCTTGGAAGAATCCAAAAAGAATGTTTCAATTCTCAAGCAATGGAAACTCTTTAAACTTGCCCATGTTGATTTTAAGGTCTCACACACCAAATTTAAGGAATGTTTTATTTCAAATGAGAAGGATAGCTCACTCTACCAACAGCTCTCCAGATCTCCAGTGGATCTGTTTGGATTGATCTATGATAAAAATCTTGAAGGAATTGGAAATGAAACTTTGAAAGGAGTCAAGAAGTTGATTTCTCATTATGATTTCCTATGGAATACTGCTATCCCAGGTTATGCTTATATATTCATAAAAATCAGGAAACATATAAGGAATTATTTTTGTTTGATAGTTGATTTTTTGTTTGAAAATGAAATGATCAATCAAGAAATTGTCAGAAATTTATTTCAAGAGGAGAAGATTGTCCGTGAAATAGTTAGGCATACTACTGCTTGTTTAGGGAAAGACATCCAAATGAAGCACATTGATTTTGGTCCAAGCTTGACAGAACATTGGTATTGGCCACATGTGAATAAGTTTTTTTCAGGTATTTCAAAATTCATTTTTTTAATTGAATTCAAGTTCCTTCAAATCTTGACAAACAAATGTTTCTTCCACATAAAAAAAGCTTTGACAGAAAAAGAGAAGTGTGTTTTTGATTTTGTTTTCTTAGTCGAAAGGGTATATCATGAGGGTGAAGTGAATAAATTCAGCACAATTCAATTTTGGTTGGATGGTTTCAAGTTAAAGGAAATAATATCAAAGCATTATTCGATTGAACAATACTTTAGTAGACTGAAAAAATTCCAAGAATTGGATGATGTAGACTATTTTGGAGGAAATATTACACTTGATCCAAAATTATCAACCAATAAGCCAAAGGGAGATGAAGAAGATATGTCAAAAATGATTCCACTAGTTCTGCTTCAGGAATATCCTCAGGCTCTCAGTGGGTATAATAAATCATATTTAGCTCAGCTTAGGCCAGCTGTTTTTGATCTGTTGGTATTTCTTGAAAAGAACCTATGTCCAGGGATCCTCAATAAGTTGTAGGTTTAAATTATTTATAATCTTCAAACAAATGAGCCAATCCAACCTAATTATGACCTATTTTTCTTCCAAAGTATTAGGACTTGCAAATTGGAAAAGATATCATTAGTAAACACCTCCCAAAAATATGACACAGAAGATGTAGTAAAACTTATCATACTTTCATCAAAGTGTTACAATCTCTTGTTATTAGCTAGAGATTATGAAGGAACATTCAAGAAATCATCTGAAAGAAATGTGTTTGGTTTGTCTTATGATCAGTCCATTTCAAACAGATATCTCTCTCAACTCAATAACATCCTTCCAGAATGGAAAAATATATATTATAAAGTTAAGGAAGGGGGAGATGAAATTATCACAAGTTTGTCTGAAGGTGACAAGAATATTCCTCCCCTGATTCTTCATATTCAAGAAGAATACAAATCAGATGCACAGAATTCTTTTTAGATCTGGCTGGGATTTGAAATCTCATTTGTATTTCCTTTCAGGTGAAAACTATCTCCATAAGATCACTTTTTAAAGTGAAACCTGCACCCTAAGGGAGTAAGTTGACACCTTTGTAAGGTTGTTACTTTTGAAAGAAGGTTTGATGCCTGCCTTAAAATGGGCTATGCCCTTTTAGGTACTGAGTTTGCAGCCAAATCACAGTTTTGGAGAAGTCTGGGTCTTTGCCTTTGGCAAGATTATGCATTCAGAATTTTGAACTTGGACAGTGTTCACTATTCAATACCAAGGCATGATCTTTAAGAGGTATAAAAAAGGGTGTCTCCCAAATCATGATCTTGATATAAACTTAATCCCTTTGAAGTTTAATGATAACCCTCCCATGAAGTCAGACAAGTTTGAATGTGTCTTTGTATGTATCATTTGATTGCCAAATTGAAGTAACAAGACCTCTGTGCATCTGCACTCACAGAGGAATGCATTTGTTTTCAGTTCAAATTAAAATGGGGGTCTGGTTATCTAAAACCCACGAAGTAGATGGATTGGCAGCACTTAAAAAAACCATCCAAACCTGGCATATCCGGCTCCGACACACCGGATACCCAACCAATCTAGAATTTTCTTCAAAAAAAAACCTCCTCAAACGGTCTGGGAGAGGCCATAACAAGTTCATGTTTTTTTAGAAAAAACCTTTGAAATATGCCATGCCAAATTTCTGCTTCCCTTGGTCAAAGTCGATGCCAGACTCACAGTGTGATAGTCTTCCACAGGACAGGTAGCAATAAACAATTTGGTGAGGTTTTCCGACTGCCATTCAATGCTGGAAACAGACAGGTGCTTGTCCCTTGGCGGCGCAGTGATCAAACGTGTCTGGCTTTTGCTGCTGTGTATAATTTGCAGCCCGTTCCTTCAACTCCCATGCCTCAATCAAACAGTGAGCCCCGCAGAAATGGCCCCACTGGATGGAGTTTGAAGATCTATCAAGGTACGCAGAACCACCTTGATATCTCCGCTGATAAAATCGGGTCATAGTCCAGTTTACTCTCCCAATAATAGCCAACAGTTTCACTGCAAGTAATTAAGATACCTCGGTCTTGAAGGAGGAAGTTTTAACGTCTATATGTGTTCTTGGTTCATCTCCATTCAGTCGTTGTAATCGTTCTTCAGCGATGTTTCGTCTATCCCGGTTCATCAGCTTGTTGTTGCTTTCAATTCCATTCGTTTACACCGTGTCAAACCAGCGAATATTTGGCTCTCTCAAAACAGAAACCGTTGCACGAAGCGATAACCAACTCCATGGTTAGGATTTCCATCTGCATATACATATAAGTATGATGGTGCTTCGTAGAAAAAAAAAGATGTTAGGTCGACAAAGTCTTTCCAGCTCTCTGATCACTTTCGTTTCTCACAGCACTTGCGAGGAAAAGTGAAGGTTATGAAAGCTTGGTAGAAAAAGGGCAATCCAGCGGAGGCACCAGCAAAGGAACTATTTGTCCCATACGTCGTAGGCTCACTGACTCCATCATTAATTAAAGCTATGTTCATGATCTTATGGTTTGAATTTAATTTGAAATATATGCAAAGGCTCCAACATGCTAAAGAATTGGGACACAAATCAAAGTGAGTTTTTTTTAAAAAAAAATCTTTCTCTCACTGGATAAGGCTCAGTTGGCTTAGAGAAGATGATTGGGCTCCTTAGAAGAGGTAATATTTCTTGAGGAATATTCAAAAAATCTTTCAAATTTCCACAACCAGCTTCTACTGGAAGACTTTGAGTCAATGAAGATAAGAAGGAAGAATATTGATCTTGTAAAATTGTCTGAGGCAAAGGAAATCCTTGAAGAATCTAAGAAGAACCTATCAATCCTTAAGCAATGGAAGCTATTCAAGCTTGCTAATGTTGATCTCAATGCTTTACATTCCCAATTCAAGGAATGGTTCATTTCAAATGAGAAAGACAGCTTAATCTACCAAAAACTCCTTAAAGTTCCAGTGGATATGTTTGGATTAATATTTGATCAACACCTACAGGGACTTGGAAATGTGACATTGAAAGAAATGAAGAAGTTGATTACAAATTATGATTTCCTATGGAATGATCTAATACCAGGCTGTCCATTTAGTTTCCCTAAGATAAGAGAACATGTGAGAGAATACTTTTTCATGATGGTTGATTTCCTGTTTGAAAATGAATTCATCAATCCAGAAATGGTTAGAAGTCTATTACAAGACCAGAAGATTGTTTGTGAAATAGTTCATCACACTGCTACTTGTTTGGGGAATGAAATCGAAATGAAATATATTGATTGGGGGCCAAAGTTGACAGAACATTGGTACTGGCCACATGTGAACAAGTTTTATTCAGGTGAAATTCCAGCCCAAAAATGTCAAATTTATTCCTGAATCAGTTGCTAATCTTGCTTCACATTTTTCTCTTCCTAAAACTACCTGCCTCAATTGAAAAAAAAAAAAAAAAGCTTTGGGCAAAAAAGAAGAGAATATTGTAGATTTTGTATGTCTCTCAGAAAGGATATATGACTTAGGAGAAAGTAATCGAGCCAGTATAAATCAGTTTGGGTTTGATGGATGGGAGCTATGGGAAATAATATTCAAGAGTCATTCAATTGCAATTGGACAGTACTTTAGGAAATTGAAAAATCTGAAAGGATCAGATGGTTTAGAAAATTATTCTGGAAAAAATAGCTTACTTCATTCTCAACTATCAACAAGTGATCTGAAACTACTTGAAGAGGAGATGGAGCAAACAGTCCCCCTGTTAATCCTTAAGCAATATCCTTATGCTCTCAGTGGGTCTAACAAATCATACTTGGACCAATTCAGGCCAGCGGTTTTTGATCTTTTGATATTTTATGAAAACAACCTGTATCCTGGGATCCTCAACAAGTTGCAAGTTTCCCCTTCTTTCTTCTCAGAATAAATAGAGAAATTCAAAACTAATTTTGGTCTCTGGGTTCTACAGTATTATGACATCCAAGTTAGAAAGAGTATCATTGGTAGACACTCCACAAGCGCATGATAATGAAGACATAGTCAAGCTGATCATACTTTCCTCAGAGTGTTACAGCCTGTTTTCATTGGCTAGAAACTATGAGGCAATCTTTGAAAAGGCTGCTGAAAGAACCGTTTTTGGTTTGTCATATGATGAATCCATTCCAAAAGGGTATATCTCTAGACTCCACGAGATTCTTCCTGAATGGAAGAAAACATACTCCAAAGTTAAAGAAGCTGGAGAAGAGATTATCACAAGATTATGTGAAGGCGACAAGAATATACCTCGTCTGATAAAAGCAATCAAAACAATTGAGACAGAACCTCTCCATAAACTCAGTAAACTCTTCTTATCATAATCCCATCCAGATTTGTAAACTCTAACAGGTTTCATCCATGCAAACATGGGTCCACAAAGCCCTTGACCATTCTCGTTCACCAATTTTGAAACATGTTAGCCAAACCACAGCTTACTGCTATGCTTATCAAGAGAATATTTGTAATGTTTGTTTATTTTTGACTGATGCATAAAGGGTGATTCAAAAGAAAAAAAAACCTATATCTTTTGCTATAAAGGGTGTTTCTCACCTCTCAGTGATATATCCATCAACCATGAGTAAGGCCAGCACCCAATCTGTGTTGTATCAAGTTGATTTTCCAATACTTTACGATTATAAGATACAAATGAAGTCAAGACCGACCATTGATACAAGTGGTCATCATTTTTCATCAATCTATTTCCACTATCAATTTGTAATTTAACCACATCTCATATCATTTTGTCCTTACATGGACTTGGACATATGGCTCCCTGAAGCTGGAGCAGCAACTCACAAATTTCAGGGAGATCCTATCTGGAGAAGGTTCCAGGAGCAATCCTGGTTTCCTATGAGCAGTCATTCCCAATCTGATCAGGGGGGGGGGGCACCTGGGAGAGTTGGCTTCCAAAGCTGACAATCAAAAGATGTATTTTATCCATCCTAGGCCACTGGCACTAGACCTACATCACTACATGGGCAGGTAGACACAGACTGTACTCACTGGCTGACCACTGCACCTGCTATGTACATAGGTAACTGGCAAAGACTGTATTGACTGGCCAAGGAAGAAGGATCTTCCTCAATGGGAAGGTCCTTACTAGGTGGACAGGTGGACTCAGCTACCAGGTTTCTTGCCCATGATTGGCCAATTAGGGCACAGAAAAAAACTCAGGAGGTTTGAGGAGAAGTGAACTCCTAGATCCCCACAGATGGGGGCTGGAGTGAGTACACAGGACTCAGAATCAGCTCTGGGACAATCTCCAGAAATCACAGCTTGGGTGAGCCAGAAGTTTAAATACACATACATCATGCAATATGTTACATGGTTGTGCACTCCAAAGAATCTGGAATCCACCGATTTTTCACTCCTGTAAATCTTGGAGTGCATGCCCAAGCACTTGAGAGTGTTTTTACTGGCCAGACATTTCTAGAAGTGCTCACTCCAAATTATCTGGATTGCACAGATCAGCTTCACTCCAAAAAAAAAAAATTGGAGTGTTTCCTGGGACCCCTAGTACACAAGAATGGGCCTGCCAATCTATAGACAGGTCATTGTGGATTCAATTCAAAAGATTTCTTCTGTCTGTCTGTTGACCAGGCCCCCTGATGATGATGGCTCTCTAACATTCCAAAATCCATATCCTTTCATGTTGAGTGCCTTAATGGAATATTGTGTGTGTGTGTGTGTGATATCAGCCTGGAGTGGGGGGCCAAGGAAAGACTCTACATGTAACTGTTTGGAGTGAAGTTCTGTGGACTCCAAATAAATATTGGGATTGAGTAGCAGGATTTGCAGTCCCAGAAATACCTATGAAGTGAAGTGCACTCCAGATTCTGTGCACATCATCTTTTTTGGTGTGTGTGTTTGGTGTGGAAAAAGGCAGACCCTACACCTGGGGTGCAGTTCGACGTGGACCGACACCCCTTTTGCCCGTGGATCCCACGAGTGACCACTGCAGGGAGTCGGACCAGGACCTGACGGTCCAGAGTTTTCCGTGGACCCCACCCAACCATCCACGGCATTCCTCCGAAGCAGCCCCGAGGAGCCGACGTGATTTTGGGTAGGGCCGCGGTTGCAGAAACCGCGGGGGCCTCAAAAAGGAAATAACTGGGACTCGAACCTAGGTGGCAGGGTGGGCTGGTCGGTCGAGGGTGATCCTTGACGACTAGTCCACAGGGACTTGTTGGACCCCAGGCCTTTTCGAGATGATAGCCACCCGTCCTGATCGGTTCCGGGTTATTTTTACTGACATCAAAAAAAAAAATTCAAAGTTTTTTTTTTTTTTTTAATTTTTTTTTTTCTTCAACATTCGTTTTTCTGGAGCTTTTAGACTGTCAGGACCCGTTCTAGCGGGTCCGGCTTGAAGGTAAAAAAAATATGGCCGCCGTGGGACCGACGTGAGCAACGAGAGCCCGATCGGCTCGGATGGGAGTTCGTGGAATCAACGTTGAAAAAAACTCGGTTCGTGGAACCGCCGTCGAAATCGGCTCTTACCGAACCCTTACAGAGCCGATCTCGTTGGTTCCACGGATTGGCCGAGTTTCGTCGGTTCCACAATCCCGCGCGGTACGAACTGCCGCTGGGGTGTAAGCTTTATCCCAGTGCAGATCTGGTGATGAGCTTATGCAGCGCAGATTGCAATCAGATTTTTATTCGCCCAGATTATGAATTCTTCAAAAAAACAAAATATGAACGACCACCACCCACTGAGAAGAGCAGCCCCACCAGCCAGGCCACATCCGATCGCCGGCTACCGAGCACAGCACCACCACCACAGCCAGCGAGCCATCCAGGCGGCAGGGATCGACCCACTCGAACTCCAGCGGGGCCTCCACCCAACCAACGCATTCGCAAGACTCGACCACAACACTCTCAGCAGGATCCTCAGCTTCATCAGCCCAATCCAACTACTCACAACACTCAACAGAACAAGCAAGACTCTCAACAGACTCATCAACCAGCACGATAACCATCTCCTATGGAACACCAAACTAGACTGGCTCACGAACAACCCCCTCACATCCCACACACTGCCCTCGATCATCAACATCAATCCAGATAACCTCGAGAATCTATTCAGCCACCCACTCCTCGGTCCCCCCTTCCAGCAGGATGGCAAAGAAGAAGAAGACCTGCTCTCATTCGACCCTGCGCCCTCATCCCAATACCCCTCCATATATCCCGGCAAGATCACCAACACTACCAAGGCCCGCATCCTCACATACAAACCTCATCATCATCATTCTAAGGCGACGACGACAAGAAAGACGACGGATTATCGGGGTCGATTCCTAGCTTACTATCGATCCTTGTTGCCGTACTTGGACTCGCTCATCGAGCACTCCACCGACTCCTTGGTCTTCCTCATCGCCGGGCTCAGTCCGCTCCAACGCGCCGAGCTCTTGGCCGTCCTTTCCAGACTCCTCCGCAACCCCGCCCTCGCACCCCCTCGTCTACTCCTCAACAAGACCCTCCACGATAACCTCAACAAAGCCCTCTGCGCCTTCCATCGCGCTCTCTACAACCAGTTCTCCCTCGCTCTCAACACTAACAGGTTGTCCGACTTGAACACCCTCGCCTGCGTCAATGCTGCTCTTCCCCCTCTCTTGCTCCCTTCCTCTGGTCTGGGAATTCCTGACATCGCTCGTTGCTTCATCGACAAAAGAGTCATATTCGAGCATCAACCCTTTAACCCGTTGGATAACTTGAGGTCTGTTTCCCCTCTGATCAACCATTTCCTTATTCTTCTTCTTTCATATACTTAACCAAAGCAACTCATAATGATGACAGAATTTCATGAAACTGTTTACTCATACATAGCTCAATTTTTTTTTTCTTTTTTTTCTGGAACAAAATTAATCAAAAATCAAAATGATTATAGGAAAAGAGAAGGTCTGAAAGGAGAACAAATAGAGGGGGTAGATTTCAGCGCGATGGCCCGATTTTTCGAATACATAAGCGAGACGATTGAGCGGGAGGGTGGCTTAATCCAGCGGATATTCCCAAGGCAAATGAACGTGTTAGAGCGACTGATCAGCCGGATAATCGACGAGGTGATTGAGGGATACGTGGCTCGGTTATTGACCGCCGTCCAAAGCTTACCATCCCCGCTATTCCAGATCACCAATGTGGAAGTCTATCGCCACTTGAAAGGCTTGGTCGAAGCGACGAAAAAGGTGGACGAGGATGGGACGGGAAGGACGACTGGACGGGTGGAGGAGATGATCCAGCGGATGTTTGGGGCCCATCTGGCGGTCTATCTCGAAGAAGAGCTGAGCTTTGTGAAGGGCGCCTTAGAGCAAGCCTGTTCTCGGTGGCAGGAAGCCGGCGAGCTTATGGAAGGAAGCCAAGTCGGCGGAAGCCGGGGGGCCGGTCTGACAGTCCCCTCGACCAGGACGACCGACGGCTCGTTGGGCACCAAGACCAAGACGGCGGTGCTGCGCTCGTTCAAGAATGCCTTGCTCTTGCCGGTCAGCGTGGTGCCGAAGACGGTCTCCTACTCCTTCAATGCGCTCTCCAACGTCGGCGTCGAGGCCTTCCACTCCGTCACCCATGCGCTCATCCTCCCCTCGACCACCTCGATCCATACCCACGGCCCGCTCTCGACCGACTATCGTCATGCCAAAATCCTCCGCGATCAGCCCTCCACACTCGACTCTGAACTCGAGAGCTGGCTCGACTGTTCGCCCCCCAATCCTTCTCTCCTTCTTCCTACTCCTTCCTCTTCTTCTTCATCAAATCCCATTACTCATCCCTCTCTCATCAACCCCAAATCAACCCTCACTAACAGGGATCAGAAGCAGGAGGAAGATGAGCTTGACGATCGAGATGGGACCGAGCCTGATGACGAGCTGAGCTCCTTGCTCTCCCTCGACCTCGTCTTGCAGCTCATCACAATCAACCAACAGGCCATCCAACGTCTCCATTCGTTCCTTCCTTTCGCGCCTCTCCAGTCTCTCAATCTCCAAATCGTCAACACTGTCCATCAGGTCTTTGTCCTTCTTCTTCATTCTTTGACACATCATCATATTCAACCTGGCTTCGAAAAGTATGTCTGTTTTCTTTTTTTCAAACTGTTGTTTTTTTTGTTTGTTATGTTGAAATAAATTATGTTTTCTTTTTTTTGGGGGGGTTGTAGAGCTTTCCGGATCATGTCCAGTTATGCTAGTCCATCCAAAAAAGAAGTATCAGAGAAGAGCAAGAAGAAAGGAAGAGTAGGAAAAGAGGAAGGAAAGAAGAAGAATTCAGGTGGAGGAGGAGGGGGAGGGGTGGCGAATTTTTTCGGAATGATGGATGTAGCGGACACGATCCAAGAGATGGTCGAGGTGTATTCGGAGCAAGCCTTGGGAGCCGACGTGGGGGGCCATCAGCAGACGCAGGATTTCCTGAGTCCGATCGGCCGGGAGAAGCGGGCGTTTGAGCGGGCGATCGACGGCTGGGTGGCTCATGGAATGAGTCTGACGATCGACGCGATCGTCATGCAGCTCGACCTTCGCTTACGAACTCTTCAACTCCCTTCCGACTTTTGTCCGCCTCCAAACTCTTCTTCTTCTTCTTCTTCCTGTGAGGATGATGATGGTCTTTCTTCCTCCTCAGCCACAACGACAACAACGACGAGGACGACGACGGCGACGGAGAAGCAGACCAAGCCGACTCCCGCGTGTACCGCCGTCGTCGACCGGCTCTTGGCCATCTGTAACGCCCTCCAAGGCCGCTCTGATCGCCAAGTCTTGCACGTCTTTTACCAAGAACTCGGGCTCCGGATCCATGCGTCTGTCCTCTCTCTCTCTCTCTCTCTCTCTCTAAACAAACCCTCCTCCTTCTGACATTATATAAGTAGATTACTATGTAAGCACATCAAACGGACGAAGATCTCGATCGAAGGGGCTCATCAATTAGAGACCGACATTGCCCGGTACGCACAAGTGTTGGGCTCGATGGCGGGCGAGTCGAAGGAGGGTGCAGACGAGGGGCTGCACGGCTCGATGGACGCGCTCCGGCGCGTCGGCCGGCTGTTCGGCTGCAAAACCCCCGCCCAGCTCGTCCGGTTCATCCGCCACCTCGGGCTCGGTATGGTCTCTTCTGGTAGCACTCATCTTCAGCTCATAGGGTCGGCAGTCTTGCCGATGTCTATTGACGAACTCTATCAAGTCCGTCTGCTTCTCCTTTTTTTGTTTTGTTTTGATTTGATTGGCGGGAAGGGCAAAAGGGGGGAAAGTAAGATTGATCTCAACTATTCTGTTTTTTCGGGGACAGTTCGTGCAGGCTAGAGACGATTGGAATCGGATCCAGGACGTCGTCGAGGCCGAGCTGTTTGGATTCGGCGGCGGCGGCGGCGAGAGTTGTGTCCTCGTTTGATCTCTAGGCCCCTTTCGCCCTCCCTCCCTCCCTTCCCACCCGGCGTTTCTCATTCTCCACTTCTCTCTCGAGTCTCGAGTCTCGTCTTTCTCCCCTTTGCTTTTCTCGCGGGCTCAAGGTGCCTCCCTCGGCCCTTTCTTGACTCGCTTTTCTTTCTTTCTTTCTTTCTTCTTAGTTCTTCTTCCCCACTTTTTTTCTTCTTTCTTCTTTTTTTTTATATATCAAAATTATAAGGAGTTCTTGTTTTTTTTTCGTTTTTTTGGAAATCAGGTGTGCTCTTTTTTTTGTATCGTTATGTTTTGTTCAATGACCTTCAACAACACCAACAACAAAAAACTAGATTCATTTTTTTTTTATTTGATTTGGTTGTCAGTTTCTTGTGTTCTTGTCGGGTTTTCTAGAAATGGATGTTACATAGATGAAATAGTCGCGCCGGATGAGTGGGTATTAAGAATGGAGTAACTGCAAGAGAGTGATTGACGAAGCCGATATAGCTGCTTGGCCAGTTCACGGGCAGGAGGATGGTCACGGGCAGAAGGATGGTGGTTCTTCTCCCCCAACCTTGCTTTACAAAGGCCACAGCTTGGAGGAACAAGCGGAAAGCTTCGAGCCTATCCGTCTCCCTTCAAACTAACTGTCTTCGCTTCCTGGTCGGAGTGGTAAAACGACTTGTCGGATTGCGCCGACTGGAGGGAAACCCCCCCCCCCCCCCCCCGACCCAAATCCATTAAGGTGGACCTCTTACTCGAAGTCCCTCGCCGAATGGTTTTTAGCACTCCGACCAGGAAGCGAAGGCAGTTAGTTAATTAAGGGAGGCTGTCTGCGGGACTGCGTCCCCTCCAATACATAGAGGGGATTTAGCTTTCGACCCGGTCCGAGAATTGGCAACCCGGGCTCATTTGGGGAATCTTTTAATGGGATCTCAAACTTATTTGCTTCAATGTGGTTGCATTCGCGCATCACTCATGATCGTTGCAAGTTAATAGACTGACTCGTTCTGGAGATCATCTTCACTCCATCATCGGCCACCTCATCCAAAAACATGCATTTCTCCTCAGATATAATGTACATATTTACTTCTTGAAATGGAAAGATCAGAAACAGGCATGCCCCATCTTTCAATCAATCAATCTCTAAGTTTCCCAGACTCCCACTGTCAACTTTCGTGGATAATCATCAGTGTCCGGAGCAAGTCTTTTAGATTGATGAGCCTTAACAGCCAACCATCCGGTTTCTCACTCAGTTGGATCTGCACCAATCTTGCTGAATCGTTAATATAAACAGAACAACCACCTTCACCGATTATTATTTGTTTTTGCCAAGCCTTCATTCTTTATTCATAAACAACGGATTGCAACCAGCACCCTCTCTATATTGACGAAATGTCGATCCTGAAAACGTTCAACGTGTTATCGGTCGCAACAGCGCTGACGGTTCTGTGGTCACTGGGCCAGGACGCGCACGCGTTCGACTGCAAATCCCCAGCGAGGTCGCAACCCCTCTGCCGGGTAGACTTGAGCGTGGATCCGGTTGGGATAGTTCTCAAGTACGGCAGTGAGTGTAGTATTACTTCAATTATCATCCATGAATCGTAATCCCCACTGACAAGATTTATGATCACCTTCAGTGTATGCTGCTCCGGAAACTATGTTCCCCGGGCCATATGACTGCCATCCGCTTGGTCAAGAGGACTACACGCCCAGGTGTTGCGCGAAAAACGCAGTGCCGGTGACTCCTAAGGTACATAAGATCTTGAGAGCTCCTTCTCTTTCTTTGCATTATGAAACTGAGGACTGATTATTGTTTTTTTTTTGTTCATTTGTCATTGGACACTATAGGGCTACAAAGCAACGCCGGTCGATCCAGCCGCCGAATCCAACGCATGTTCGTCGCCTTAGTATGTATGTGGTGCAACCAATCCGGATTGCTCCTCGACGAAGCTCGGCAATCGGTCTGGATCTGTCAGAGAACCAAGGCCCTCTTCCTGACCGGACTTGTTTCGGAGAGGAAAGAACAGCTTGAAATGTGTAGAAAAGGTGATTTGTGTCAATGATCAATTATGGCAAACTCTTGTGGAGCATTTTCCTTGGGACTTGAAGAGCCTTAAGTTAACATCCATCAAAAAAGTATACCGATGCATGAGCAATTAATCTCTCTCTCTCTCTCCCTGAGCAGCGAGAGAGAAGAGAGACACTGGTTGCTAGACTGGGGCCAGACAAAGCCTATAAGTACAGCACATCAGTATGCCTGCAGCCGACAACTGGGTTGTATCTATTGCTGCTGGCCAGAAGTCGCTGTGAGGGGGTCAGGACTCGGATGGACAATGTTGTAGTCACGTAGGAGTTCCTTCCTCAATCGAAGTGAGAAAAGAGAACCATCCGCAAGGAAGAGAAGACCTTTGTTTCTAGCAAACGATTGAGAAAGAAACGATTTCTATCCTTGGTCCACCGTCCAAGTGTTTCGAGACTATGGTTGATTACAACTAAAGTTTGATGAATCCATGTGGGGCTTCACACTTGGCTGGAGCAGCATCGAAACCATGACACTGATAGAAATCCAATGCCTTCGGCCCCAGCGAGTACACTGCATTCTGGTCTTCTTGTTCGACAGAGCCTCATGCTCATACCCGTAACCCCAACGATAGCCGCCAGTCTCTGTGAGACAGAGAGGCTTGTGTTAGGCTCGAGCCACCAGTGCCACACACTGTAGCCACCAACCAGAGCACCGGAGAACGGCAGCCACCAACGAGTTCATCGGTGAACGGCAGCCACCGGTCGGAGCGTGGCATTGAAGTGTTAAATGTCCCTCGATTCGCCGACCTTTCCATCCTTATTTAAAGCTGCCCAATTTCAATCAAACAACCGGTTGTAACCCAGTTTTCAATTCAAGCTTCATAATCATCGATCATTATAAAGTTCCCCGAATCCGACCCAGAACTTAAGTGACATCAGACGGTAGACATGGCATTGCATCAAGTTGTTCTCGTCGTCGTCATTAGCTTACTATATCTTCAGAGCTCCCTCCAACAAACCAAACCACAACCTCTCAAAGATATTGAGTGTGGTCAAATAAAGGAGTTCGAGGCAGGTGATTGTCCAAGGTGCGCTTCCCAGTTTCAAGCCCTCTTAGCACTTTCAAAAGTTCTGTCGCATCAAAAGGCCTGTCAATCAACCCGAGTAGTTGGCTCATTGACATCTGCATTCTCTTGTTTGTCAACCGCAAACCGATCCAGTGCATACCGCAAAATCATCTACGACCCCGATTCAACCCTTGACCAAACTGAAAGAAGTGTTGAAAGGACTTCCGGAAGCTGTGTGGTACGTTCGGTGGTTTTCGATTCCCCTGCATTTTCTCTGTTAAATGTTAATCATAAATCTTCTCCACTTCAGACACGCATCGACAATCCGAAATTCATGAATGTGTGAGCTGAAGAATCGTTCTCAGATTTCGCGTTGAGTGATTGTCAAACTAACAAACATGTGAATATTTACTTTGTTTGTTGCAACAGTCCCAAGGGGATAATTGAAGATGCATTTGACCAAATTGGAGCAAAATGTAACGGTCGTGTGCGTTGATACTCTGCAGCTTTTTCTCAATCATCCTAACCTGGAGGGGGGATCTCAGAATGCTGATTGCAATCGGGATCCTGTGTTTAGGCTGGTAATGTGACTCTCCCAGGTTTTGACGGGGTCAGCTTGTTGACCAGACGGCATACCAAGCCAGGTGCATCTTCCTATGAGGATGATGTGGAGACAAACCGAGTGTTCTGCTACAATAACCCCAAATTGGCCAAAACAGTGAAGGAAGATTGTATAGAGTATGTATATTTTTTTTTTCTTACCTGTGAAGGGGTACTGTTACTCCTCGCACACATCTCAATGGCCAACTGATTGGGTATTTATTGATGTGTACACAGGGCCTACAGATTGATCCCTACCAATGCAGAAGGGCGCTTGGTGTCAATTGACCACCATGAACCCAAAAGTGAAATCTACTCTTCTGCCAAAAAATGTGTTGTGAGTAGGGATGATAATCGGGCGGGTTTGGGCCGCCCACAGGCTAGCCCGGCTCTACCCGCGACTTAATTGGGCAGGCCGGGCCGGGTAAAAACATGAGATTTTGATGTCCGACCCAAGTCCGTGTCCGCAATGTGGCGGACACGGGCTGTCCAGCGGCGCCCCGCTGGGGCTACTGGCCGGTGGGCTATGCGGGTGACCCATGGGCAGCCCACCAGGAGCCCACGGGCTGGGTTGTTTGAGGCACAAAAAAGAAGTTTTTCACGTTTACTACAGTCTACAAAAGCTTGAGGGAGAAGCGGAGACAAAAAAAACAAGAGAACAAAGCTACATAGAGGATGAACGGACTACATCGCCTTCATCCAATCCTGAGAGCACAAGAGTGCCTCAGCGGTATCTTTGTTCAGTCGGCTTTGGTAGTCGTCCAAAACATGACCACCAGTGGAAAAGGCTGATTCCGATGCCAAGTCACAGCTCATAGCAGTATCCTGCCGGAACATTCAAGCCTGCGGGCACCCGCTAGACCAGCCCGCGCCGACCCGCGCCGTTTAGTGACTTTAACAGGCCGGGCCAAAGTCCAAATATTTCACAAAAGCACTGTCCGCGCCCGACCCAAGCCCGGCCGGGTTTGGGCGGCCTATTGGACACCCGGCCCAAATATCAACCTTAGTTGTGAGTCAAATAATCCTCAGCCCGATGGCAAATTATCTCCAACCCTCAGAGGGCCTTGCACTAACAAGTACGGTGTACAAAATTTTTTTTGAAACATCAGGTCAGCATATCAACAACTGGTGGATCAAAGGTTATAGCGTAAGCTCAAAATTATCCTAAATTCATGTGGATGGTTTGGCACTTACTCAAGATCTCTCATTAGGTTGAAGTCTGATATTGACAAATTATTCCAAAAGGTGATCCAAGAATGCGGCTCCCGGGTGAGTGAAGCCTAGTATTATCAGCTCAAATTTTTTTAACTATGGTGAAGCATATTGTATTGACTTCAGACTGGGTTTATAGTGGGGATTCATCGTGACAACCAAAGGAGCTCAGGGGAGAAATGGGAAAGTCACCTTGCTGGTTTGGGGCCGTGCCTGAAGGGTCATTAGCTTTTCAAGTGGTCTGCCATTTTACAACATCCTCATTTGGTACACTGGGAATAGTCATCTTGTTTCCCCAGTCCAACATCTTTTCTGTTTTCTTTGGAAATTCTATCTTCCTTACCCCTTTTTTTGTAACAGTGGACATACAACATATTTTTCAACATTTGTCAATAGATAGAAATGCCACTTAAAGAATTGTAAAATTTGGACTCTGACATGTAATTTCCACACAAACAATGTTCAAGACTGTTATTGTAAAGCACTGAAAGCAATCATGATAGGTTCATCAAGGATTCTTTAAATTCTCAACATGTTCACACTGAATTGTTTGTGGAATTTTGGATTCTGGCCTGAACTGAAACTGAGAAAATTTGATCAATTTTGATTATGAAAAAAAACAAGTCCAGACTGAAAAACATAATGAGTTAGAAATAAATTTGGATATGAAAAAGAGACAATAAAGAACAGAATTTACACCACAATGATAGAAATTGATGAAGAACAACTGATGATAAGGAAGACAGAGACAGGTAGGACACATGGCAATAAAATAAAGGATCAGGTGATAAGGTTGGAGAAGAAGATTGGATCAGTTTTATTCTTTTCTTGCCAAATGGAATCAGGCAAGCTGATTCTGAAGTTGTGGAGACTCAACAAGGTCAATTGATGTTAAGGATGATTGAAGTTTCCTGAAGGAAGTATGCAATGGTGAGATGTTGATGGGAGTTGATTGTGAGGAGTATTGATGATTAGAGAGGGGATGAGCAGGGCCAGGGAAAGAAGATTGAACTTTATCTGATGGAGAGAGTGAGATTGATTAGGTTTGGTGTGGTGGGATTGGGTTTGAATCATCTACAGACTAAAATCTTCCACAGATGAATCACAAGACTTTCCAACACCCCCCCACAATTTGATGAGAAAAGAGCTTTTACCAGAAAGCAATGTTCTTTCAGTTTGTCAGGTGATTTGGAAGAGCATCTAGTGCTATTGTTCCTTTGGACAGCATGAGTTTAACATATAATTCCTTGTTGTTGTACAGGCTCCTTAACCACTTCAAGACCATGGTACTGCATCCATTTCAAAGCCATGGATCTGCACTTCAAATAAACATCAATCCACGATTTTTGTTTAACTTTGGACATGATCATTATTGTCCCAAATTTCAACAGAAGATTAAGGGAATTATCACCCTCGTTTCATGGACAGGATGTCCGTGACTCAACAGAATATAAAGGGCATTATCATCCTCATTTAATCTGAATCATTCTTTTTCTCCATCTTTTCAGATGGACTATTACCATATTCATGTGCTCAAAGACCAAATTTTCTCAAGTAAGTGGAGTGGCAAATTGAGGCATCTCTCACGCTGGAATTCAGTTGGTAACCAGTAATTTTTGCATGGGTTTTTGCTAGAGATTTCTCAGTAAGCTGATGTATGGGAAGACTTTGTAAGTGTACATTTATGGTTATTGTGATCTATGATAGCATGTTAGACCAAATTATACAAACATGATAAGAAAAAAAAAATCAGAGCCGATTGCAAAGAAGGTAAATAGTCATAGACAAGGAAGAACTATGTAGTAAATATGTGTTAAAGTGGCCCGCGACAATCTAATTTTGAGTCTGTAGGACACTAGTTAAGGATAGAATCAAGCGCCCATGGCAGGTTTAGACTGTTCCATTTGGGCTGTTTCTTGAGATTGGCCGAGGCCCATTGGGCCATGGGAATCGGGCGAGCCGACGGGTAGCTGAGAATCTCGCTGGACATCTTGGGCCTGGCTCCCCGGAGTCTGATCATTAGGTCCAGCCGGTTGCTTGGCCGGCATGTCTTGGGTACCGAGAGTAGCTCGTCCTAAGACTTGGGCAGGGTTGGTCTGCGAGAGAGAAGACTATCAGCGAGAGTCGGGCGAGAAAGGGGTGAAATGAATGGTTGCTCACGTTTGGAGGTGCTCCGGAAGCAGCGACTGAACGACCGTAGACCGGGATCCCTGGACCGTAAGGAGCAAATGCTGAGAATCGATCAGGGCCATAAGGAGCGTATCCGGGGAATGGAGTGTTGTAAGGATAGTAGCCGCCGCCGGGTCCGTAGTACGGGTCGCCGGCGTAAAAGCCGGGATAATATTCCGGGCCGGGGTAGTATTGAGGGCCGTACGCGTATCCGAATGGGACGGCCATCGTTGCTGCTGCTGAGAGCAACACGATCATCATCAAGGAGACGGAGGAGTTCATGTTGTGGATGGGGAGTTTGTTAAGCTGGATTTCGGATGAAGGGTGAAGAGCTTGAGTATAAGGTCAGGCCAAGTTGATGGATGGCGAGCTTGAGTTGCAGTTGTGGCTTGAAAAGCAGTAAGAAGAGAATGTCGGTGAGATGAACTTGGATGGCTGGAATGGCTGATTGCAAGATAAGCAGAACAAGACTTCTACAAGACGGGTCCTTATATACTCTTCATGGCCTCTCTCTCTCTGTCCCGAGACACCAATCAAGTCTTCCTCCTCTACGAGTCTTTGAACCCAAGAAATGAGGATAAATGTGGACAGGACTGGTCGAATGCATGATTGACCTGGGCTGAGATCTGAACCAAATGGCCTGGTGCAGACCCATTTGCAGTTGAATGCCTCAGGCGAGGATGTGGGCCGGCCGGTGCCATCCGGAGGGCAACCCAAGTGAAAGGATGACGACGGTCAGCCCAAGCGCACCCGACAATCGGCGACTCTTTTCCATCCGAGTCCGACCAGCTATGTGCTCGTCTTCACCCAGACAACATCGACTTTTATCGAACCAGGCTAAAGTAAGATCCCAAGTTACAGAACGAGCTTTCAATTTCATGCTGCTAAGCATCGCCCAATCATACATCATCATTGCCTAGTACGTCACTTGCTCACACCTTCCTTGTATTCAAACACGAGTCGCTCAACCCACAACATCAGAGCATCATCATCAACAAGGATAAAAAAAATTGTAAAACTGCTTTTTCTTGAGGTTTATATATATTTATTTACAAAGGATAATCAATGTTGATATATTGGTGAATATGATAGGATGGCTTGGATAAATTCGTACATTGATGATCAACGCACATCTATTATTGTTGTGGTGGATGTAATGCGAGTCTACTGGAGGACACTTGAAGCCCGGGGGTTATACATACAGTCATCAGCACAGTGATGCTACAACGAAGAGACCAAGAACCATCATATAGTCTTTTTTTTGACAGTTTTTGAATTGTTTATTTGGAAGGATGAGAGGACGTTTGGGTTTTAGAAACATGAACCTTAACGTAGCCTTTAGCGGGGGCAAAGTCCTGTTGAAGAGGAGGATGGTGATGAAGCTGGGTGATTTGGGACAAGCCGAAGTTAGAGAGCGAGGAGTTGGTGAAGTTCATGTTAGGAAAGTAGGTGCTCTGGTTTGGTTTAGCAGGAGTGGTGTTGGTGGTGGTGGTTATACTAGACGTAGGACAAGATATTAAAGCGGGACGAAAGGGCGGCTTGAGCGCAGACAAAGCATGCTCATTCGAGTTGAGAATCATCGAGCGATTTTCGGATGGTTGCTGCTCATTGCTCATGGAGCCCGGCGTGGTGGAGTCGAATTTATGGACGTAAGAGATTTGCTCCTTGGTGGTTGTAGTAGCGTTCGTTGGGTTTCTAGGCTTGTTAGGATGCCCAGTCTTTGGCTTGTTGGTAGGTTTGGTCGATGTCTTCTGGTGTGACGGTTGTCTGGCTGGTTTTGGTTTCTTTTCAAGAGCAGCATGTTTGGTGCCGTTTGCGCTGACATGAGTCGATTTATCTGCTTTTGGGTTCCTCTCTGCCGGACTCTCTTTGGCACCAGTAGGGCTAGACGTGGTGGCTGGCCCGTTGGTCTTGCTATTATTGTTGCTGTTCGATGGTTTGTTGGACTTGATGCTCTTGGAACCACCTTCATGATGAGCACGAGGTCTGGAAGGTTTGTTGTCGCCGTTAGTGATTTGGGCATTGTTTTTATGGGGATGATGGCCGGGCTTGGTGCCACTAGCTTTCCCATTTGTCGGTAACTCTGGTCTTTCTTGCCTGGTTTGAATGACGGTGACACGAGTGGATACCGAAGTAGTCGAGCCGGGTGTATCCGAGTAGACTGATTTGGTGGTCATGTTGAATTTCTCAACAACCTTGGTGCAACCCTCAGTCTTCGTGCGGGTATCTGCTTCATAGTAGCAAGTGATCAAGAGCCGCAGAATTAGACTTCTGAACACTGAATATCTAGTCACACAGCATCTTAACTTACCTTTTCGAGTCGCATTCGCCGGATTGCTCACGACCATTTGTCCGCCACCCTTCGAAATTTGGTTCTGAGGCTTTTTGCTATTGCCGTTCACGGTGGGCTTGTTCGGCTTGGAAGCCGACTGGGATTTTTTCATCGGGTCCTTTGGTTTGTTAGGGTCCGCTGTTTTTCGAGCCCGATGTCCAGCGCCGGCGGCTCCCGGATTTTGCTGAGTGGCTGGCTCAGAGGGAAACTTGACATGCTTATGGGAACCGGGATCCATCAGGTCGTCACAAACTTTTCCTCTCGGTCGATCTTTATCCTTGGAATTGCTACTCTAGCTACCGGTCTGGACAGATAGTTTGCAGAGGTTCATGAGGTTCTCGATCAGCGCCTGCAGTTCGACCAACCAAAGGAACTTGATCAAGAATGAAACACTGACCTTGGGCTTTTAACATGCACCGGTGTCTGCTCTGGCAAACTATCACTATTGACCTTCAAACACGACGCTCGGAGCTTGAATGAGCTGCAGAGATATGTACGCTGTACTTGGTGGCAAGTTCAACTTCGGATTATCTCGTTTCAGCAGACAGCTGTCTATGCCCCATACAAAAAAAAATCAAACTCATCGAATCCACCGCAACAGCTGTATGATGATTACCCGGCTATCGTCTCGGATTCTCGGATAAATAAGGTTCACTCACGTCTGCCCGTCTAAGTTCAAAACACCATACTCAATATCTCCTCAACCCAGAAAAGTCGTCTTCACTCCTCCAAAATCTTGCTCTCTTGAAACTTGATATAGGAAGTATGGCGTATATAGAATCACTCCATGGCCCACATCTACTGCTAGTACTAGCACACATTTCCTCTCTGTCTATAGAGCACATCGAACTCGTGCAGATCTACCAGAAATAACACCTGGGCTCACCCATGACTGTATGAGAGTCTACCACCCTTACCCACAACCCTCCCTGTGTCCTACTTTTCTGGGTGGATCTGTATCACTCAGTCCTGTCCTAACTCCTTGGCAATTCTGGACCTAATGAATTACATCTATTCCTCAAGCAGATGTAGCAAAGGCCAGACACAAATTCTTCAGAAATATATTGTTTATGATCTACTCTCCACCTCACATAGGAGAATCTTGGGAATTCAACACTGGAATCCTGAAACCCTATTGTAGACTAAACTTTGATAAAGGATTGGGAAAGGCCCTCCAGAAAACTCACAAGCCATGTGCAAATCAATCAAGCTGCATAGAATTAGACACTCCATAATCATTGTTCTTGGCCAGAACTATCAGATACACAACTGTGAAACCATAAAATTCAACTGATTTTTATTTTTAACTTATATCTAACATCAAGAGAAATCAGTATTATTAAACACAAGAAGGCTTCCATGCAGACAAATGTTGTACCACAATTAAACAAAAAAAATATCAACAAGTTATCAATCCTGAAAAGCAATGGCTCTCAACATTGAAATTGTGTCCCCAGGTTAGTTGCAGTTGAAATTCTTACTCTCCTTTTGAATTGTGCACAAAAGAAAACTATTCTTTTGAGAAAATTTTCAGTTAGGTTATTGTTGGAATTCCGCCTGCGTTCACCTTCTCTCTCTCTCTCTCTCTCTCTCTCTCTTTCTCTCTCTCTCTCTCTCTTATTTCTATCACTCTCTCCTTTTTCCTTCTTCCTCCTTCCTAAATCATCCTTCACAATCTTCATCCTTCTCAAAATCATCCTCCACAACATATCACCAGTCCTCTGTCTCTACACCAGCTCCGTAGTCCATCTCAACCACAAGTCAACACTTGACTGCAACTCTCAAACCACGTGTCTACACCTGCTCTCAAATCTATAAACAGTTGACCAACAAACTCATGTTTTTCCTTCCCCCAGCAGTTTCAGTCCACACAACAATTACTCCTTGCCATTGACTCAACTTCCCAGTCCTCAAAACTGCTCACACTTCCTCTCAACAAACTCTCACCAACTTCATCTCCTTCAAACTTGACAACATTCCCCTCTACTTTGCCCTTTGACTTTTCCCCTTTCTCTCTCTTTCTATTTCTTCTCTTGACCAACTCTCTCCTTGTTCACTCTCACCGTCAAAGACTACAAATCATCTCATCTTTGATACAACCATCAATCATCATTCTTTCTCTGACTCTCTCTTTAGAACTGCTCACTTGGCTATTGCTAATTTAGTGAGAAAAACTTATTGAACTGTTTCTTCTTCTTCTCAAACATATTGTGTTAAGCATTTTCATTCTTTTTGTTCTAGCGTCTACCACTTCTCCTTTTTTGATCTGATCTATTTTAGTCTTTCTGTTTTCTCTAAATCAAAAAACAATTCTTGCGGTGATACACTGAAAGATTCTCTGTTTTTATTAATGTTTTCTAACTTGTTTTTTTACTAGTTCTGGTTTTTGGTTTCAGTAATAAACCCTGTTTTTCATCAGTTATCATTATAGTGTGATGTTGGATGAAGAGGTTATCATTATAGGATGATGTTGCCTGTAGAGATATGTAAATCTTGTGTTGTTGAGAGTCAAAACCGTTATGTTCATTATCTTAAGTCATCATAGCAGATATTCAGTGTTTCCATTTTTGATCCATTTTCTTAACAAGCAGGTTGTGATCAAACACGTCTTTAGACTTATTCAATTACAAGCTTACAGTTTCAATTCAATTCAATACATAATCCTTTGTTCTCATGTTGAACCCAACTGAACATAACCCCCTTCCAGTGTCACTGATCAGTTACATCCATCCTCTCTGCATTTTTTTTCTCTGATATCTCATCCATGACAAGAAAACACTCAAGATTGACAAAGTCAAGTATTATTCAATCAGAGCTTATTGGCACTTGATTTAAGTGTTTTATTCATTCATATCACAATGGAATAAGCCTGACTGAGCATAAACCAGTGTCTAGAAAGAACTTGATCACTGCACATGCACTGTTTTCTAGTGAAGGGAGGAGGTCAAGAAACACCTGTGACCTCAGAATGAAACCAACAGGTCATAAAAACTGAAGATGTTTTTATACTGCTTATCTTATGTACTGAGATCTTGTGGGGTGACTCTGAGTTTGCTTTTACTGAGCATTGAGAAATCTGGATGAGTATTTCCTTCCATATTCTCACTTTGTTTGTCCATTTCCAATTTCTCAACTTCAGTGCCAACAAGATAGTACTGCAGAGCCTGAGGAATTTCTTTACCAAAACTACCCAGACAAGGCTATCAACAATCAAGCGATTTGAGAGAGGAGATGATTTTCGCGATACTTCTGAGTGAATGGGGGAGCCTTGCATGGTCAGTCTGGCTTCGATCGGTCCCTGAAACGAAACCCTGTTTTTATGATAAAAACTGTTTTATCTGTGTACATATTCAGATATAACACACCCCGGCCAAACCTAAAAAAGAAGGCAAGAAACCCCCCTTTGATGCAAGTCAGAAACTCAGTCATTAAAGTCTTTCAAGTCCATACCCAGCTTGACTCGTGTAAGCCAGTTTTAATTCCCAACCAAAACCCAACAGCAACCACTCTGCCACCAGAACAACTCATCATCAACCACCCCAAACACACCCCTCCTCCTGCTCATCGTCATCGTCATGTTCATGTGAGTAGCCCTGATGACCATCCAAAATCAAACCAGTACAGATTCACTGATGTTTCATTCTTTTTTTTTTTCCTTCCTACATATATACAGTCTAAATTGGTATGCCAATTCCCTCCAACATCTCGATCTATCCTTACAAATCCATCTAGAAGAAAGAAAAGAGGAAAAAAAAAAACTGACTGAAACTAACACCCCCTGCAAACATGAAATCGATACAATAACGTTGGATTGATGATCGCTCTGATGAAGGTTTTGGGACGTCTTAGCTAACCTGGGTAAGTAAACAAAAAACCAGAGCCCTGAAGAGAGAGAGATAAGAACAGAAAAGAAAACGATTCTCATTTATTATTCTATGTGTCGTTTCCGAATGAATGAATGAATGGAATATAGGTTTGGTCAACAAGAATGCCAAGATCCTGTTGTACGTGTCGATAGCACCCTTATTACAATTTGATTACGAGTCCTGATCGACCATCCCTTTCTCTCTATATCTTTCTTTTGCTTTGATGTGTATGAACTCGACCAAAACAGTCTCGGCTTGGACAATGCGGGGAAAACAGTGCGTCCTATTCTTCCCTCCCAAAAAGCTTCGCTCGTCTGAACTCACTTCCCTCGATCGATCGGGTGTTTTTTTGTGGGGGATAGACTTTATTGCACATGTTGAAGAACGACCGACTAGCAACCCTTCAACCCACTCTACATCCAAGTTGGGTCATCATCCTACTCCTCCTCTGCCCTTGACCAAATGAATTCCAAATAAAAAAACACTCGAAGAGTCAAGCACACATAAGAACAGGATCATCAGATTGCTAATGAACGATTTGAATGTTGATGAAAATAACACTCATAGCATCCGAAGAACTAGCGATCGGGAATGTGAAGTTTACGACCTACGATTTAGGAGGTCATCAACAAGCCCGGCGACTATGGAAAGAATACTTCCCAGAAGTGAACGGGATTGTGTTCTTAGTGGATGCCCAAGATCCCGAGCGGTTCTCAGAATCGAAGATCGAGCTAGATGCCCTACTCAGTATCGAAGTACGACCCCCCCCCTTTTTTGTGTTTGGTGGAGATCTCAGAGAGCTGATCCATTATGACGTATGGGTTAAGCGCAGGAGCTCTCCAAGGTTCCCTTCTTGATCCTGGGTAATAAGATCGATGCACCTGGTGCTGTTAGTGAAGAAGACCTCCGACATTGTCTTGGCCTTTACCAAACCACCGGAAAGGTAAACATCATCATCATCATCCCCATCTTTTTTTCTCTCTCCTGGACTTCTCCTTTTAGCTTACCTTGACGATGATGATCATTGTATAATATAGGGTAAAGTGCCACTTATAGATATCCGTCCGATCGAAGTTTTCATGTGCTCGATCGTCATGAGACAAGGTTATGGTGACGGTTCGTCTGCTTCTCCTCTTTTTTTTTCTCCTCTCCCTCTTACAAGTCACTTCATCATTGATTGTTCTTGTTCTTCTTCTTTGCTTGATGGATTGGGTTTATGTTACAGGCTTCCGTTGGTTGGCACAATACATTTGAGATCCTCCCTCAACCAAAAATCACCCAATCAGGATTTCCCTTTCCCATTCTTCTTCTTTTTTTACAACTACTACTATCCTTTCTTTGTCATTTTCCTTTTTACACCCATACATAGTTCTTTTTTGTTTTTATCATTTTTTTTTTTTTGACCCATCCATATCTTACCAAGTTTCTTCTTCTTTCTCTTCATCTTACATTCAGAAAGAATGAAAAGCTTGAGACAATACTCAAAAAAAAAATGTTAAACAAAAAAAGCAAACAAACATTTGTTATACTCTGTTTTGTTTTTTGCTCTACAACAAACAACTTGTCGCTCAAAAACTGAAACACAACCCCTGGCTGCTGCATCCCTCTTCTCTCTTTCCCAGGGGGAGGGGCAAGAATTGTGCCAGCTCATGAGTGGCATGTTTCGGCATCAGTTTGGCAACACAATGTTTTCGTGATATTGAGAAGGAAAAAAACCCTCACAGATTTGAAGTGTTGAGGCTTTGTCAAAAACTGGTATGCCTGCAGCCGAAGACTCGCCGAGACGGTGTGCCCCACCCCACAACTGCTTTGCATCTATTGCTGCTGGCCGGGTGTCGCTGTGAGGGGGTGAGGACTCAGAGGCACAATGTCATAAGGAATCTCTCCTCACGTAGGAGTTCCTTCCACAATCAGACAGCGGCCAAGTGAGAAAAGATGACCATCCGCAAACAAGAGAAGACCTTTGTTTCTAGAGGTAACACCTCGATTCTGTTCCGACTGCAATTCTGTTCTTCTTGTTCGACAGAGCCTCATGCTCATACCTGTAACCTTACGTCTTCCAACGATAGCCACCAACGATTGCCACACACTGTTGCCACCAACGAGTGCACCGGTGAACGGCAGCCACCGAAGAGAGCACCGGTGAACGGCAACCTCCAACGAGAGCATGATCGGTGAATGGCAGCGACCAACCGGAGCGTGGCAATGTTGGAGTGTTAAATGCCCCTCAATTCGCCGCCCATTCCATCCTTTTTTTAAGTTTCCCAGTTTGAACAATCATAAAACCGGTAACCCATTTCGCGATTCGAGCTTCATAGATCAATATACATTCCCCCACATTAATCCAACCCAGAAGTGACATCAGAAGGAAGACATGGCGTGGCATCGAGTCGTTCTCGTCGTCCTAATCAGCTTGCTGAATCTCCAGGGCTCCCACCAACAAACCAAACCACCCTCTCTCAAAGATATTACGTGCGGTCGCAAAATGGAGTTTCAGGCAGGTGATTGCAAAGCGTGAGCTTCCCCGTTTTACTCTTGGATTTTTTTTTTCAAAAATGCTCTCCCATCATAAAGCCCTGTCGATCAAACGGAGTATTTACCTCATTGGCATTTACATTCTCTTCTTTGTCAACCCCAAACCAATACAGTGCATACCACAAGATTATCTATGATGCAGATTCAAGCCTTAACCACAATGAAAGGAATGTTGAAAGGACTTCTGGAGGCTGCGTCGTACGTTCCTTGATTTTGATTCACCAACACTCTCTGTGGATGTTAATCATACATCTTCTCCACTAGACGCACATCGAGAATATAAAATGGCTCAAGATGTGAGTTAAAGAATCTCTCAAAGATTGCCCTTGTGTCATTGTCAAATCAACAAACAACTGAATATTGCTTTGTTTCCAACAGCCCCAAGGCACTCATTGAAGATGGATTTGAGCAAATTTTAGCAAAATGCAACGGTTATGTGCGTTCATACTCTGCAGCGTTTCTCGATCATAACCAGAGGGGGATCTCAGTATGCTGATTCCAACAGCTGATTTCGGGATCCTGTTTTTAGGCTGGAAATGCGACTCTCCCAGGTTTCGACGGGGTTCGCTTGATGACCAGACGCCATACCCATCCAGATGCACATTCCTATGAGGATGATATTGAGTTAAACAAAGTTTTCTGCCTCGATGGCCCCAAAGATGTCAAAATAGTCAAGCAAGATTGTGTGGAGTATGTCTTTTTTTTTCCACCTGCAAAGGGTACTTGGCTTCTTGGATGCTGATGGCCTGATAATCATCGGTTATTTATTGCTTTGAATGATGTGTTGTACACAGGGCCTACAGATTGATCCCAACCAATGCTGCAGGGCGCTTCATATCAGTTGACCACCATGTGCCCATCAATTCGATCAGCTCATTTCACAAAAAATGTGTGGTGAGTCAAAATAATCCTTAGCCCCATGGCCAATCACCTTCAGCTCTCAGAGGGCCTTGTACTAATGAGTACAGTGTACTTCTCTTTTTTTTTTTTTTTTTTTTTTTTTTTTTTTTTTTAAATCTGATACATCAGGCCAGCATATGGACATCTGATGATTCAACGGTGATGGCGTAAGCTCAAAATTAAGCTGAACTAATGTTGATGTTTTGGCACTTACTCAACATCTCTCATTAGGTTCAAGTCGGATATTGACATTTTATACAAAAAGGTGATGCAAGAATGCAACACTTTGGTGAGTGATGGCTATGGCCTTTTCAGTTGTACATAATTTGTCATGCTGAAGTACATTGTATTGACATCAGACTGGTTTGATAGGGGGGTTACGTTGTGACTAAAGGAGCTTTGGGAAAAAATGGGAGAGTCAACTTTCAGATTTGGGGCCGTTTGTGAAAAATAATGACTCAAACATTCTCATGTGGCCAACTGGGAATCGCCACATTGTTTCCTAGGCCAATGTATTGGTGTTCTGAAATTGTATCATCCTTCCCCCTTTTTTTGAAGCAGTGGACATACAACATACTTTCCAACACTTGTAAATAGATTGAAATAGCACTAGGAAGAATTGTAAAATTTTGGACTCTGCCATGTAATTTCCATGCATAATATAATGTCTGTCACTGTTAGTGTAAAGCACTGAAAAAACAATCATGATAGGTTCATCAAGCATTTTATGAATTGCCAATATGTCCCCACTGAATACTTTATGGAATTGTGGATTCTCATGAAACTTTGAGTGGATGCTTCAGAAAAGAGGGACAGCCCCGATGATGAGCACATCAACCTGAGCGGGCATGGTTGAGTTTGAAGCTATGATGGTTTGAGGTGTTTGAGAGTTATTGAGTGGATGGATGTGAGATGGATGGTGAAGGATGAGATAAAGGCAGGATTCACAGCAAGGGGAGAGGGGAGAGGTAGGCTGACAATGACCTGGACTAGCGCACACCACTCCACTCAAGTCTCATGCACAGCAGCACAACTGCACCAGATCATGCAAAAAAAAACCAAATGAATACAGTCCCATTGGTGGATTGACTTTTCTATGAGTTATGACAGGTTATGGGTAATGCTAGTTCCCCCTCATAACCCATACACTAACCCATACCTTTGAAGAACCATAAAATGCATGGTTTTGGACATTGGGTATTTTTTGTTGAGATACCTGTGACACGTGACCTTTCAACAGTTATCAGTGTGCTTCTTTAAGATTTCATTTCTTACATGTCACACTCTGTGACACTCATCTTGTTTTCTCTCAGTTCTTATACTGGAGACATCAGTACCTGGGAGGATCTCTCTTTCCTCATCCTTTCCAATACTGTTGTCTCCAGGTAAGCCTTTCTCCTCATTTTTGTTTCTCTCTCTTCTATGTTGAAATGAAACCCTCATCCTTTCCAATACTGTTATCTCCAAGGTGTTCATCTCAACATTTTTTCCCACTTCTTGCTGAGTTCTTTCTCCATGAGCACAAATGACTTCTTAAACAGATCTACCTCAATTTGATCTAGCATTTCAGCTGGTTGGAGTTCTGAAGGTAATTTAGTTACACTTGAGAAGTAAGTAAGGTTACCTACATGGGTTATGTAGACTGGAGAGGTGTTTTGGTCATTGAGCCAGGGAAGCAACATGATGAGTTTGAGTCATGTATATGTATCTGTGTGCTAGTCTTGAGGATTTCAAGGAAGAAGACTTTTAAGAGGACTTGTATTACATAGAAACACAGCTCTCACTTGAGAGGTGTTGTTGTGACCCAGGAACCCAGTGGTACCACTGGGAAAATGTATGGGTTTGAGCAGGAAAATTCCGGTTTGGGAGACCAAAGTCCTATGGGTTACGGAGGAGGGCAGGTTTATGGCTTAAGACCCCTTTTTTGGCTGGCCCCAAACTGGGAGCCCCAAGTCTCTATGGGTTTGGAGGGGTTATGGGTCTTGACAGGTAGGGGTTTAGGACAATTTCTACTGTACAGAACAAAAAGCAAACATAACCTCATCTTATCCATCCAAACCCAAAGCAACAAGAATGGATTTTATCAATTGTTGCTTTTATTCTGTGTATATGATGATGATGATGATGTGGAGATCATCCACACCAAATCTTGTTTAACATATGTCTCTAAAAGAGAAAAAAACCGGATCTTGTTGTGGACCTTCATGGACCCATAAAGTTTAAAAACTATGTATTTATATGTCCCAGAGAAGTCCAATCTCATCAAAACCAAACAGAATAAAAAAAAATGTATTGAAGTATTCAAGTAAATTGTACCAGTTTTGTTGAGTGGGACATTGAGCATCAGTTTCAGTTCCCTTTTTGTGGCACCCCATGATGGAAGAAACCGTCCTTCCAAGATCGCCCTACATAAAAATGTCACATTGAGATCCACAGAGATCTGTTGAAAGCACTTGTGAGAGTCACATTGATCTGTGAAAACCCCTCGGGAGACCAAATCATCATCACTCATTTTTCTTCTTCCAACAAGTCTCAAGACATTAGGCCGGTTCACGTCTGAAGTTCAAGACAATTTTTAGCACATTTGTAGGTAAAAATTTATGAATTTTGTCAAATCTCATGATTCATCAGGTTTGGAAGAATTTGAGGTTTTTGACAAATTTGTAAAATTTGAATGATGAATGTCATTAAATTTGCCTCAAAGCTCAGGCGTGCACCATCCTATTGGATGTGTTTTAAGAGGACTCAAAGATTTAATTAAGCAGATATTTAAGAGGACTCAAAGATTTAATTAAGCAGAAAACTTTCAACCTTACGTATTCTGGTACAGGTTTCAGAAGATTTATCACTTGACATGATGTGATGCCGATGATCATGAGCAATTTACTTGGTATATGCAGACAAACAAAAATCTTCACAGATTTTCCAACCCATAAAAACTGGATAGAAAGCATTTTTTTTTAAAAAAAAAAGGAAAGGGTTGAGAGAGAGAGAGAGGATGATTCATTTCTTTTTCTTTGGAGCTTCTTTAACAAACGGCAAGAACTCTCGACCTTGCATGTAAGGTCTCAGAACAGTTGGGATCAGCAAGCCCTACAAAAACACATACCCATCCATACAGAGATGATAAAACATACAAGAAAGCGAGGGGATGTGGTCCAGTGATTGACGATGTTTTTGTGGGAAGACGAGGGGAAGTGAGAGCACAGAAAAATAAAAAAGGTCAACCAGTCAGTTATTAAATAAAGGAGATTTTCGATCGGATGATGATGAACAAAACGACGATAGAAAGAGGAAGAAGAAGATTGGTCGAGGTCGACGAACCTCAGGAGTTTGATAGTTTTCGACCAGACAACAGAGTGCTCTTTCGGTAGCACAAAGGGTCCCATTAAGCATATGGACATAAACCTTTTGAGTGTCGCCTTGTTTCTTAACTCCACATCTGACCTCTAGACTCCTAGATTCTAAACGAGTCAAGAAAGTCGTTAGTCAATGTCCAATATAGTTCAAACAACATCGGGATACCTGGGTGACTGGGTAATGGACTTACGATAATCGGTACAATTACTGACAGAAACCAGTTCTTTAAACTCGCCCATCGACGGGAACCAGGCCTCCAAGTCGGCCTTCTTCGCCGCCGCATTGTTCAATGCGCCACTGACGATGCCAACCAGTCGATAGCCGAGCCCTAAGGATTGATAGAAGTCCTCCGAGTTCTGGACCATCTCTTCAAACATCTCCCATGATTTGCTCGGATCGGTGATGCAGAATTGCTCGACTTTTTCGAACTGATGGACCCGGAAAATTCCCCATGTATCTCGTCCATGTGAGCCCGCCTCTTTCCTAAAACATGTCGAATATCCTGCATACCTACACAGACAAAATAAACAACAACAGATATCTGATTAATTGGAGGTTTGATTTATTGAAGATGACGAATTGGGAATTGGACGGACTTGAGAGGAAGTTGCTCCTTTGGTTTTTCGAACCACTCGTCAGAATGATACGCCGATAGGGGTTGCTCAGAAGTAGCGATGAGATATTTATCATCTTCCCCATCGCCGGACAACTAGATCGAGAAACAAATTGAGGGTGTCAGCAGAGCGTAAGTTAGTGGGCGGACAATTTGGAACAAGATCCAACGAAAAAAAAAAAAAATCGACTCCAGTCTAGGAGAGAAAGGAAGAGAGAGAGAGAGAGAGAGAAATACGAACGCGATAAAGAGCCTCGTCGAATTCCTCAAGTTGTGCGGTCTTAGCCATCAAGCCCTTCCTCATCATGAACGGAGCCATTGTCTTCCTGAATCCTTTATTGCGCAGGAAGTCCAGACCATAGTTGATCATAGCCTGATTGAGATCCACGCCATCGTTGATCAGGAAGAAGCCCCGATGACCCGCAACCTTGGCGCCTCGCTCCAGATCTACCATGTCTAGTCGGTGCATCACTACATCGTGTGATAACAGTTCTGCACGCTTCTCGAACGGCTTATTCGGTTCCGGATTCCATGTCTTCAGGATCACATTATCATCCTATATATGGTAAAATCTCGTGGATCAGTTCATTGATAACTGTCCCAATATCGCCGTTAGTTGTGATCAACTATTAACATACCTCTGTCATGCTAACATGCACACTTTCATGCACAATATTACCAATGCTACTCGCTCGCGTTTTCAGTAGGCTTTCGGCATCCGCTTCTTCCTTTTCCAACTGTTTGATTTTCTCATCTAATTGTTCTTTTGAAGTCCATAATTCCGGCTCAGGTTCCTTCTTAGCCTGTATGTAAAAACCCATGACAAATTCAAAATGATTAAGACATCTACACATCACAAACATCATTAATTGTAGAAAAAGAAGTATATGGATGATGGCTATTTTTTGGTTTGGGTCATGATTGCACACTTTTTTGGCCTCACCGATTTTCTTCTTGATGGCGTTGGCTTCGGTCCGAACTTCCCTTAATTGGAAGCCGACTATTCTTAGAATGAGACACAATAAAAGGTATCCGGTCAGATCCAATTCACCAAATACGACCTTCTTTTTTTCTCAAAAAGGTGAGGAGAATGAAAGACCTTTAGTCCAACTAGTGTACAACGCCAAGACTTCATCGACCAATTCGGCCGCCTTTTCGCCACCCCTCTTCCGTTGCGAAGTCTTGACAAGCTCAGGATTGCCTCCTTTCCCGGTCTATCCCAACAGTTCAAAGAGACACAGTGTGGATGACCCATCAATACGAGCTCGATCCAATCATGAAGGTAGCAAGATATTTGGGGAGGATAAGCTCAGGATTGTGACTTGCCTGTAGTAGTTGTAACTCGATCATCTTTTGTGTTGGTGTGGGCCTGGTAAACTGGTTTGTTGATGTGATCGATGATGACCTTGGTTCTCGGGTTTCTTTTCTTTTTTTTTTTCTAGTTTCGCGCCTCTTTGACCCCGTTTCCCCCTAGGATTACCCTACACAGCACTGGCTCCCGATCATACAGTGCCCTAAGTTCTAACCCTCTTTTGTGTAACACCGCGCCTGCTAACTTAGCTAAGTACCTCCGGCAGTTTCATCCGATGGCTTGCCGGAGGGACTTATGGGCTATGTCCACCCCGTGGCCCATGAGCATTAGGGATTTTGCTGGGCAATATTTTAAAACCCACTAAGCCCGCCCGTTTCTGGACGTTTTTCGCGCTTCTTTCGATTTTTGTGATGGCCTCGCCAATGCGCATCCATCCGTCTCATCAACTCCCCTTCATCCCTGAAGGTTGAGCTTCCAAGAGGCCAGGTGAGAACCAACCCATCCAGATTATGTGTTATGCATTCACCAGGCTGTCCACAATATTCGATGCAGGGGCACTGTAACAACAGATACACAGGTGTTCTTATGGCATAATCAACTGATATGGCAACTGTATTTTATGCACCTCCCATCGTTTCAAAGATGTGGAGGGTCATACAGAATGAGCCTGAAAACTCAGGTTCCTGATGCCATTAACAAAAGCCCAGCTTCCCAAACAGCTAGTGGCCTCCCTCCATCATGGAGGCCACTGTGTGATTCTCCAGCATTTGCCGCTCATTTTGGCACGCCGCTTGTGGGGTGACGTGCGAGTGAGCGGCCTTGTAGTGAGCTTGCAAAAAAAAGCCACTTTTTCCTAATCCTCATGGGCGAGGAGGGTGACTTAGCACATAAGTCCCTCCTTCGGAGGGTCCCTGCGGGACGGCGTCCCCCCTCCGAATAAAGAGGGACTTAGTTAAGTTAGCCGCGCCTGCAAAACTATTTTCAAACTTTGAGCTGTATGTTGGTTGGCTCAAATAGGGCTACATACCCTTACTATACATTTTTGGGCTCTACAGAAGCAGTAGAACCCAAATATATAACCACAAGTCTGTAGGTGCAATAATAAAAAAGTTTGGAAGTTATTTTTTCTAGGACTTGGAACAGCCACCCAGGGAGGTCATAGTATTGACTTCTGGGGGCTATTATGGACTTATGTACTATGTAGTATGCTTTTAGGGGTGGAATTTACATAATATGTTAAAAAAAGGCAAAGAAAAACCAATACATGAGTTATCTGGCAATGATTTCTTAACAGATTTGGCAGCCCTTCTGTCTCTCTGGGAACGAGCTGCTTTCCTCACAACCATCTTTGGTGATTCAACTCCTCCTTGCATGAAAGTCGTAAAACATGCATTGGATTTCATCTAAATATGTATGTACTTTAGTAAAAAAAATCCAATTTCAAAGTCAAGAAAGTCAAAGAAATGGTTGGAAGAAGCCAAAATTGCTTAAAAAAAGAAGGAAAAAGAGAAAAAAATGGTAAAACACAAGAAAAAAAATTGAAAAAAAGCTTCAAACATTTGGAACACCCCCAGGGGTGTAGTACAAAAGAGGGTTAGGGCACTGTAGGTTGCAGGGACGGGGACCAAGCTTCTCCGCCGGGGGAAGGCTGCCAAGTTGGGGAAAATTGACGACCGATCGGGCGACCGCAGCGCCGCGCGTGCCTACAGGACACTGGGGGCCACTCTTTTGAAATGTTATTTGCTCTGCACTACTTGACTGTCCCCTCATCCACGTCTCCTGTTCGATTTAGCCAACCATATATCTGGCTATCATCTTTTTGGATTTTTTCTGACATTGAGTGATCAGGAGTTTCAAATTTGCAATTTCTTAGTCTTGAGGCAATTGAAAGAACTTGCCTTTGTTCATGATTCTTCTTCAGCTTTTTTGATTGACAAGACACCAGTCTTCACAGTTTCTAATTTGCAGCTTTTTTTATTTAAAAAAAAAAAGGATTTCTATGCTCAATTTGGGTTGGAATTGCACTTGAGGGGTTCAAGCTTAAAGTTCTGTTTTTCCTAGTCAATTCAGAAATACCTGCATGATCAATGTAATCAACAATCCAATCAATTTTTGATTATCAATCACAATATCTGATCAATTCATAAGTTTACAGGGAGAGAGAGAGAGAGAGGAATCACTGTGAACTGTTTGACTTCACACAGGGACATTGACCAAACTATACATCCCAATTCCTGACTGAAATTGAAGGTTTGTTTGAATAACTAACTTTGGAAACAGGTAGTGGAAATCAAAGCAAAGCAAGATCATCAAAGATGTATCATCACCAGAAAATTTATCCTTGGGGCCAACATTATTATTTCTTGAGCTTCATCCAGGAATAAAAGCACCTGAACATTTGTATACAAAAAACCAAGTCAAGGGATCTATGCACTAATCACAGATATACACACAAGATATTTACAGGTATACACAATATATCTACTATTCAAGTCCAAACAGTCTTAGTTCAAGATGGATGTGAACCTTAGAGTATCAGATGTCAGGAGGCTCAAAGATGTGACAATGGCTTTGGTTGTTGGCACTCCACCGGACCAGGACAAGGTGTGAGATGGACGGTACTTGAGCATGATAGATGAGGGTTCTCTATGCGCCAAGAGTGGCCGATGGGACACCTGTGAACGAAGACTGAGAGCTGGCGGGAGCAGGTCTGCGCGGGCAGGTTGCGCTGATGGACCTTGCAGACGAGCGGGAGTCCGCAGGTCCTGATGGCCTCATGGACGAGAGGCGTGCCATGACATTGTGTGCATTTCAGTGGCAACTCGTGGACGTCCAGGATGGACGTGCCGGACACAACACATGTTGATGAAAGTACAAGTGCAGTAAAGATCGTCCTGAAACGCATGTTGCTCGCTTGAAGTAAGGGTTTGTTTGAGGCTGCCGTGTCAAGTTTGGGGAGGCTCGTTGTTGCGTTTTGGAGCTTCCAAGATGCAAATCGAACTCAAACCGTTGCTTGCCAAGTCTGGCAACGTGTCAGGGGAAAAAAAAGGAAGCTTTTGGTCCAATTAGCTAGATCGGAGGTTTGGCCTTTCTACCAGAGATCTACATCATCGGGTCCAGTTTTCAAACAGATTGATATGGTGCTGATGATGAATTGGCAAGCAGCCCCAGATAAACAAACAGGTTGAGTGTCTATGGCAGTGCATAGCATTCACACCAGCTTTTCCAAATAGTTGAACCGCTTAGACTTCTCTATTAAACTTGGTTTCAAGCAATTCTAATTCACGAGGGAATGGCCAGGACAATTGTGTCTGAGAAACAAAAAAACATGTATATAATGAAGTTAATGCACAGAAATAAAGAGGTCAAGACCCGGAGAAGCCCGGAGCCTAACTTGAGAGCAAGAAATTGTTGAGTAAATAACTTATTAATGTGGGGTCTGACAATTGCGGAATTCTTGTCTACAGAGCTGGCTGCTTGGACAATTAGGCAAAGGATGTGTGCGCCTGATGAAGCTATCCATAAGGATCTCTGGCTTACTTCCATGACTGGTGAAGAGGATATCGATACAGCTGCAACCGTGTTGAAGTTCAGCAAAGGATTGTAGAGCTACATATTGACAAAAAGAACTAGACTCTAAGCGGAATCGATTGTACCGCGATATTAGGTTGCGAGAAACGAAAAGTTCTGAAGAAGAAGTGACTTTCTCCAAAGAGCCTATGATCACTAAAGAACGCGTGGTCTCCCGACGGATTTCCAGGTGTCACCGAAGAGCTGAAGGCGGCGCTCTCAAATCTCGACAAGCGAGGCTAGCAGAGCATCTTGTGCACGTTGAAATCCTTTCAATCCCTCTCTGGTTCTGTTGGTGATTTTGCTTGAGTTTCGGCTGATTGTCAATCAAGTTCACATCGAACCCACACTTGCAAAGAGTCTTACCAATGGATCAGATGACGAGGCTGGCGAGTTTGAAGAATGACTCAAAGCAGAGATTGCTATAAGAGAAGTCACGGGTCTTATATGGACTCTCCGGATTGGATTGGACGGGGTTATCGTGCGTGTGGAGGTGCGACTGCGAGCAGTCACAATAAAACAATTATGGATGGTCGCTGGAAAAAAAAGCTGATCTGCAAAAAGACAGTCCGCCTCTCCCTGCGAATTTCGGAATTTCTAGTTTTCAAGGCTGAACGGATTCTGCATCTTTCACAGGTATTGGTGGGAAGCCATCCTGTCAGAGCCCCCGTCCCCGAAATATAATGGACTTCAAATGATGTACCAATGTCACAAACGCGGCACACGAGAAAACTCGAAGTACATATACCATAACTTAACTTAACTCCCTGTCCTTTGCCGGAGTCGGAGTTCGGACTGTCGACCGGAGGGGGGAGACCCCTGCGGGACGGCGTCCGCGTCCTCCCTCCAGCGAGAGGGGCGTTAAGTTAGATACCGCGACCTCGCGTCTTACTTTTGAGGCAGAAGAGACCTCGCTGGCCCTTCCCCTCCGAGGCTACTCGAGACTTTGTTTAGATGCATTGAGAGAGAGAACTTGTCTGGGTTGCTCGTCCCTGCTGGCTCTCGTCAGCGAATGCTCGCTGAGGATTTGTTGAGCTCGTGGGACGTGGAGAGAGCCCGCTTCTGGAATGATATTTATGTAGATCACTAGAAGGCTTTGATGGCCAGTGGCAGTACCCGAGAGACCCGTGGTACGAACCGGAAGTGAACAGCACTGAGACCGAGGTTCTGCTTATTTCGATCTCAATCTATTCAAGCATTTTGATCATGAGTCATTCATCAAGGCCAGTGACGTCATCCATACTTTGTTGAGCGCACTCTTGCTTGACTTCACCTCTCGAAATAGTGGTCAAGAGAACTGACTCTCCATTCAGAGCTGATCGCCCCATCCAAGCCGCATACATCCCCACTCACATCGAACTCTCCATCAGTTTCTCTCCTACCGTCTCCTACCCATTACTGTAGCCAACCTTTAATTAGCATTTCCGTATCACTGTCAAAATACAAATAAAAATGTCCACGCCTGACGCACTCCAGGGTCTTAAAGACAGCTCATCAATCGACGCTGTATGTCATCCTACTATGATCTTATATTCCAAGTGGATTCCAAGAGGGCTGCTGTTGACCGTATCTCTGATTTCCTTCGGACCATGTCTACCTGCTCTTGAAAACCTCGATCAAAGGTGATCGAGGAGTACCAATCCTCTGGAATCCCGGATAGACAATCCAACAGATGGTTCTCCTATCTTTCCTCGCTCTATCTGATCCTGTTGTCACTCCCCTTGATGGTCGTCCCAAGGTTCCTCGTCATGCTTCTCGGGCCTTGGTTGGTCAATAAGGACGACTCTTCGGTTGATACTGGGATCATCGGGGCTTATCGACCCTTGAACGAATTGGAAACTTATCTTGCCGTGGGTTCTATTTGTATTTTCTCCAGCCCCCTCCCCCCGCCAGGAGAAAAAAAAAACGAAAACGATCAGTAGCTGATCTGGTCTTTTGAATTTTCTTTTGCTAATTTCACATTAATGACCCACAAAAAAATAGCGACTAGTCGGACTGAGTTTCTTGACCTTAGCTTCGCTCATCGTCCTCCAAACCGGAGCGATCCCGGTCTCCTCGTCGATGGCCCAAGGGACAGATGCGGCATCCAGCGCCGCCCCTTATCGCCAACCAACGATCTTCTTTTCGACGTTATTCTTCTCACTCTTCGGCCTGTCCTCCTGGAATATCGGCTTGAAAGTCGTCGGTGCTCCTGGCCTTGCACTCGGCGCGGGCGGCCTTTGGATCTTACTGTTTGCTGGTGATGTGAATCTTCTATTCACCATGCCTTGATCACACAAAAATCTTCGTGTGGTTCTTTTTACCTTATACTCATGGTCTTCTTGTCCGATTTGAAAATAATCTCATGACAGCCACTGGCTCACGGGAAGAAAAGCCATGCGATCTTTGGGGACTCTAAATCATCCTAATTGAACATCAAATGTACATGTACTTATGATATATTTTTTATGCTCTGTAGAAGCAAATTAGGCACTCTGCCTGAAGAAATCTCCACATCAGTGCTCTGTATTTATCAAATTAAAATTTAATCTCAGCTGCAAGTTATAAGTGTTTTTTATGATTTTGAAACAATTGAGGGTTTTAAGGTTTAATTTTGATTTATTTTTTGTTATCTATGAAAAATCTTGGTAGCATCTATAAGTAAACAAACTTGTGGTATTTTTTGAGTATTAGCTGAAGCCCAAGGAACTCCTGTCTGGCAAGGTCATTTGGTGTTTTTGGAAAGATCACGCTTTTTTTGCAGAACAAATTGCTATGGAATTGCGAGCTTCCCACCAGGGGCCTGGACATGTGTTGAGTTGGAGAAAAAGCAGTCCTAGCTTTTCAAAAAACAAAACACCAACTGCTGATCTACATATCATCCTTGGTTGCGCAAGTTGTTGCCAAGTTTCTCATTGATATGGTGGAAATTAGCTGCAAACAAATTTACTTCTTTTTTGATTGTCATCACATGCAGAGCCTCACCGGTCTCTCCCGTCTTTCAACATGGTCATGGGCCAGACAAGTACATAAAAAAAGGTGTATGGTGTATCAAGCCCCTCTGAGGGGCTTGATAAACGCACGCCACCCCCCCTGGTGCACGCCAAACCGCACGCCAGGTGGGGATTAGCGTGCACGCCTGCACGCCAAAGAAAATTGGTGTGCAGGCCCGCATGCCAATCTACAGAGTGTAGACCGGCGTGCAGGCCTGCACGCCAAGGATTCGCCGCCGTCCCATAGGACCCAGGCATGGGTCCTATGGGACGGCCCCTTTGTTTTTTTTTCATTTCATTTCATTTTTTTTTTTCAAATCCCCTCGGCCTAAAGAGGCCAAGGTCACACCGGCTTGTCGGGAGGGGTTCCTCCCGGCGAGCTGGTTTCTTTACCAGCTCGTCGGAAGGAACCCCTTCCGACGAGCTGGTATATGTACCAGCTTGCCGGGAGGATTCCCTTCCGACGAGCTGGATTGTGTACCAGCTCGTCGGAAGGAATTCCTTCCAACGAGCCGGCAGGCGCGCACGCCAAACCGCACGCCAGGCGCCAGGGGGGCTGGCGTGCGTTTATCAACGCCCCCCCTCTGAGCACAATCAAAAGTCCCGCTTGGCCAAGTGCCACCATCCCCAAAAATGGAGAGCCAACTCCCAAGTCCTGGAATCCCCAAATTTTGGGAGTTGAGCCCCAAAAAAACTTTGACTGGTTTGGGAGTTGACTCCCCAAAAAATGTGGAGTAGTCATTCTTCATTGTACTCTTTCATTTCAGTTTATGTGCTACATACCTGTCACAGACCTATCACAGATCTGTAGTATACCTGGGCCAGACCTGAGTGTGTGGAAGGATTCTCTTTCCTCATCCTTTTGACTATCTCCTGTTCTGACCCAGGTACATAAGTCATTTCATTTGTTCTATGTTTCTCTCTGCTTGCTTTTATGTTTCTGATGTTTCTCAGTCTATGTTATCATTACTCAAAGCATTGCTAACCTCATCCTTTCCACTATCTCCTGTTGACCCAGTCTGTCTTATCAAAAAAAAATATTCAAAAAAAAGCCATCCCTGGTTGGTTTAAGGAGTCGATCCTCCAAAACCAACCAGGGTATGGGGGTTGGCAAAGGAAAACACCCCCACAAAAGCGGCCAGGAGAATTCCTCCTAGCCCCTGAGAGTACACTACTCTCGATGACTGAGAGGATTCCTCTCGGCCGTCAAAGGTATACACTCTCAACGGCCAAGGGAAACCACCTTGGCTGTTGCAAGTGTACACTCTTGACGGCTGAGAGGTACACTCCCCGCCATGAAGAGTGTACACTCTTGATGGCCAAGAGGATTCCTCTTGGCTGTTGAGGGTATACACTCACGATGGCTGAGGTGGTTTCCGTTGGAAGTTGAGAGTATATAACCTCAACGGCTGAGAGGTACACTCCCGGCCATCAAGAGTGTACACTCTCAATGGCCTAGAGGATTCCTCTTGACTGTTGAGGGTATACACTCTTAACTGCCAAGGGAAACCACCTTGGCTGTCAAAATGTGCACCCTCAACACCAAGAGGTACACTTTACACTCTTGGTTGTCGCCAGCCTGATCAACCCCATTGAGCTCATCTACGCTGTGGTAAGCCAATCCTGAATCTTCAAGCACATCAAGAGCAACAAATCACACAAGAATCACAGGATCAAGACCCCTCAGAAATCTCCCCAGACCCCCAAAACCAATCATGAATCCCCTCAAGCACATACCACATGGATAATAATATTTCCCAGCAGAAACTCCACAGCCCTGAAACTCATTCCCCTCCAAACATATTCTATTCTTCTTACCCATTGTGTTCCACACTAGTAAAGATCCCCTTGGCCATGAAACAGTTATTTCCTTCTATCTCCTTCCATGGAATATTCCACCCCTTATTTGTTTCATACTAGTAACCTTGGGAGCATTTTCCCACTGCTTGTTTCTCCTGTTTTCTCTGGATAAATATTTTCCCTTGTTTCATGCTCTCATAGAATGTTCCATTTATCTTCCAACCACAAGCTGGCCACTCCCCAGAATTTTGTATATAAGGAGCTTTGTTTTTCCTCTTCATTTGTTCCTCATCAGATCCTGCCCCAGCAATTCAGATAACTGATCACCCACTATTAGCCAGATATTTGCCCATCAGCATTTGGGATACCTTGATTTGTGACAAGTTTATTTAGACTAGTAAACATAAGACATATTAGACATACCATCCTCAAGAAATCTCCACAGCCACACCTTTTTCCTTAAGAGTCCATACTCTTATATTTTCTTGTTATCAGAGAGGCTGCCCATTAAAGCATCCATCCCTCTCAAGCTCTGTTCCTCCCAAGAGTAGTTCCACAACGCAAGCAATGTTGGAATTTGATTCCTAAGCCTAGCCCTCGAAAGAGGAGAATTTCAGGTAAGTTATACTTCAATGTATAAACTTCCTAGAGAAATATAAGCATACTGATCAATAAAGTTTGATCATGTATAGAGTTGAGCTGTTCTGTAAATGAGCATGTGATTGCCAAGCTCAAAGCTTGTGATCAAGGAGAGGACATCAATGATGTCATTACTCTAGATGATGATGATCATCAATCATCAAACTCTAAGTGAGTATTGATGATTGTGATCAAAGGAATGAGAAAATGATCATTGACAATCTGATTCTTCTCTCCTCAACATCAATCATCTACAGTAAGTTCTATCAATCCTCTGCAAGTTGTATTCAACTTATCGACCGTATCTCTCCACCAAAGACCGGTGAGTAAAAGCCTTTCCTTGAAACTAAGGAAAGAGAATGTTAAGCAATAGAAAACATTGATTGATTTTTCCTACTTTGAATAACAATTTAGATTCATTAAGCAAGAAAAAATCATTGTAGTAAAATTAGCTTTACCGGATCTCTTGATCTAATTACTGTAAAGTAATTTTTATCAAATGTTCTTTGCTTAAAGAAAATAATAAATTGAATGAAAACTAATTAAGTTTGTTTTCTGATTATCAGCTTATTATCACTGTTACTTGACAAACTACTACAGTTTTATTCTTTACAATTGTTATTACTCTTGCAGACTGTTATTCTGCCTTTAGGTAATAACCTGATCTTATTTTATCTTTTATAAAGTTATTTAATTGTATTTTCTTTATAAAAACACTTTAATTATAAAGAAATGAAACTTTAGTCTTCAAATTCTTTCAAGCAAGGTGTTGGCCTTGATGCCAATAGTAGAACCCTCTAGGCCATCAAGGGTCGATAGCCGGGAGCTACCTCTCAGCCGTGGAGAGTGTACATTCACAACGGCCAAGGTGGTTTCCCTCGGCCGTTGAGAGTGTATATCCTTGATGGCCAAGAGGATTCCTCTTGGCCATCAAGAGTAGTGTACTCTCAGGGGCCGGGAGGAATCCTCCTGGCCACTTCTGTGGTGGTGTTTTCCTTTGCCGACCCCCAAACCCTGGTCGGTTTTGGAGGATCAACTCCTCAAAACGAGGGGGGGTTCCTTTTTTTCAATATTTTCTTTTGGGGAGTTGACAACTTGACTCCCAAACCAGTCAAAGGTTTTGGAGGTTCAACTCCCAAAATTTGGGGATTCAGCTGGGGCTTGCGAGTTGGGTCTCCATTTTTTAAACAAGTGCATCCCAAAAGCACACTTGATGAAAATGATCCTTGTAGATACTGATTTGTATTTTTGAATAGTGTCTCATCAATCCTGGTAGTAGCCCATGACATACCACCAACAAAGGCATAATGAGCCAATTGCTTCCTGAGCTTTCTCCCTTTTGAGTATACACATACATAGCTTTGATTAGTGAGACATCAACTAACAATGTATTCATTTCTGTTATGATCAACAACTTGTCCCAGCAGCCCATCCTGAATCACAACTCCAAAGAACAACTCAACACCCTATTTACTGAGACACAAACCTGGAACCACTGGCACTGTGTTGTAACACAGTGGCCCTTGTTGCTGTGGTTGATAGGATAATAAATAAATAAAAAAATTGATTGTATTGATGAGGGAAATCATTTTTTTTCTTGTAAAAACAAACAATGGAAGAGTCGGATGAGGAACTGCATGGAACAACATTATAGCCATCAACACAATAAAAGAAGAAAAAAAAATGGAGAGGTTTAAGAGAACAGAGAAAAAATGGCGGGGTTGAGAAACAAGTTCAGAAGCCTTTGACTTGTTTCTTCCCACTTGAAGGTTTAGATTTGTTCTTCGAAGGATGATTTCCTTTAGCCTTCACGCCGGTTTTAGCTTTCACGCCGTTTTTCTTATCGCGGATCTGGTCCTTTCGAGCCTGAATGTTTTGGGTACGTTTCTTCTGTTTATCTTCCTTAAGTTTCTCGACGACCTTGATCCGTTCGTCCCACTGATGTTTCTTCTTCTTCTTCTCCTTCGTCTGTTTCTTGAGCGCCTTTTCGATCTTTTTGCGGTCGTCCATGACTTTAGTGCCCGAGGCTTGCAAGTTAGCCTTTTCCCACTTCTTGCTCTCCTCGGCCCTCTCCCGGGCCTCCGGCGTCAGCTTCTCGAGATAGGCTTCTCGTCTGTCTAACGCCGTCTTCGCCTCCTGTGGCTTCTTCGACGTCCACGATGGGTTCTTCTGCCCGTGCGAATGCCCCCCTTCAACTCCGGTCGATTGTTTCAGATCAAACGATAAGGATGAGAACGCTAGATCTGGCTCCTGAGCAGGTGCTTGGTTCTTAGTCGACGATTTTGAGCCCTCTGCAGGTGCAGGTCCTGCACTAGGTTTCTCAGCTTTCGATGGGGATGGATTAGGATGGCTTGATTTCGATGGCGGAGCTGCGTTTTTGGAAACGTCTTTCTTAGGTTGATCATCCTGGGCAGTCTTGTCTCCCTTCTGTCGATTGCCAGAACCGGATGGGGCGTTCGAGGGCTTAGAAGAAGCGGAGCCAGATAACTTTTTCTTCTTGAGTAAGCTTTGTTCCAGTTTGTTTTGTTTCTCTTTCGATCGAGCCTCCTTCCTCTCCTTCCGTCTCCGATCCCGCATCTCTCCCCGTTTCTTCCTTTCGAGATCTAGAAGGGCCTCTTTACCGGTCACGCCGGCAGATTGCTGATTTTCCGATGACGGGTTGGCTCGCTGAGAGGATCCTTGGAGGGTTTCGATCCGCTTCTGAAGCTTGGCTTGTAGCTCGGCTCGAGATAGTTGAGGGGCTGGCGAGACGGCATCCTTGGGCCCGTCGCTCTCTTCGTCACTCTCCTGTGAGGATTCCGATGATTTTTCTTTCGATTCCAATTTCTCGCAACCACTCTTATTCAATCCTTGGAGTTGTGGAATCGTAGGTAGAGTATCGGGGTCATACTGTTTTGAGCAAGAAACAATAATTGATAAGCATTTTTCTTGCTTCTTTTTTTGTCGATGGATTAAAACCAGTAGGGAGACGAACCTTTGCACGTTTCTGGAGTCGCTTGGCTTCGGGATCGACATGGTGGGAATTTTTCTTATTTTTCTTGCTGGCTTTCTGAGAGTTGTTCTGGAAGGAAGTGACTGAGAACTGTTGTTGAGCGATATAGTATTTGGGTGGGATCATACGCAACAGCTCTTGGAACTGCTGGTCATGGGCCAATATCGCAGCCTAAGAGGGAAATGGTCCAGATCCAAGGCCAGTCAGTTCAAGATGATCGATATAGAGTGAGTGAGTCGATAGAACCTGGTACGAACCCGTAGAGGCTCCATCTCTTTCGGTAGTTCTTGGTCCATCGCTTAGTCAATCTGGAACGTAAGTTGAAGTTTTCTGTTCGAAGCGACTATCTCCACTTGCTCAATCAATTGTCAAGTGTCTTCGAAGGGGAAACTTTCGCTGGGTTATACATACATAGAAGGCGGGCTGCGGATATCAAAGAGGTTTCAAGTGTTCATATTGCATACAGTAGTGCATATTGCATATCCAAACTCAACCCCCGCACCCCTCCGCACCCTCTCACAGCAATTGGTGCAACGTCTCCAATGTCCATGCTCTGGGGATCAACTATTTTGTTGACGGGGCAATCTGCATTCATAAGAACCGAGTGCCAATGCAGTTCTTCACGAGCCTAACTAGGCCTCCACGGCGGGAGCGGGAGCGAGCAGCGGAGCTGTCCACGCCAGTGGAGGCCTAAGACAGATGCGGCAATCCCCGCGTGCTGAGTTTTCAAATTTGGGCTTAAAAGCCAGTTCTTTGTGCATTTTTCTACCTATGCTCCTCCTCTTCCACTATTATCTAATTTCCTTGTGGACCAAGGAGGGCCTGCTTCTTGTAAATGTTTCCCTCTCCTCACATTATTTTGTAATTGTGTCAATTTTGATATAGTTATTTTTGAAAATGACAACTTTTCAACAAAAGTTGAGTTTTTTTTGGTGTGCGCGAGTTCATTAAGCTGCTTATGTGAGCGTAAAAAAAGTTGAAACGTTGATTTTAGAAAATCAATATTGATTACTTTTGTGATTTTAAAATTTTGAAATTTGGCCTGATCAATAAGATCAGGCAGGTCTTGAAAAATTCGAGACCAAACATCAAAAAAGTTTTGAGGGAGCGTCATGATTTCAAATCTTGTGACGCTCCCACCAAAACACCAGAAACTCAGCACCTGAGTTTGTCGACCTCTGGCCCAAGTCTCCCCTGCGGGGAGTTCCCTTCGGGAACCGCCTGGCCAGCGCTACGCTGCCAGATGCGCCCCCCGCAGCCTGAGACTTGCGATAAGTTCGAGTTCTTCAGAGTGAAAAGCTCAATAGGCACACAATTCACCGACTGCAGCCGGAGATAAATATACCCATGCAAGTATGTAAGGCCAGACAGACAACATAATTCCGTAATTATAGATATTCGGTCTTTTTCTATCATCACAATTACTTCCCTCATAGAATTTCCCAATTCCTTGAATCTATATGAAAAAAAAAAATCACATGTGCTGAAGCCCTTGAAAATGAATGATAGCAAGTTTGCATAAAGAAACGAAAAGAGAAACGGTGCTAAGAAAACCCTTTCATGTATTTATCCCGGAAATGTCTATGACCGGGCAGAGATTCTTCCGCCTGATTGTGCTGGGATGAGTTCGAGCACTGAGGAGCTCCATCATCCGACGACGTCGTCGGATCTTTCTGCATGGTGATCAGCTGTGTTGAGTTGTACAGTTGTTTGTTTGGTTGCGAGGAAAAGCCAAGGTGCAAGAATAGCCAAAATAAGTGAGCCATCTTTTTGGTAAATAGGTGAAAAAGGAAACCTACTCTTCGTTGCCATTTCCCGAAATCTTGACACGAATTAGCAACCAATCTTAGGCCATTCCTTTGAGGAACGTCAGCATGACTGTAATCTTGACTAGCGGTAGGCAACCAATAAACCTATTCAAAACAGAAAACCAGCAACCAAAAAAAAACAACTTCTCAATATTGGCTGGTTGTTCGAAAATGCATTAGGGGCTGCTTTATTTTTGATCGAGAGAGGACTGGTGAATAAGATGTGTGCTTGGGGAAGGGACCCAACTAGTCTTCCATTCGGCTTCAACATCCGCAATGCGAATTCCAAGAGGCCCTCCAACACCTCGCTCATTTCCCAAGGTTTTGATGGCGGAACATAGTCGGGTTTCCTGAGCGATGAGAGAAGGCCAGAATGAAAACAAACAGTATGATCAGTCATCCCGGATCAATATGTGGGAGGGGGGAGTTGACTTGCTCATGAGACCAGGTCCCATCAGGTAACTTGTATGGCTCGGTCCGTATCTTCGATTGGTCTTTTCGTCCCAGACGTTTCGCCCCTGCTCGGACTCCATAGCTAGATCATAAAAACCAAACAGTGTAAGCAAACCTCTTCTCGTGTGTCTAGCCGTAGCCCAATGTCAAAAAAAGAAATTAACCACCCACGGAGCTGTAAAAAAACAGCCATCAAGCCGTTACTAATTCGAATCATCCCTCCAGGAAATTAAGCTTTTTGGATAACACTCACGATCGCATATGATTGCATCAAAAATTTCGCCTGTTCGCCAAGGGTTTTGCTACATCAGGAGGAGAAGGAACAGCAATCAATTCCCTCGCACTTCCGTGACTTAGGGAGAGGAAGATCGCTGGGGTATTCTTAATCAGAAAATCGAACGGAATTGTCCAACACAAACCGTCATATCGAACACTGCCTGGACCCGGGCAAATACGAAACGCAAAGTCAAGAATTAGGAATCGACAGCTCCACTTGAATACCGCAAGCTGTGAAGTAGCATTTTAGAAGACACCCACACAATCCAGCAAGTTTTGAGAAACCCCATACTGTCTGGCACTGTCATGTATCGAGTGTTCTGTTATCCGCAATCCAAAAAAATAACGAAGAATCGTTTTAGTGCAGCTCATGGAGATGCCCAGAGACAGGATTGGCTTGTCGGTTGAGTGCAAGCCAAGATACCTTTGCCTCGCATCGGACGACCGTCGATATCGCTCCCAAAAACGTACGCCCCGTACCAGGCTGAGGCATACAACATCGAACCCGTCCCTGTAAACGGATCATTGACTACACTTCCTGGTCCGACTAATCCTTGATTGGCCATCTAAAGAAATGGAAAAGGAGCTCAGCAATTCTCATTTGCTTCAGATTCCTGAATCTGTCTCTCTCTCTCTCTCTTCTTTTTTGTTCAGATGAAGGTGGTAGTAAGAGAGGAATTCTCGTACCAGTAAGGATAGGCCTGCCTCCATGGAAGTGTTTCCAATATATCTGTACCCCCAGGTTGGAATCAGGACCTCAATACAGGGAGATTCAAGGAGAGAGGATGGAGGAAAAGAGGGAGATGAAAGAAGAAGCTATCTGACATGCGTTTTTTGAGGTCGAATTTATCGACCAAGTGACGCTGACCATCGCAGATTTTGAGGCCCAACCAAATCCATCTGAGCCGGATATTAGTCATTCGAAGGACCTGATCGATGCCGATTGCGGGCGCGTTATCGTCCGGGCCATCGGCGCTATAATGTTCCTCACTTAACATGATTTCCACCTGCGGGTCTTGCAGATTAATTGTCCCCCGGAAATCCATGTACGAGAGCGACTCGATCAGCTCTTTCTTCCGCCCCTGCGTCACCGTCGTCTTGTAGCTGTTCACCGTCACCTTGAACGTGTGGCTTGCGGCATAGTCGGCCTTTTTTTTCGTTCGGTTTTTTTTCAAATCTGGTCAATCAAATCCCTCTGTCCACTCATTCTCTTGGTCATTCGGTGTGGGAAGATTTCTTACCCAAAGCGCCTCATTCTCTTTGTTCAATCGATGTAATTCGGGATACGAAGGTGCTACATAGTTGACCGATTCATTCCAATCAACAAAAAAAAAAAAGCTGCAAAACATCAATATTGAATAAAATTCTAGAGGAGTAGGAAACTGAGTACCGTCTGCCCAATGTCGTAAGATGTGTTTGATCAAGACGGCCCTCGAGCCCAACAGCCGTGCCTTCTCATCATTCTCCAAGCCGATCTTCATGTAAGGACGCTAGATGGGACGAGACTCAAGCAAATAAAAAATAATAATTAACGTTTTTACTTCAATCAGCACCCAGAGAAAAACGCAAGCGACCTGTACACTATGGTAGTAAGATTCCCATTTTTTTGTTCTTTTTTTGGGGGAGACAGTAATACGATTCAAACATACATAAATGTCAAGTTCCAGCCCCAAATAATCGATCCCGAGGTTGAACAAGACATCGATCGACTCCAATTCGGGTAATCGGAATTCCTCGTATGCTGGTAGAGGGGGATACAAAAAGCGGAAAGAGAGAAAAACAAGATTGGAATAGTCAAGACGATTGACCACATCAAGCTGTGCCATTCATGAATCGGACAAAAGAGATTTTTTTTTTTTCTTCATCAAACGGAAAGCTGTTGAGAGATGCGAGGGTTGGTGATGATGGGTTGGAGCAGGCTTCTTCCAGCCATACGATGCATTGTATATGTTTGGACATTCAGGGTCATTTAGCACGTCGAACAGCGTCTTGGGCTCCTGAAATCGGGCACATCCTGATCCTAATTGACGGCCTAAAGACTAAACGAAGCTCGAGTGGATGGCCGGAGCGAGGTGATCGATCGGAGCCCGCTGCCGAGAAATCGGCGACCCGACGCCGACAACAGACCATCCTTATATCGGGGAAGAGAAAGTGAAGGATATGCTGATGAGATGTGACATACCCTGAGCGAAGATGATGATGTATATCTGAGGGGCCATCGGGATCGTCCGAGGAATGGGTGCACACTTGTCTTGTGTCGCCGGTGGTCGTCGCTGCTGTCCTCCGGACTCGGGCTAACTGGCGGGGCTATCGAAGTTCTCGGCCGAAGTTCGGCGGTCGCACCAATTTTTCAAACGCGCGACCAGGCTCAAACTCGGCGAAGCCATCTGGTGTACATAGGTCAAATACTGAATATCCCACTCAGGACAAAACACTTCCACAATCACTGCCACTCAAGATCTCCGACACCATGTCTCTCATTGCTTGGATGACAAATCAAGCAGAAAGCAGATAGATAATCAAGGATTACATGGTCAACTTATTTAGAGCATGAGTAGAATACACATTCAAAAAAAAAGAAACATTGTTCATTTCTGAAAAAAAGAAGAAAGAAGTGTTCTTTATTGGTGGAGCTCAAGGGGCGATTAGGATACAGAGTGGGCGGGAAACCAAAAACAAGAAGAAGACATCAGCACACATAAATGACGATTCAAAAAAAGCAGAGCAGTTTATCTACCACAACCCAGAGGAGTACCAAGAAAAGAAAAGAGATGGATGGGGGTGAGAAGGTCTTGAAAAAGATGCAAGTCAAACATCGAGAACGGAGTATGTTAAAAAAAGGGGGCATTGTAGGTTAAGGGGGGGAGGGGAAGGGATGAAAGAACGTCCATGTGGTTACTCGACATCGGTCAGTTCGCTCAAGATTGTTTTTGGAATGTGGTTTGGACCATCCGGTCGGGATAGACGGTCCTCTGAATGAACCCATAAATTGATAGTTAGTAACGAAAAAAAAAAAAACAGATACGAAAGAGAGATCCAAAGACGTTGTCGCCGTCAATCATGAGATTTATTTTTCCATATCCCATAAAAATAAAAAAAGAGAAAGAAAACGGGACTAACCAAGGACTGAATCAAGTCGAAAGTTTCTTCAGGGACTTGATGAGGGGCATGAGGATGATGGATGAGGAATGAATGGGAGGCCTGAGCGTGGGATTGATTGAGGGTGAAAGTGGACAAGTTAGAATGGGTGAAGCTCGAAGCTGATTCCGTCCCGTCCTGAGGAAGCTGATGGTAATGGTGAGGGAGATGAGAGGGGACGGGAATGGAGGGGGACTGATCGAACGTCTGTCGACGATCCCCATCAGTCTCGGGATCCATCCTGGGCTCTTCCGGGTAGCTCATCGAGCTGGAGTTTGGGTAAGAAAGCTGGGATGACTCTGGCTTCCAACATCCGCTCGTCCCATCCACCCTTACATGGGGACGCTCCTCACCAGGGAAGCCCACCTTGGAGCCCTGCTCGATCACCTGCACGCTGGGCTCGTAGTCCAAACTGTTGTAAGACTTTTGATCTTCAAACCAAGCCATCTTCAGTCCTTCCATTCGATCGTGTGTGAGAGACGGCAGTGATGGGGCATAGCTGATAAACGAGGTCGGCGGTGTTTCTGATCGAATGGGCATGTTGATCATGTTTGCCCATAATTGAGTGTTTTCTGAGAGCCCGTCTCCATACAGTTGTCCACTCTGGCTGGTGTCTTGGGGCATACTACCATGGGATGCGGTATCATTAATCAATTCAAGATTTTCAAGAGCTGAAGAAGGGTCTGGGAATCCAGTCGAGCTAGTCATTTCAAGCGGCGAAGGTAAAGAAGATGGGACTTCATTGGTCCCCACGGACGGGGGGCCTGGTTCGGGTATTGAGTCTAATTCAAGCTCGTTCTGACGCGTGATTGCTGACTGGGGACTCGCTCGGCTATCTAAATCTTTCAAAAGCACCTTCAACGTCGTCACATATTTATCCTCCGTTCCGATCCCCCATCCACCTCCTTCGGCCTCCACCTCGAGCGCGAATGTCTTGATAATTTCTCGACAGTGATCAAAATCGATATGCTCGGGTATCAACACGCAGCCTTCGAGGATACAGGCGGTTGCAATGGAAATTGTAGACTTTCTGTATTCTAGCTGCGGGGGGGGGATTGACAGTGTGATTTGGAATGGTTAAAATAATAAGCATTTGTCCAACTCGAAACAATATAAAAAAAGTGTTTTGTAATTTACATGAACGCAGGGCACTCCGCGTTCAGCTTTTCTGGAATCAATGAATTGCTTCAGAACTTCCAGTGCATGTGCGACCCCTTCCTTGGCAAACCTGAGTCCTTCTGTGAAGGGAGTAAGGAAACGTCACAAAAGTTTCAAATGTCGTCAATTTGTTTTGTTAACAGCATCGGAATGAATGTGCTTTCTGTGGAAGAACAAGAATGTTGAATCAATCTTACGCTTGTTGGCACGCAAGGATTTGCCTGTCCTTAAGTCTTGAGTTACGAAGCATGTCAAATACGCGAATGCCTGAGTGAGTTAGTCAGTTTGGTCAGCAGGGTGTTGGAAAGGAGTCACGGCTGATGAAAAAGAAAAAAAAAGGGGACGAACTCGATGGTATAGGTGTTTGAATTCACTGGCCGCATCCGGGAGAAGATTGTGATTGGTACCTAAACAAGAATGGAACATGAGCTTGATGATCTCAACCGGCTATCCAATATGTGAGACAACATAAATGCTGACGATCAAGATCTTGTTTCCAGTGGTTGACCAAGGCGGCATATTTTTCGACAACGGCAAGCCGTTCAGAAATCTTGATTGAGCCTAATCGATAATGACTGTCCAGGTGTTCTTGAGCCTCCTGCATGATCGCATAGTATTTCACGAAGCTGGAACAGATACAATGGTAAGCTCACAGTGACCAGCTCATGTCAAGCGAAGAAGTGAAAAAAAATAGGAATTATCTGGAAGCTTACTATACCAAGTTACCATCCCATTCTGGAGCGCTATATGGCGAGTTGCAAATGATGCTGCAGTAGGAAATCAAGACTGTGCAAACATCGACACCATGCCATAATAGAATTAATTCCACGCTTGAGGGAGTAAGATGAATCATTTTGAAATGAGTGAAAAGTTTACTCACTTGATTTTTTAATCCGCATCACACATGGTTTACCTGTCCATAAGAAAGAAAAGGCTCAGCAAATCAAGAACTGGGGTGCTCTACCGCAAGCAATTTCGCAATCAACGCCCTGTGAGTTCAGGCATGGAAATTCAGAAGAACTTGATGAGAAATTTCGAAGTGGATTATACCTGTTAATGTACTGAAACATTGATGGAACAACAACAATCAAGGTCAGTAAACGGTCTCTAGCCTGAGACTCATGGCTAATGAACCGGCCGGAACAGCAATCAAGATTGTCAAGAGTGAGGGAGCTGGCTATGGAATTGAAACTTCTCGGGTTTTCGTCTCACCTATAAAGAACAGAATGGATGTAGACGCCGATGAATGTCCGGGCAACGGATAACAACTGGCGCTGGTCGAACTCAGACTGCCAGCGAGGTTCGGGGATCCGGTCGAAGACATCCCTGAGCTAAGCCGATGGAAATAAGGAAACAGATCCGAGGAGTGAGGATTCCAGATCTATATCCGGGAGGGATGACTGCAGTAAAAAAGCAAGCTCAACTCGAAGATATTCCGCATGGTCGACGACCAAGACCGGGTCGATATACAGCCCGCAATGGATGATGCATCCGATCACCGCGATCAGATCTTGGTATGATTGCGGTCGGTCGTGAGCAAACACTCGATAGAATACTACCTATCGAGGTAATTCCCAATACGATCATCCTTTAAAAGATTAGTACATTTCTTCTCAGGATTTCGGATGGAATAGGGCAAGTGGATGATTTACATCGATAATCAGCTCGATGGCGTGGGCTTTCATCTTTTGGTAGGTGTCAACATCTCCATCTCCCTTTGCCCCCGCACTGCAAGCAACGGCTAACATTAATGGCGAGTGCCATCTCACGTTCTCAAACGTGTCGGGCTAGAGAACAGATCCGCCATCCAGTTGGATGATCAGCAAACGTACTTGCTTCAAGCCAGGTCGATGAAGGCATGGAAAAAGAAGGACGAGACCAACAAGATACTCACGATATTCAACCAGGGGATCTGGGGTGCCCAGCGGGTTTGATGACTGTTTAGACAGAGCCATCAACAAATCCACAAAGGTTGAGTAACTCAGCACATACGGAAACCTTCCCCTGGAAATCCGATCCGTACCGTCTTCCGCGCCCGAGTACATAGACCACAGTCACTCACATCTCGAACAACCGTCTCGCCATCTCGGGGCTAAGCATTCCCCGCTCAATCAGATCCGACCTCCGAGGACCAAACTGGGCGGCTTGAATGGCCTAATAGAAAACCCAGACAGGATCAAAAAAAAAAAAAACTCAGCATCACGTACCAAAACACAACCCCACATACTGACCGACCATTGGTTAATTCAAAGTAGGCCCGTTTTTTCTGTTTTCTTTCTTTGTAAATTTTAGACGGATTTTTTTTGGATATAATTTAAGAGGAAATGGATTATTTACCTTACTAGTTGGAGGGCCTTCGACCATCGATGTCCTTGCTGACTGGCTTGGCTGAGGTTCATCTTGTACTGGAGTGTCGGCTGAAGGCTTGCGCTTTCTTGGGTGCTGTTTGGATGTAGTTTGAAGGTTGGCAACACACTGGAAGGGCAAGGGGGGTGAATATGATTAGCTCAATCATTGCAGATCAAGTGGGATTGGACAAGATTGGCTACATTTCTCTCCTCCAGGTAAGAACCCCGGAGCGGTCTTAAGATAGATTGGAATAAACACCTACAGCTTCTACTCGGCAGACTCGAGCTTTGGTTTCTGAGAGCTCTTCTTCAAGTTTGGAGACTCGAGCCTCGAGCTCTTCGGTCCGTTTGGCTGCACACAAGCCACGAATTTCCAGACGAGCATTCCATGATCGACGATCAATTCTATGCGAACTAGCATCTTCTGCGAGAGAGAAGTCGAAGCTTACCCCATACGATTTGTCGACCTCTCCCCTGACTTTCCCCAAACACACAGGGCTGTTTGAGCCGTTGACACCTGTTTTGATTCGGAGATTGCAAGCGATCAGCGATCAAGAATCTCTTGGTGAGCTTCTGCTGGTGTGGATGTTTCTGCTGGAGATTAGCATCGGTTCCAAGGGGCCTGGCTGTCTGCCTTTCTGAAGTTGCTGCCAACTTGCCAGCCAAACGCTGATCAACATCGTCATGACCATTTAAATTTTGATAGGGGGTTGATCAAGAGTGACATCGAACATGAATGGGGCAGCCTGAACCCTATGTATAGAATATTTATGTAAATAGATCTGAAGAATATGCAGACCATACGCCACACTGGGCTGAGGGTGTAATACTGAAGGTGTGTCTTCTAATCTATGTAGTGTACTGCGGAAAGGCCCGAGGACTTGAGGAGTGGTGAAAAAAATCGCGTGTATAATTATATGTACGAATTATGGTATGCATGAGGTAAGGGAGATAGACTGGATGGAAGAAGCTTGCTGACCTTTTGCACGGTTGACAGGACGGGCCCTCGCATTTCATCTGGGCACATCGAGGACGCGGAGAATTTGTACATGGGAGGAGAAGAAGGGAATGAGATGGAGTTAGTACGATAAGAAAACGCATGGTGAGACCGGGCCAATCAATCCAGCAAAAAAAAAAAAAAAATTAAAATGATGTATCGAAAGAATTCCGCAGGCTCGGCCCACACGGTTGGACTCGGAGGCAGAGGAGCAAAACAAGGGGAGAGAGAGTAAGAAAGATCATCAGAGTGGGTTGAAGTGAAGTTCCAGGTATAAGGGCTGTTTCTTGGGAAAAGTCACGGATAAAGAGTATGTAGATCGTGGTGGCAGCGTCGGAAGAAGAGCAGGGAAAGAGCAGAGACGAGTCTATATGAGCAACAATATGTAGCTTGCTTGCTGATGGATGAGGAAGAAAGAACTTGAGTTCGAGTGTGATTAAAGAAGGAAATGGAGGGGGAAACAAGAAAGAAGAAATGGGGATCGGGAAAACTGTAGCAGACAGCGGGTGGGTGAGGCTTTTTAATCCACAATATATTGAGATCTATGGGCCACAAATCCCTGTAGTCACGCGTGGTCAAGAGAGGTAAAATTGATGGGTTTCTTCACCAATTCATCCAGTTGAACGGTGAACAGATATCTTCTGTGCGGCCATCCATGAGCGTCTGACCATTGATAGAGCTGTTCTCAAGACGAGAGCACTTCAAAAGAAAGAAAGAAAAACAAAACAAAACATACCTTTTGAGCCCGACATAGATTGCAGGCCACGGCGCTCCGAGAGCCAGACTTCTTCGGAGGTTTGGTAGAAGGCGGCAATTCGGGAGTTGTGTGTTGCTGGAGATGGTATGATGATGATGAGGAGGAGGAGGAGGAGGCCTGCAGCGGTGCAGGTTGCAGGAGTGGGTGGGGTAGGGCGACAGGAAGATTGATGGGGTATGGCTGAAGCTGTTGATGATGGTAATTGTTATTAGGAGGGTGATCGGGATGGTGTTGTTGGCGGGATGGTAATTGAGACATGATGGATGATGATATTAGTTTTGGGAAGTCCAGTGGACATGAAGGCCTTTGGGGTTTAATAAGTAGTCATGTTTAAGTATTAAATGTTTAGGTGTTTGACGAGCCTCTCTCTCTCTCTCTGTCTTGGTGGGCTGGGCTGAGCTGAGTGAGAGTCCAGGCAAAAGCTAAGTTAGCGCAAAGCCAGGTTTATGTGGGAGGGCCGATGACCCGCGGAGTTGTGGGATGTGTATCTTCGAACATTCACGCAAGCAGTTTCATAGTTTGGGTGCCACAACACTCCGCCGTCTGGCGCAGAACATTAAACTTGAGCCTACAACAACAACAACAACTTCAACTTCAACATCAACTTCATTCTGGGTGGAAGTTCAACGACCCCTGAGTTCAGCTTGAGCGAAGGAAGAGGAATCGATCATGAGCACGAGAGCCAAGCAAGCCACCACCCGGCAGCAACTACATAGTACTCTTCTCTGTAAAACTATATCAGGGGCTGGTATTCAGACAATCGACATCGGACTCGTGAGCACTCGGATCCAGCTCTGATCTTCATTCTGAACACTCCCAATCAACGCATTCATCCTACAAATCAATTCTTCGTTCCTCGTCACGGCCGACGGAGCCTGTCCAACATCGTCGCTATATGTATGTATATGTATCAATCGGACAAAACTGACCCTCATTAAATCAATCGACCCCCTCCAGATCATCCCCTCTCGGGACTACCATTAAAGGGGTCAACAACTTGCATGGCATCGTTCACTCTTGATCCAGAAAAAAAAACACCCATCACCGAACTCTCTCCTTGCTTGGCCAAAACAGAATCATCTGGAAATCTATTCTTAAGACCTCCGGAATTCAAATCAATCAGAAACGTAGAAGCTGTCCAGTCTTGAATGATCATCCGGCAAAAAAACCAGCCAGAAGTTTGATGTCCGATGAGTGATCAAACCGCCAACATAAATAATTTGATTAGTCCTCCAGATCGCTCCCAGACCCAGCGACGTTAAGAAATATATAGATCAAAAGTACAGCTTTGTAACATACCCTCAATTCAACCCGATTCACGCCGCGAATCACTATGTAGAATATCATCTCAGTAACTTGAATACTTGTGTTTTAAAATCCTTCCGAGAACTGAACTCATCGGCCGAGGCTATCCATGAGCATATGTGTTTTTATAGAGCTCTCACATCGAATACAAAATAATACAATCTTCTCTGTCTTCATTCCTTCACCCAATTCAACGTGACTTTTTTCTCAGAAATACACTAGTTGGGTCTTGAGTGCTCAACCAAATCCAACATGTTTCTCCCATGTACCTCTGTGCCATAAATCTTTGCCCCTGGTGCGATTGGAAATGTTTGCTACAGCTTCAAGCACCACTGATGATTTTCATTTTTCAGTAGTCCCCCATGGTCTGCTTTTTTAGACACTTTTTTTTAAAAAAAAACTAGTGCATTTCAGTCCAACAAGCCAATCACCCTGGGTAACATTTGTCTTCTTTGGAAACAGAAAGAATTCATTTTGATTTTTTTTCTTTCATTCAGGGTTTGTAAGTAATCTATGATTTAAGATATGCTTGAGCTGCTTTTTGAATCACACAAGGCTCGATTCTCTGCAGGTATATTGATCAACTGGATCAACATTGCAACCATAGTTTAATAGCATTCTTGGAGTGGAAGGTGTCTGTTGTAACAGCAGAAGCAGAAAAGCCAAGCAACCAAAGCCATCTTCGTTTCGAAAAAAGGCAATCATTGTCCTCCTCAAAAATGACATCCGCAGTCTTGAGAAACAAAGACCTTCTCATCCTGCATGAAATGCTGACCGAAAGAAACCTTTTGCGGATATCGGTTTGTTGGATTGAATAGTAGATGATGATCTTATTCTTGGAGTTGGTTCCAATTTATTTTCTCTTGTCCAGCAGCGGATCCTCCTCAACTCTTCCTCCTGATGACCAAAATACCCATTTTCTCAATCAAATCCATGCCATTGTCTTCATCCTTGATCCAATCCGTATAAGTTCAACTGTGTTCTTTTTTGTCTTTGGGGGGGGGGGGGTCAAGCAATTTTTATTTGAACAAGAGACCTCAGGAAGACGTCTCGCCAGCGCGTCGCGCCTCGAGTGTTGGAAGCCGAATTTGGCCAATCCATCGAGCTGGTATGGCCTCCCACAGCTCATCGACAAGGATGCGAGTTGCTCGAGCTCAACTGAGTTTGTCGTGGTGCTAGAGTGCCTGCAGGCGGAGGTCCCTCCCCTCCATGCAGGAGGGGGTGCTTCACGGCGCGCCCAGCCAATTGCTATCGACACTCGCCTGCAATCTCACTGGGGGTATAAAACGACCTGTGCCTTCTCGGTGAGGATATTTCAACCCCGGAAAGCTGGATTGGTCTGTAGTCCATAGCTTGGCGAGGGGGATACATACACCCTTGGCAAACACAAAGCTTGTACAAGCTTGCCGAAAGGGGTTCTCCTCATCGGCCAAGGTGAAGGACTTGAGGAAGGACCCGCGCAATTCGGCTCTTTGGAGGGGGACATTACATATTCTCTGACCCGTATGTCTGTTCAATTTAAATAGAAAAATCCTGCCCCGACTTGCGGGAAGGTTGATGATGTTCAACTAGCTGGTACATCATAGTACCACCGGCCAGAAACCGATCTCTCCGTCCCTCAGCTTACATAGCAAGAAAAAGTCGATCCCGTTTGCAGGAAGGCTTGAACAGCCGACCTGGGGATGGATGTTCTGCTGTAGTACGCTCTCCTGGGTGTCCAGAATGGTGGTCGCATAGGCATCCATCAGGCGCTTACCGATTGCGCTACGGGGCCGGTGACTTCATTGGTGATGCAAGGGTATAAGTAGGTTCCCGGGCGCGCAATGTCAGGCCAAAAATAGAGAATACTGCGATACAAAAATCAAAAAAAGCATCTCCTGTTCCAGCTTATTCATGAGGATCTAACCTTGTTAAAGAGGATGTATCTACTTTTCACTGAGCTGGTAAAGCCCCTTGGTGAGGAGGATCTTCACTGAGCTGGTAAACGGTAGAGGGCAATATTGATGAGGAGAGTGTATCCCTCCTGAGTCCCTGGTGAGCCGACACAACTGAACAGCCGTGCCAGCTTGCCGAGGTTTCGTATTCCTCCTCACCGAGTCATGGAGCACAGCCCGGTCCAGGTCGCCAACGGGGATTCTTTCACATTGAGGCTCGAGCTGGTCTGATTGGTATCAGCTTGCCAAGCTTGATGCGTCCTTGCTCAGGTGGCATGACCTATACCGGCAGGGTGAAGATATATCCTGCTTGGCAAGTATGTATGTATGTACTCTACATCTTGGTGAGCAGGATACACCCTTGGCGGCTTGACAGGCTCGCATAAGAGGCATCCTCCCCACTGAAGGCCAGTACCAGCTCTATCAAGAGGCTTCATCTTCTCCAAGGAAAACAATCTTAGTAAACTGGCATGCTTTTAGATTCTCAGCCAGCTAGTATGAATTGCTGGCCTAGTAATACCATTGAGAAAATTATCCCTCCTAAGTAAGCTGCTGCCCAAGTCAAAAATTATGGCTCCGTTCCCAGGAAGGCTTGAACACTTGACCTGGACTGTTGACGGACTTTCTATAATAGTACACTCTCTTCTGGCAAGCCAGATTGTTGGACGTATACGAATCCATCAGGGCGAATTATAACCGATTGCGCTAAGGGGCCGCTGAATTCATTGGTGATGCATGGATTTTAAGTAGGTTGCGGGCTATATTTCGGGAATAAAGATGGATAATGCTGGGTCCTGGGTTATATTTCAGGACAAAAGTAGACAATATGGCAGAAACCCCACAGACCTTAGGCGGATCCTTCAAATCAAAGTGGTACAGGATGTAGGAGCTCACAGAGCAGGGATCCTTATCTGTCAATTATAATGACATGCAGGATATACCCTCCTTAGAGTGCGCTCGATCGAGCTGAAGACTGGGACAGGGCCCAGGCCCTCGGTGAGGAGGAACCATTCATGGCAAGCCCATACACCGCTCCAGCTCACCAAGGGCATATCCCTTTCACCAAGCTAGTGCTAGGAGTAGCTATCCTGGGCCAGCCGGTGGAGAACCTAACAAATTGGCAAGAGGTCAATTATTCTTCTCATTGAGAGGGCACAGGTTGCACCAGCTTGATGAAGAGGCAATATGTTGGACCCCTTTGGCATTTTTATTTGAAAAAAAGTTTACTCGGGGCAAAACTCAAGAATTGGGGCACCCTTCTGCAGTTTCCTTTCCCCCAGCAGATGATTTTTTCTCCTCAGCATTGTATCAGCCTGCTCCTTGCTGCGACAAGTGCCGCATCACAATGTGTGTTTTTTTCCACTGGTCAGCAAGTTTTGTCATGGCAGTGATTGTCTCTCAAGCCTCCAACAATTGAGGGGCTTCTTTTCTTAAAGAACTGGTTTCAGTCCTCTGATGCCCCCTTCTAATTATTTTGCATGTCTTTTTGCTTGTTTATTGATTTCAAATCAATCTTCTTTTTTTTCTATTTTTTCAAAAGACAACATGGAAAAAACCTTGCCATACATGTCAATCAAGTTAAATAGGAAGATAAAAAATTTGCATTACACATTAAACAAGTTAAAAAGGAAGAAAAAAACTTGTAGTCCACAATAAACAAGTTAAATACAAATAAAAAGACTTGTAGTACACAATAAACAAGTTAAATACAAATAAAAAGACTTGTAGTACACAATAAACAAGTCTAAATTTCCCAACAAAACAAAAAACATGTGAAAAAAATTATTTTTTGTAGTAGGGATGAAGTCTGGATACAATTGATACAATTTTACAAAAGAATGTTTATATTTTTTTCATCCCAACCTTGTCTTTGCGTTGTTTTGTGAACTTTTTTTATCCCTCACCAGGTGGCCCAATTGAATGCTGACTTGAATTGACATCAGGAGAAGTAGCTATGTATGTACAACATTTTTTCCAAGGTTATAAAAACAGTGGGCCAATAGCACTGCCCATATCAGTATTGCATTGTAAAGTAACAGATAATTTGTTATTTTATGCACCCATGGGTGTATCAACTCTGCATATGGTTGATACACCACAGGTCGATAATTTTCATTCCTGTGTGACAGGCCCACAGCGCAGTTGGGATTGGGTTGGCGCGGGTCGGCAATGACCTGTGTTCCCTGGATCTGACGGAGGTTGTGGGCTGTCATAAAATTGAGGCCGGGCCGACCTTTGGATCACCATGAATGATCCTGATGTCTTGACATCAGGATCATCTGCCATGATCCAAAGGTCGGCCCAACACAAACTGAAGCCGATGATGGCTGTGTGTCGGGCTTCAGCTCAGTGTTGGTGGGGATGATGTCATGCCCGATTTTGTTGGCATGACTTGGATAGGCTTTTTAAAAAAAAACTTTTTCAAAAACAAGTTTTCTGGGCCTCTTTCCATGCAAGAAAGGGGCTACTTATGTTTCAAAATGTAAAAAAAACCATTGTCTTCAACAGAAATGCCAAATTTCTGAAGAAGATTTAATGGAATTGTAGTTCATAGAACTTCATATAGCTGTTAATGTGCCCAAGGGGAAGAACAATCTTGTGGAGCGGTAATTATGTCCCCTTGTTGATGCCTTATCTGCACTGATAATCAGGCATGCCCAGCACCAGCATGGGCGTAGGTTGCAGGTTTGAGGCAAGGGAGAAGAACTCTTTTTCTCAAGACTGAGCCTCCCAGTTTCTTTGCAACTCATTATACCCACGAGGGGCCACTGACGTCTGCTCCTTGTTAGAAGCCGTCGCGGTCATGCCCACAACATGATCCGACGAGAGGCCCACATCACAAGTTGGGCTGACAGCGGCATCCGACACCTCCCTCTCTTAGCCCTGCCATTCTTTTGGGCGGGGTCAGACAAGTGAGGCCAAAGAAACGTGTGATGCGGGCTAAACGTCGCTTGCAACCTGTGGTGTAGCAATGACATCAAGGACTGGAAAAAAGCCCTTGATAACAGCCAATACAGGCTGTTTTTGGTTGATACAGCCTGCATCACATCACAAAAAATTGAAACATATTGAAATCGATAGTTTCTCAATAAGAATAACAAAATATTTGAAAAAAGTTGCCCAATATGTTACATATATGGGGCCAAATATTGTAATGTAAAGTATTGACCCACTATTGGTTATCAAGTGGTAGGAAATATGTGGATGACTTGGTTCACATGTGCCCCAAGTAAGTGTCTTCCCCTTTTCTTCAGCTAAAATTACAGAAATATTCTGTCAAGATTAAGCCCTGGAAATTACCACACATGGATAAACTTGATTATGTACATACCTAGGCTGAGACATGTTTTCTGCGGCTACTTTGGCTGCACAATTACACATATTGACACATGTCAAGCTTTTTGTTGTAAAATAATTGGAATCCATTGAAACTTGCCTCAACACCTACTTTTCATGATTGTGGCTAGGAAGATGGGGCTTTCTGTTGAATAAATTTAAATTATCCCTCAGTATTGGAATATAAGCTTTAAGGACAGTCACGGTTGCTACTGTCAGTCAAGGAAGCTCGGGCTTGGTGGGGCAAGGGAGGGGCAGACCTTTAAGGACAGTCACGGTTGCTACTGTCAGTCAAGGAAGCTTGGGCTCGGTGGGGAAAGGGAGGGGCAGACCTAGGATTGAGGAATAGAAACAGGATGATGTATTTCATGAGCATGTGAGAAAGAAAAGGAGATTGGAAGAGAATGATGAGAAAACAAAGGAGAGAAGATAAACACCTTTAAGGACAGTCACAGTTGCTACTGTCAGTCAAGGAAGCTTGGGCTTGGTGGGGCAAGGGAGGGGCAGACCTAGGATTGAGGAATAGAAACAGGATGAAGAAGAAAAGAGAAAGAGAACAAAGGCTGAAACAGAACTAGGAAGAAAGTACAACATATGTCACAGGCAACATGTCACTAGCTGTTACTGGAATTCTTATTATTCTCACACTCAGAAACAAGTTTACAACATCTTTTTGTTTGATTAATCATCATTGAAAATTTATATTATTCTTTCCTGCCATTTAAAATGACTATGACATTAGGATACCTTCAAATAGTCTTATTGTTACTACACTCGTTGCAAGCGGTTCAGGGTATGAATAGTTTTCTTTCAAATAGTATAGAAAATATAAAAGCCAATGGTAAGGACTTCTATCTTCTTCATTCTCATAATTTTGAATGAGTACAATTTGAAAACTTTAGCAACTTGAAATTTGATAACTGTTTTTCTGATAAAAAACAATTCTATTTACAGATATTGAAACAACAAAATCATCCAGTGAAATCAATACACCCATTCATGAAAGGGGCTTTCAAGTCACACAACATAAGACCCATGGGAAAAACCAACATTTTTCAGCTGTAGGGGAACACTCCCAACCAACCACAGATGAAAATGTATTCCTTCAAAAATGTGCTTCTGAAAAAAATCCCCCAAAGAATGTGAATTTCGATGTGGCAGAGTTTAAACCTAAACCAGTGAGGAAAACCTTCAAAAAATGTGAGAATTCATGGAGTACAGGTAATTATTGGTTTGTTCTTCTTCCATGCTCATTAAACATTTACTAACTGATTATGGATTTCAGGAAAAATAAAATCAATGATTGGGGAGTTATCTTCCTTGAGCAGAAGATCAAAAGCATTTGGAAAAGCAATTTATGAAGATGCAAATATGGGGAACCTTAACACCAATTCCATCAAGCTTTTGGAGGATTACAAAGAATTGGGACTTGTTTATCAAGTCCTTTTCACTCATGTCAAACAGAAAATAGCTGGTTTGGGATTTGATGAATCCAGCATTGAAAACTTCTCACCAACAGGTGATTTATCAATCAAATTTTCAGGGTCTTCAGTGTCTGAAAAAGTAGAAAAAAATGGAATGGGGTTTTCCAGAGAAATCTTGAGACATAGTAATACTGAAACAAATTCTGCCATCATTGACAAAATTCCAGATCTGGAAACAGTTGAATCTACAAATTCTTCTAGAAAAATGAAAATAGATTTACCTGAAGTTTCAGAACTAAGCAGTCCTGAAGATTTGGTTTCAAGATTGAATTTTCTGTTGAATAACATTGATCTGGAAGAAATCAATAAAGTGCATTATTTTGACCAAATTTCTCGGAAGTCTGTTTGGTTTCAAGAAATTATTTTGGACACACTGAAGTACATGCACACATATGATTTGATAAGTGGTCAAACTTTAAAGCATTTCTTTGAATCTGAAAGAACACTAGAAGTTATGATAATCAATGGGTGGTCTCATATGATTCTTGATAGATATCTGGGATTTTCAAGTAGCTATACATTGGAATTGATAATGTCTTACAAGAGTTTCAAGATCATGGATGGATGTGAGTCAAAATAACACATTCATGTTTCAATTTTTCTGAACTTTGGATTTCATACAACTAACATGTGAAATTTGAACAATTTATTTGTTACTATTTGGATATATACAAAAGATATAAGCAAAAATCAAGAAAGAGAAGTTTACAATTATTTCCTTCATTCACAAGCAATCTCTTATTCAAAGTACATGGAAGAATTTTCAAAGGATTACAGGAAAAACACAGAAGATTCACCAAGGAAAAACATTGAATACTTATTTGATAATTTGACACATTCTATCTTCAAACACAATATTCTTATCAATAAGCTAGATAATTATGATGGGAAAGGAGATGCAGAAAAAGGAAACCCTTTCAAATCAAAACTGAAGTATTTGAAAGAGTCAAAAATCAAATCAATTCTTCACCAAGTGGCTGGCCTTTTTTCTGAAATTGGGGATATCCAGGAAATAGATGAAAATGACAGATTCAAGATCAAGTTTCTGTTCTCAATCATACATTGGGCTGTTCAGGAATATGGTAGAGAATTATTTGAAGATGAGAAAATAGGCAAAAACTTTGGGGTTAAATATGATGCCATGTCTTCCAGTAGCCAATATATAGAAAGCTTAGAGAGGGGATTAGCAGAGGGATGGAAGCCAGAGATGAAAGAGGATCAAGTTCAAGAAAGATTGAAAGTATTTCAATCACAATTTTCAAATATACCAAATATCATTAGTTATCTCATGATTGAAGAAATGGAGGAAGCTCTAAACAGGTTCAATGGAGGAGTTCATTTAAATTGATCTGATTTGAATTTACTACAGATAGTTCATTAATCATGTGTGGTGAAATGAATCAATCTCACTCAATTTCCATCACCAAAATAATCCAATAATTTGGCTATTTTTTTTATCTTTTTTTGATTGCATGATCCTCTATATCTTCATCCTTCATTTTTCATTGGTTAACTGATGTCATTTCATGGTACCCGGGTGTTGTTTCTGTTCTACCTGAGATTTTATGACTTCAATCTTTTTTTGCTGCATTGAGGTTTTTGTCAATAGTTGCTTGATTTGCCTTCTTTTTTTTCCTGGTTCCAATGGGTATATACTTGCTTTCTTTAGAGTTGCAAGTCAGCTGCTATCTCCTTTTTTTGAGCTTTGTCTGCATAGTGCGTAATCTAGGTATGCAGTCTCATGTTTGTTTTTATCTCGCGGACATCTGCTTGGTTAAAATCAACTTGAGTCTTGAGAGGTCTGATAATTAGCTCACATCATCACAATATCACCACTTTGGATACTCTCGAAAAAAGCCTTATGGGGGTATGTTACAGTAGTGTGGTATGAAATTGAGATGAAAAAGAAAATGTTGAAGAGCCAGGGAAACATAGAAAGATCTGATGGATATGTAAGACCAAATGCACCATGACAATATATGAGGGAATCCCAAAATTTGCAAGGCTGTCAATTGAGCTGTGTGAATTATGTAATCCATTTCTCTGGGCCCCCGTGGAGGGAGGGGGGGGGGCTTAAGTTTTCTTCCGCATACAACCTGTTTCTTGCCTGAGCCATCTTTGGTCAACAACAGTCAACAACAGCAACATCGATGGTCAACAACAGCAACAACAACATCGATGGTCAACAGCAACAGAACTGAAACAACAGCAACAACAACAGAAACAACAACAAAAACAGCAACCACAAGAACAACTGATGAAACCAGACCAGAATCAAAACACTCGATCACCCTGCGACTATCTCTCTTCCTATTACTCTTGGCCACCCTATTCGGATATCGAAGACTATTGATTGGCTGTTTACTACTACTGGTCTACTCGATCGGAATAGTCATCCTCTTCAACCTCGGGCTCTCGTACTGGCTTCACCCCCAGCCAGCTGATGATTCAATCGATCAGAAGAAAAAATCATTGTACCACCGTCTCAACTTCTCAACACCAGCTGCCTATTCAGCCGCCTTGATCAAAAACAGCTGGGAAACTCATACCGAATGGCGTCAGGAACCACTACACCCATCCCTCCAACCTAAGACCACGGCTGTACTGGACCGGCTGATTGCTAAGATCATCAGAGATTTTGTTTGCAAGGCAAGCAGACCATCCTATCTACTCCCCTCTCCAACAACTCAAGACTGATCATCGTGAGTCTTGCTTACCTTTTCTATCTATCCAGTGGTATAATCAAATTTCACCACCCAGTCACACTAACATCGAACCATCATCTGGTGCTCAACAACAAGAAAAATTCGAATCTAACACTCCCACCGACATCTTCTCATCCCCCGCCTTCCCGCTCGCTGTTGAGAAAACTATCCGGCATTCACTTCGGATCTTATTCGATAGGTTTGGAAAGATCGACTTGGCCAACCTGATCATCCACAAGATCTTACCCATTCTGACCACTCACGTCGAAGCTTTCAGACAAGCCGAATACGATCTCAGAGGTGGCGCCCTGCCCGTCCACGACCATTCGCGTCGATCACGAAATGAGTCTAGGGGTCGTCTCTATCGTGCCTTCTTCAGCTCGGGGAACGATGAAATCGATCTGCTTCTCTCCCGCCTTCATGCTGATGTACTACGCCGCAAGAGTCAAGAGGCTGAGCACAACAGTCCTTCTAACTCGGGTGAAGAGCGCCTCAAACCCTCCAGCCGGCTTCATCCGGCCGTCGACGTGCCCACTCCCAATTCACAATCATCAGAACAAGCCCATCTTCGCAAGCTGCTTGAACTCCTTCTCCCGCTCATCCTTCCACCCTCAGAATCCAAGAGTGTCGCCGTCAAATCGTTGGTGGTTGAGTTACTGGCCTGTTGTGTGATCACACCGGTGATCGAGATGCTTTCCGATTCAGACTTTTGGAACAATTTGATTGAAGAAAGGGCTGGTAACGTGATTCGTGAGCAACGGATGGTCGAGCAATTCAGGCAGGTCTTGGATCGCCAGCTCTCATTTGTTACGACCTCTTCCTCCAAGATGGAAATAGGTGGGACTAGCTCGAGTGCCAGTCCTTCAATCAAACCCGTTACAGGTTCGGCCGGCCAAACCAACCAGTCCATCCAACCGATCCCCACGGCAAAACAGAACGGAATCCCTGATTATGAGTTTACCTCAACCGAAAGCATCTCAATCAGAAGTACTGCCAAAGAATTTGAGCGATTCTCGAGATCAATCCAACGTTGTAATACTCTGTTTGATGTTAGGCGGTTAAAAAATGATGTAGAAACTCAGATTCGCAAGGCGGAGGCCGAATTGGTCGGTGGCTTCGACCCAGAGCAAGTAGACAAAACCCAGCAATCTGGTAATTTTCACGAGTCAGCCATCAACCCTAATCTACCACCGATCAATTCTCGAAGCGACTTGACCAAGTTTCTTGAACGGCTTTCTGCTGCCCGAGATATCCTGGACCATCGACTTGCTGAGTTGGGAGGGTTGAGTGGACCAGTAACCAATTCCTGGCCATCTGAAACGGCAGGATGTGCTGAGCCCAATTCGTCCAACTCGCTTAGGACGCTTGAAGCACTGCATAAGCTCCAGCCCAGTCGGAGCCCCAGTCAAATCCTTCAGGAAATATTGAGAGACAGGGAAAGTCCTGCACTTTCTTATTTCACCGAGTTCATGGACCGTCGTCAACGTGTGAAACTCATCCAATTCTGGCTCGCCGTTGAAGGCTTGAAAAATCCACTGGAGGAAGAACCTCTTTCCAATGCCGATAGCAAGTCTGTCAAGTTACCCGGTAGATCCGTTCCAGCCAAGTCTTATGCGTCCTCAACTCACGAAGTAGCAGGAGGGACAAGTCAACTTCCCGAGCGCGACTTGGACGCCATGAAGGCTGACATCCAAGCAATCGTCGAAATCAACTTTTCGACGGTTGAAGCCACAGATTTATTAGGACTCAAGCAGACCGAAGTTTTACCGTTACTCAGCTTTCTTTCACCCGAGCTCGCCCAAAGTTATCAATCGACTATCTCCACTCGAGCTGCCATCGTACAGTCCAGCTCGACAAACAACAAGATCTATTTTGTCACAGAGGCCCGTGCTGCCCTGTTCGCGATGCAACGTAAGGTCTTTGACCTCATGTTGGCGGAAGATTTTCCTGCGTTTGCTGCCGCTGGAGATTTGTACCTCAGAGCTACCGCCTCCCTGTGTCGTGGGAAATCGTCGAGTGGATCTGCCGCATCACCTGCAGGGCTGGTTACCAGTGAATCTTTCCCTAATCTCATCGATCTCAAGTCCTCCAACTTCAAAGGTCGCCACGGCTCCTCGCTCTCCCATAAATACTTTCCTGTCACTAAGCCTCAGCATCTGTCGGACATTGATTCCTCGCGCCCTAATCTAATGGCCGGCCTGATGGGATCAGAATATAACGAATCGGTTGGTAAGAAGGACGGGCCGTCTGCAATGATCCGATCCAAGTCTTTCAACGGCTCTCTTCCTTCCATAGAATCACATTCGGGCCCCAAATACAATTGTGACAGTCCTGATTCAATCACCTCTCCTGATGCTCTCACGCCCGCCAGAAAAGGAAGCACTGGGATGCACAAATCGAATCCATCTACTTCAAGTATCATCCACACCGTCTTGCGATCTACGGCAAGTGATATGAACAAGTATAATCGTCGGATTGTTCCTTCGCCCGTTCCGCCCCAAGTGACGCTTCAAGAAGCGTTTGATGAACGTCTGCCAGGTGAACGCTTGTCCGGCCCAACTCACTACGACCAGCACATGCTTTCGCTGTCCAACTATACCTTCCCAGTTCATTTGCCCTCTTCTCAATCCTCCAGCAAGTTCCAGCCGGTCCACCAAATCCAGCCGGCCAAGTTCCAGATGTCTCCTAGTTTAGATTTCCTCATTTCCCCCTGCAAAGGCGATCGGGCACCCCTCTTCGGCGACGATTTAAGCTTCTCCATCCGCAATGCCTCCTCGGCCCGACCTCTCAGTCTCCTCTCGAACTTGGACGTTCAGAAAACCACCAACGGTGATCTGAAGTCTGGTCATCTATCACAGTCCACCTCCCGCGCCAATGGTGCGAAGCCTAGAAAACGCGACCCGATAATGTCACCGGATGCAAACCTTGCGTTACAAGAAGCCCTCTCATCGATCATCTCGACGTCTGACCAGAGTCCTAGTCTGGGATCAGTCGAACTGCCACACAGCTCCTCGACTAGCCTCCACAAGGGAAAGTATCGCTCGTCGTGCTCAAGCCTCTTGGGGGATGAAAGCGGAAGCACCTTAGATTGGTCACTCGATACTCGAGACCGACGGCTGAATGGCGACCTCGCTAAGCCGCTCTCTCGCTCGACTCCGAGCTCACCAGTCTCGAAGCCCTCACAACGGAAGGGACTTTTTGACGACGACGAGGATGATGAAGATGACGTTGATGACGAGGAAGATAACCTGCTGTTGTTCGAGCCTAACAAACAGGCACCATCGAAGCGCAGGAAAAAGGCCGGCCTCCACCGGGAGATTGCGGCTAGCTCGCGCCCAATCCAAGGCTCATCAACGGCCGTCACGAGTGTTGCGGAAGCCGATGAGCGGATCATGAAGCTCGAGAACGAATTGACACTCTTGTCAACGCTCATCCGCCGGGCCGAGCTGACCGGGAACAAGCTCGAGATCCGCCTGGTTAGAAAGTCCATCGAGTCTGTCGGCATGGAGCTCTCCGAGGTGATCTATCGGAAGACCCGGTTAATCCAGCTCAAGGAACTCGCCCTCGGCGGCTTCCGTGCCAAGCTTGTTCCTGGTAGGGTCAAGCTCTCGATCACCGGTACTACCCTCGGTGGACATACTCCTCAACAGACTTCTGGTAAAGATGATCTCCAGGCGGGACTCTTTGGTGTACTATCGCCTGAGAAGAAGACTAGCACGGGTCAACAGCAAGAATACGTTTTGTATAAGATAGAGGTCCACAAGCTAGCCGAGGATGGAAGCTTCGGATCCGGCTGGATCGTCTATCGTCGATACAGTGAATTCAACCGACTCAACCAGGCCCTTAAGGCCCTCTATCCTATATCAAGACAGCTCGAATTTCCGGCTAAGCTCTTTGGTTTGGGCCTTCCTGCTACCACGGGCCTCGGCTTTGTCTCCGTCAACGTCCTGCCCTCCACCGTAGCTAATCTTCATAACTTCGGATCCGCTCATACTAATAAATCTAATCGTAATCAAACTTTGATCGAGCAGAGACGCTTGGGTCTCGAACGGTATTTAAAGGTTAGTCTCCTTCACTCCATTCATTCATACAAATGAGATCTGAAGTAATTCAGTTTGTCTTCCTTTCCTATCAAGTCCTTAATCCAGATCCCAGTGCTCTGTGAAAGTCCTGAACTGGCGAAATTCTTATCCCGATCGTCGTCAACAAATAACAATAATGGCCAGGATCGATCGGGGTTAGGAGGGACTAAAACAGGCGACGGAGGAGGAGGAGGAGCAGCAGGTGGGATTGGGATCGGGATGGATTCAATGACGCGTTTGAAGAAGCAGGTCGAGTTTTTCTCCAACACCTCTAGCTTCGTCCGTTCAATCTACAAGGCCATTGTTACTGGAAGCACGACCAGTCCGCCGGGCGATTCGAGCGTCGATGCATCCGGATCACGGGTCTTTTTATCTGACCCCCACCAACAACAAGACCAATTTGTTCTCCCAATCTCCAACTCTTCTTCCAACGTTGGCCCTCAATCCCTCCCCCTCTCCCCCACCTTCTCATTCTCCTCTCAGTTCTTGCTCGACTGCTTCCTCAAAGGGTCCCACAAGAACGCCCTGAATCCTGTTCATGATGATCCTACTGCGGATCATCATCGTCAAGTCAGAACCGGTCATAAAAATAGCGACTCGATCGAGATTAAGGATCTTCGGAAGAAGAAAACCAAGAAAGATTCCCCAACTCAACATGAAGAACATGAGGAGGAAGAAGAGTTGGAAGAGGAAGGCTACGGGTTTGGGACAACAGATGATAGACTGATCGATCTCTCTCAGACTTTTAAAGCCTTCGATGGCGAACTTATTACCCCATTCACTCAACCTATTTCGACCTTTCTCATCGAAATCTTCGATCTCAATGATCATCATCAATGGCTTCGTAAGCAGGGTATCGTCATCATTCTACAACAGATCTTGGGCGGGACGATCGAGAGGTTAGCTCAATCCCAATCATCCACACCTTCTATTTCTTCTTCTCTAATCTACTCGTCTCATAAAATTGACTTATTTCATGTTTCTTCCTTTGCGTGTGTGTGGGAGTGTAGGAAGTTTAGAGAATCAGTGGCAGAATTGTTGGATGATGAACACCTCTCTCAACTGATTTGTTCGCTGGAAAACTCACTCTGGTTCCCAGAAGATGACGACGATCAAGAGAAAGCAGGCAGTTTGAGAGCGGGGGGACCTAAGACGCGATCGATTGAAGAGAAACTGATGACTTGTGAAGGTGCTTATCGGAAACTTTCGGCTATCATTCCCGGTTCGTCTCTCTCTCTCTTTTTCTCTGAAATCTCTTTTGTTTACTTATCTCTCTCCATGGGATGCTGCTGGTGGGTTTTGTTAGATTACGCGGCTAGTATCCTCGGCAGATCAAATGCTAGATTGGCTACTAGAAGATCTTTCTCTATGCTTCAAAATCGTCGACTTAATAAACATTTGATTTACACTATCTTGGATGAGGTTCGTTCTCGTTTCTTCTCTATTTTTTTCTATTCTCTTTCTTGAAGCACGTACTTATTATTGTTATTATTTTCGTTCCTTTCATTTACTTGATTGATTTGTGTTTTTGTTTGATTGGGTGGGGGTGTTATAACCCATAGATTATTAAAACTTTGTTTCCTGAATTAATTGGTTCTTTGTAGTCAACAAGATGTACATAAACATATGTAAAATGGTTCTGTATCAATTTTCTTTTGGTGTTTTTGTTTCTCATTATTAAAACAGAAAACAGCCAACTTTTGTTTGTTTAAAATTACCTATCTTATTATTTTGAAGGGTTATAGTTGGAGAGCGATCTGTCCATGCAATCCGCAACTACCACAGAGGTTTGATTTTCTGGAGAGTTGAGGGAAGCAAGGGTATCCAGAGAAATTGGAGAGGGAAGCTCATCGGTGTGGGTCTGTGATGTTTGAATCCATGTGATACTATGGTAGCTAAGATGCCTAGTAGCGCTGGGATTTCAATTCTTTATCAACTCATCCCTAAAAGCCTCACCTGTCCCTTTCTTTGCAAAATTTAATGTTTTTTCCTGGTTGTTTCAAGTAAGAACTTCTTGATATATGTTCTGGTAATATTGAAGCTCCCTCATTATAGTCTGAGTGTTCCATTTGTTATGATACCTGATCACAAGCTCCTTGTAGTCTTAGAGCCCTGGCTTAAAGGGCTTCTTGTCTCTCATCTGAAGGCTCTTATCCTCCTTAGTATGTGCTGTTCAATTCAATAGAGGGGTCTAAAAACCACTCTCAATTTTGACAGGAAGTTCTTGACTGTCTGTGTGCATGTAGGCTTAGTCTATTTCAGGAAGCCCAGTGGCAGCAATGAAACTGCATTGGCTTTTCCCTCTTGTTCTGCAACTCAAACCCGTTCTAGTGAGACAAGCTCACATTTCACTGCTTCCACATGTGTTGGAAAATCATGGGCTGATAAATTCATCAAGCAAAATTTGCAGGAGGGGTTGTAGCCAATGAGGGTGAAAACAGGCCTACCAAATAAAACTGTACCGGGAATTGCATCAGCAGAGCCTATCTACTCACACTTCTCCCTAATACAATGTAAGCCCTAAAAACACTATCATTTTGAGAGCTTGTGAGTAACAAAACATTTTGAATGGATTGTAAACATGATTCACAAAGTTTATCCATACATTCCTTAAAACACGGAGTAAACAGTACCTGTGGAGAAGACTCCAGCAACACCTGTCTCAAAATAGTAATAGAGCCAATCAGGACTTGACTGTCAGAATCAAATTATTACAAATATGTAATTTTTTTGCTCATTATAGATTTGAAACCTGTTTCACCAAATTGAACAGAAATTTGACACACTTGGAGACTCTCTAAAAGGATTTCAATGGCATCCAGGCCTTTTACAGGTTGGTATAAAATCTGTTCACAGTCAGATTCCTCTGGTCAGTACATGTATCAGTCAAATTTTGAACTTGAAATATTTTCCCAGTTTTACACATTGGTCAAATAATTCATTTTTGAAAAATGTGTGGTGAGTTGCCTTACCAATTACTTGATCCCCCTTCACACTTGTCTCAAAATACAGTACCTGATTTGAAATTTACATGTATGTTTCATGTTTTTGGTCATGAATAAAAGGGTTTGTTCTGTCTTTATCATTTTAAATATTTTAACACCCCAAATAAATCACAGTCCACCATTTTTAAATCAAAATTCATATTTACAATTGTTGCTGCCCATGTCATCTACTATGTCTATTTACTTGAGATATCTCCAAATATTCTTACTTCTCCTGAACTCTTTGAGCACAACTGCAGGTATGACAAGTAATTTAATGGATATTACCAACCAAGGTAAGAAAGTAATTTCTTTGTCCCATAGTTCTTTACCCTTGCTATGCTTTGAAGGAAGCACTGACTGGAGATTTGATCACTGTGACATTGAAAAATGAAATTTACCACACTTCAGATACTGAAATGGAAAAATTGCACCTGGAACCTGGAAGTGGCTCCATTGAGTGGCATCCCACAGTGAATCATATGGTTCATGAGGCAGAGAGGGAAGGTGCTCATGAGATGATGGCAGAATACCCTGGTGAAACATTGGCTCAGCATAAGAGGCTCAACAATGATTCTGAGGAACAACCTCAAACAAAGAAGATCAGGTTGAGCTTCAAAGAGTTGGAAAACAAGGAACCAAGGCAACCCAATGATGAATCTCAACACAACTCTAAAATAGGCACATGTCTTCTTATTATTTTACTTAATTTGTTTTGAAGTTTTCTAACTGAAAATTCCTTAACAGGTAACCCTGAATCAGTATTGGAGGAGTTAAACCTTTTGTGGAAACATTCCAGCTCATTTGACAAAAAGAAATTTAAAAATCCATACAAGAGGTACACTTCACATGACATGAATATATTGGATTCCTTTCAAGAATTGAAAATCATTCATGAAATCCTGTGCATCCATGTAAAAGAAGTGCTTGTCAAAATGGGGGTGGAAAAGTCAAGGATATACAACTTAGGACCAATCTCCATTCTAAATCAGCAAGAAACTAGGGACTTGGGAGAATTTTATAAAAAAATCAAAATAAATACAAATTTACCTCATATTTCAGAGGAAAGAACTTGTGAAGATTTGGTTAAAGGTTTAAATTATTTGTTACACAATATTAATTTGAAGGAAATTGAAGAACTTGATTTGGAGGATTCCAGAAGTAGATTCTCTATTCCTCTGCAAGAGAATATCTTGAAAACTTTGAAATACATGTATAAATATCAATTGATCACCAGTGAAAATTTGAAAGGGTTCTTTCAAGCTGAAAAAACTATGGAAGTTTTGGTTGTCAATGCATTTGAGGGAGACATTTTCACAAAATTAATGGAAATTTCCAGCAACTTTGCCTTGGAACAAATTTTTTCTTTTCAACATTTGGACTTTGTTTCTAAATGTTAGTTGATTTCCTCTTCCTTTTTTTTATTGACCAGCTAATTCTGAACATTTATATGTTTTTTTCCATTGTGAATTTGAATCGAAGTTATCAATCAAACTCAAAAGAGAAAATCTTACTTTGATTTTCTCAAATCCCAAGCAATCATTTACTTGAAATACATTGATCAGAAACACCAAAGACAATTTCATGCCGGCCAACTAGATATCACTGATTGGGGAATTGAAGAAGAATTCACAAATTTGACTGAAAAGATCTTTGATGATAATAGTCTTATTGATGCATTAGAGTATCATCATGGAAATCCAGGGAATGATATCCAAATTGCAGTGGTCAAAACAAATCTTAAACATGCAGCTGAAATCTTTTTCAAGATTGGGAATAGAAAAGTAATGGATAAATTTGACAGCTTCAAGTTCAATTTTGTCTTCTCACTTTTAGATTGGGTCATTGAAACATATGGTACAAAATTACTGGAATACTTTGATTTTTCAAGAAACCATTTTTTGTTGAAATTCCACTGTTTTTCTCACATGAGAAATTATGTAGAAATTTTGGATAGGGACTTGATGACTGGAAGGAAGCCAAAAATGAGTAAGAATCAATTTCAAGCACAAGTTGATCACATGAAATCACACTTTACAAGTCAAGTTCAGGGAGAAAATATTGATAGTTATCTTAGGATTGGAGCCATTCAGACACGTCTACAGGATTCAAATTATTTTTAAAAGTTGACATCAATGTGAAGAAGAAACAATTAATTAGAATCTATCCATGCTAGGAAAATTTTAAACAAAAAATTCCTGATTTGAAAGGTTCTCTTCAATTCAGTGATTTTTCCCTTCTTTCATATCTTTGGTTTATGGGCTTGATTCCTCTCAATTATTACCAGTGATTTTAGATTATATTTATCTTGGGCTTGGTTCTTTTATTTATTTATTCATTTTATGGATTATTGCAATTCCAGTCAAGGGTTAAGGTGCTACACTTCACCCAAAATAATGATGATTTAGGAAAGAATAACAGGCTTATGCTGCAGTGCCAGGCTTCACTAGAAATGTCCCTGTCACATCTGGATATCCACACAGATTTGGATATTCACTCACTTCTTCAGCGGAATCAGATATTCAAATTTGCATCCACATCCACTAGCAGGCAGCAGGGATACGGAGATATCCACCCATCAAATCACACCAATGGCTGTTGGAGGGGGAAGCCAACAATGAAAGGGGTTGTCTGCACTCTTGGCCTTGAGACTGTACAGTTGCAAGTCCAACAAGGCACAACATTGTTGACCGTACATGTGCCTTGTTGACTGGAAGGAAGACCTTCTGGTCAACAAGGTACATGTGCATCACCAATGTTGCCTTGTTGACCAGAAGGTTTCCCTCTTCCTGACAAGATACATTTACCTTGTTGACTGGAAGGGTTTCCTTCCAGTTGAAAAGGTAAAACCCTTCCAGTTGACAAGGTAAGGGCCCAGATCACGGGTACTGTGACACTTCTGCATAAAGCACAATGCATATACTCCAAATCCAGTCTCAGAATTGGAGTATTTTGCACGGTTTAGAAGATAGAGCAGTGTGGAGTCCTGTCTCCAAGTCCACGCACCACGTAGTCATGCTGCGCACCAGTATCCAAGGTCCCCATTGCACGTGACAACAAAGCCCCCACACATGTGATAAGAATTTCAACAAGCTAGAATATCCATGAAAATACTACAGTAACCATATTCCAGTGGGTAACACGTGTAGCAAGCCTCAGAAGATATCTCTGGAATATTCTGTGGCCCATTCACAAGGAACCTGCTCCACGTAACAGAGTAGCCCCTATCCACAGGTTCCAATGGGAAATTCTTGGCTGTAATAATTTTCGTGCATGACCTCTTGGAGCTCCTGGAATATTATCCCCAAGGTTCCAACCCTGGTTACATCACCATTTGGGCCAAAATGGGCCCAAAAGCGCCCCCAAGTCCTACTAAGCTCCCCTGAGCAACCCCTGAGGCCTTCCACAGGTATTTAAAGGGCCTTCTGACCGCCCAAATAGTGATCCCCCAGCTTTACAATACCATATAGAAACATACTTGTTGAAATTTTGGGCTGATGGACTCAAGAGACAGAGGGCCAAAAAAGAAAGGTTTCTTATTTGGGAAAGGTTCACGGAAAAAGAGTGAAAGAACCAATGAATTTTATTCACAATTATCTAGCTAGGTTTAAATAGACTAAATACAAGTGTGTCAAAATGTGGTTGAGAAAGAATGAATAAAAGTATTTTGAATAAAAACTGAGAGGAAGAATTGAATGAGTTCATGGAAGAAATAACCGGACATGTCTTCTCAGTCTCTTTTAGACAAACTAGTAAAATTAATCATGAAAAAACAAACAATCCGCCACAA